GGCGAGCGACGATAGTGTTCTTTTCCCCAAGAGGCAGTCTAGACTTATGGACTACTCCTTTAGTGGCGGTCTCGGTGATATTGCAGAGGTTGAGTCGATACGGGCCCCACCCTCTCTCACACGCATGAACTCATACAATTCACAATCGGATGCCGACTCGACGAACACTGGCAGCGTGATGACCAGGCCGCGCCCAACCGAAGGAAATGTTCTATTCGGAGGAAGACAAAAGATTTATAAGATTCCTGCGGGTGCAAACTCATCAGGCAGTGGGCTGGGAAAGCCATTGTACGAGGATGACGTTTCGCTGTCCGCATTCCAGAGGTGGAAGCAGGCCGAGAGGGAGAGAAATGCGGCTGGGGGAAACAACATTGATAATGACAACTCCCACGATCAGCCGGAAAGGACATCCGACCTGGAGACTTCTCGACCAGAATCCCCCATCGCGACGTACAACCGAAAGAGGGAGACGGCGTCTACAACTTCGTCTGGCCCTTCTGCCAGCCGAAATTCCACGGCCGCCACCTCTATTACGTCCCAACCAACCAGCTCTTTCAAGGATTGGTCCAGTACCGCAACGAGTCCGATTCCTGGTGGAGAAAGGCATGTCGCCAGAACTCGAAGATTGTATGAGCAGGGCTTGTCACAAGAACTTCACGATAACCAGTCGATGGCTTTTTCTCGACTGGACACACTCTCCCGGAAAGTCAGCGCGAGGACACCCGACATTTCGCAAAATAACTCGCCCACCGGATATTCATTTGGGGAACGGAGGCTTCTTTCCAAGGCGAGCGCGCCCAACCTACAGCCAAGTAATTCCCTTCTCGGGGCCCGCTCTGCGCCCACCAAGCCCGTTGATCTCGGCATCCGAACAAACGGCATCTCAGAGAATAAACCTTTTGGTGCGATACCCCCTTTAAGCCCGCCGATCAGCGACCATGAGGAGACGGTTCTCCCCATTCACCCAAATGATCGGGGAAAGGCGACGGCGTTGGGCGTCTTCCAGAAGCCAGCGCAGCCTTACGATGAGTCTCGATTTGCTCAGCGCCAGATACAATTACAGCAGGGTCGTGAGACACCGACACGTCAGTTCCGTGCCGAGTCCAATGCCTCGCGTGGCACCGGACGATCAAATTCACCAGCCGCAGCTCAGAACCCCTCCGCAACGGAGAGGGCGCTCTCACCTCCAAGACAAGAGTCAACACCGGCCAAGCAGGCGACACCGATGACTTTCCTCGATGATGACGACGAGGATACCCTACCTAGCAACAACCAGCCCGCCAGACACATTCCAACTCTTCCTCCGGCCCAGGCCCGTCCCTCTGACGAAGATCATCCTGCATTCCGATCTTCTGCTCTCCCCACACCTCTCTCATTCACATCCAAGATCTCTGACGGCCCGCCAAGTGTGGTTACTACTCCCAGCCTTGCGCCTGCGTCAACCGAACCTTCTTCTTATGATTCCCCTACCCTCGGCCCTCCCTCCGGCCTGAGCGGCATGGTGCGCCAGCATCTTCGATCGGATAGCAACGCGTCCTCCGTCTACGAGACGGCTCCCCAGCACCCCGGCGAAGTGTCTAAATATACGACGGAACCATTCAACTCGAAGGCCCTCGACGAGCTCGTTGGGGATCCGAACCCTTGGAGCGTGCGAGAGAACGATTGGGCTCTCTCCTACTACGGCGGCGAGCCAATATCTACTCCGGCCGAACCACGGACGTCCAATGCCGGCGACCAGACACCAGCATCAGAGACCCGATCTTCGAGGCTTTCCGAGGACACTGCTAATACTACAAATGCCAATTCGAGGAGGGCAAGCGTCAAGGACGAGTTTGCAAGCCAACTTGCTGATGGCGCCCGTCGCGTCCGTGAGAGGCTGACCTCTTACGTCGAGTCGGATACCAGCAGCCGAGACTTCAGCAACATTCCCACACCCATCGCAGAACCTTCCTTGCGATCCAGCCCCCTTGGGAGCCTGCTTAGGCCAAAGTCGAGTCGGGGTTCCCTCATTGAGAAAACCCGAGAGCCTAGCAACGCGCCTCCCAAGGCCATGAAGATGCTCGGCCTTGGCAACGTCACCATGGCCACTAGCCCGAACAAGCAGGCATTCGAAGAGAAGGATCACCCCCTCTCTCCTATGCAGGAGGAGCCTTCGAGCCCCGAGCGGCAACGATCGCCGCCTAGGAAGATTTCTAGCGATCAGGAGAAGGACGACAAGGATGACAATATGCACGCGGGTTTGAAGCAATTCCGGCAAGCACGACGCGAGTTGCAACGGCTGAAGGAGTTGGAGACAAAGCAGCGCCATCAGGGTCAAGCGGGTCCGACTGTGGAGCAGGGCAGCCCAGCACACCGTGGTCCTCCACCGCAGACGCAGATGAGGCCCCAACAACATCGCACACCTTCGCGGGAGAGGCGGCCACCACCCGTAACATACCAGCAGCGGGCCCCTGGCGCGGAGCCCAGGATGGTGTATCCCGCTCCTGGGTCTCGAAACAACTCTCGGCCACCATCCAGGACGACGGAGAGGGAGCGAAGCGGGTCGGAAACCAGTAATGGCGGTAGGTCACGGTCGCACAGCCGACCCCCGAGACTGATGAACGGCAACGGCCCTGGAGATGACTTCCATCAAGGTCCTCCTCACCAAGGTCCTCCCCACCAAGGTCCTCCCCGCCAGGCACCCATGATGCGATCGCCAGGTCTTCCAGGCACCGATATTCGACGGTCCCCCCACATGCCACCTGGGGCCGGCTACCCAGGCTCTCCTGCCGGTCCTCAGGGTGACCGACTTGGCCCCATGCAAGCTTATGGCCAGCGCGGCCTCCATTCCGGAATCCCGTCGCCCATCTCGCCAATGGGGGATCTTCCTTCACCCTTCGGCCCCGCCTCTGGCAGGAACACTCCCAACGGAATGGCGGCTCAGTCCCCGCGTCGACCCTCGGCACCCCCGATTCCCTCCCCCTCTATCTCTGCCGTGTCCGGACAGGATTCGAACAACGGCACCGTTCGGCTCGACGAGAGCATGAAGCGCGTGGTCCGGAAGAGGGACATCTCAGAGCCGACGTTTGTGTCATCGACATCCCGGGTGCCGACAGTCGACCTGCCCGAGGAGGGCACGCGGTCCAGGAGTGGTTCCCGCTCGAGGTCGGGCAGCCTCCTGAAAACTCTGAACTCGACTGCATCGACCCCTAATCTCCACAGCCAGATGCACGCGCCTCCGGTGCCGCCGATCAACCCTCGTCGACGCAACGTTTTCGGCAACCTCGGGGGCCGAAATGGTGACGATATGAACCTAAGCACTCCTCAGCTTCCCTTTGTTTCGAATGGAGCGGACTCTGGAGATGAGAACCGGAGCGCCTTCTCGGTGAGTGATGAGGAAGACGTTCTTGGCCGTGAACGGCGTAGGCTTCGGAAGGTGACGAGCGAGGCCAACTTTGGCGGCGCTTCAAGGAATGGTGCGCCACAACGCCACAGCCCTCCGTACATGACCAACAGCTCGGCGCACGGCCATCCACCAACGGTAACGACAAATGGCATGCCCGGCGGATTGATCTAAGTAGAGGAGCCGAGTAGAGCTTCTCGGCCCCTCTCGCCTTGCCTTACCGCTCGGGACTTGGTGCATTCAACTCGGCCCCTTTTCTCTAGGCTCGTGGAGTTTCAACACTGAATCTGGCGTGCCAGGTTCTAGATTTTCCATCAGTGTTGCTTCCCTGCGCTTTGCCCTGGCTGGGTCCCCAGACTGGTATCTGACTAGCGCAAGTTGCAAGTTCCTTACTTCAATTTTGAAGATTTCTTTCATCTACTCGACATCTTTCTTCATTCTCGGTTTCTTTTCTTAACGGGGCGCGACAATGGCGAATGCATATGGGACCCTACGGCACAAAAAGTCTGGCAATGCCCTTTTCTCTTCTCTTCTTATACCTGGGATAATGGTTCTGAGCGATAGGTGCACGGTTTCGGCTGTAATTTGGTTGACAAGAGACTGGAATGTTTTTTTTTTTCTTTTCCTTTTGTATCTTCCTCCGGAGTCCGTCCTGAGGTTATGGGCGCTGGCAATTTGCCCCGACTGTTGACTTTATTTATGTTCATTCCATCCGAATCATTTTTCTCTTATTTTTCTCTTCTATCTTTTTATTCTCTTTTTCCCATCTATTTTTTTTTTTCCTTAACTTCGCTTCTTCTCTTCTCTCGGTCTATGCCTGGGCGGAAAGATGTTTTTATTGTCAAATATTCATTAAGTGGTGAAGAAGTCGGGGGAGGGAAGAGTATTGATACCATTGTACTTAGTGGAAGCAGAAGAAAATATTAGAACTCTATGATGAGCAATCGAGAGAATAGAACTTTTTGTGCCTGTCCACTTGATCTAGACTTGACGTGGAGTGAAGGTGTAATGACTCTCAGCGACCGAGTGATGTGAACTCGAAATTTCACTTGATTTTATCTCTGTGCACCGTAGGCTGGTGAAATGGGAGAATGGAGGTTTCACTGCTGTGAGATGTGAGAGAGGATGTGCAGCGCTCTGTGTGGTCTTGTTCCATGGGGAGGAGGTGGATTTTGAACGACCTGAGAGCCATCGGGTGGGACGTCCGGGCCGTGGGACCGGCGATGCGTGGGCCGAGTAAAGGGAAGCCTCCGGGCAGAATTCTCTTTTCTTACCCTCTCCTGAGCGAAGAAGTAAGCATCGGGCTATTGTTTGAAGACCGGCCTTTGAAGACTGGCCGGTAAATCGCATCTTGGTCGTTCTTTCCTTTGGTTGTGGATGGTGGGATTTATACGCGGGGAACGAGGGAAGGAAGGACAGAAGTCGAACGGGGAGGGAAGACGGATTCGACGGCTATAAAGGGGGGACAGTTTCTCTCCTTCTCCTTGACATTTCATTTGAGGGGTCGGATCGATTATTAAAACAATTTTTCTCGCCGGGCATTTGAGACTCCATCACATATTTGACGAAACGATTCCCTCTCCGTTTCTGGCGGATAAACCAAACAGAGGAAAAGAACATGGCGTTTATTCGACCTTACAAGCCCGAGGATTTTGAAGCTGTGGCGCACATTGTTAGTCGGAGATGCCCGCCATCTTTGCTCCCACATCCGGACGCATAACCGCATCTTATCTCGTCCACACTCCAAAGCAATCTACCTCGTGCGAGTCCATCATTCAGACGATAAGAAATGCTAACCCTTAAGCTATCCAGTGCCGCGCAACCCTCCCGGAGTCTCTCGCCAGCTCCCCCGATACCATCGCCCTAGCTCCTTACCTCTGGGCCCACCAATACACCCATCTCTCCCCCCAAACCTGCTTCGTCCTCGACGACTCAACTGGCAGAGCCGTAGGCTACGTGGTCGGCACCCCTTCCATCCCGTCCTTCATCGCCTCCTATCCTTCCTACATAACCACCATCCTCTTCCGCGACGTGCCCCCACCCGGGCCGGGACCGCGAAGAGACTGGCTCATCCCCGAGGGAGAGGAAGGCGCGGGCGAGGTAGACCCGGAATGTCTCAGGCAGATGGCGTACGATGCGTCGTGGCTTTTGGAGGAGAGCAGGGAGGATATCGTGGGGGAGTATGGGGCGACGTTGCATATTGATTTGGACGAGAGATGGAGGGGTGGCGGGTGGGGGAAGAGGTTGATTGAACGGTTTTTGGAGAGTGTGATGGAGATTTGGAAGACGGAGGAGGGGGGGTTGAGTGGGGGGAAGGGTAGGGGTGTGCATGTGGGGATTGCGGGGGAGAATGCCGAGGTGATGGGATTTTATGCGAGGTGTGGGTTTGTGTTGTTGGGGGAGAGGGATGGGACGATTTTGATGGGGTTGAAGGTTTGATTCGGGAAGAGGTGGAGGATGGGTTGTTCGCGGGAGGGGAAAGGGGAATGTTGGGGGGTCTGGTCTGGTGCGGGTGTTCTGCTTGCATGTTATTTGGACCGGAGTGGCTTTGCTGCTCTGGTTTATGGCGATTCTCTGCAACTTCTTTATAACATCGGTAGCGGGCCTGTTCATTCGCTTAAAGGTGGTAGCACGAGAAGATATTTCTTATCAACGGACGTGGAAGCTCTTGGGTCGAGATCGTGGGTCTAGACCGGGAGCGGAGAGAGAGACGAACGAGCGAATGGGAGCAGGGTTGGAGGAAATAAACAGTTTATTGGGGGGTTATACAGATTCTACACAAGCGTTCTTACCATATCAATCCAAGATCACCATCTTCAACGGTGGCCATGAGTGTTTCCAAGAATTGCCGGGTTTCTCAATCACCACACATGGCATGATACGCATGATACCTAGGACTTGAAAAAGTCCTTGTTCTTGACCAGAAATTCCTCCCAAGTGGTTGGCTTCAATCCCACACCCTCCAGAAGCTCACGGCTCTCCTCAAGGCTCCTTCCAGCGTAGTAGCCGGGCTCCTCGATAAACAAATGATTTTCAAGCATTTCCTTGCCCATCGGGCTGGGGAAGAAGTTCGTATAGGCTTCCGAATCGACGGGTGTAAAAGTCGCCTTGTTTCCGGTCGTCTTTTCAAATTCGCTGAGGATGCGGGTGGGCGTGTAGTAGTCCGCCGCGGCTAGGATTTGTTTCCCGAGAACCTTGGAGCGGTTTTTGATGGCCGCGACGACGTATTTGCCTAATTCGATTTTAATGTTTGAATTCTAAAATATTTTCTAAATTGTAGCAAAATTGAAACTTACCCGTATCGGCTCCAGCGTCAAACAGAGGGAATTTCGCCTTGTCGCTGACAGGATAGGTCAAGTTATAGACGCCATCCGCGCCCTTTCTCAACATCTGGAAGGCCGAATAGTTCGTCATGAAGTAACCCGGAAGAACAAAAGTGCTCGGGATACCCTTGGAGCGAATGTACTGCTCGACGTCGGCCTTCATGTCGAAGTGGGCGACGTGCTTCAGCCGACCATTGGTCTCGTTGGTGACGTTCAAGAGGGACGAGTAGATGAGATGCTCGACGCCTTGCTCTTTGGCTACGTCTGCGACGTTCTTGCCGTGGACCAATTCGAGGCTTTCCTGGGTCGTGAAACTTGGTGTGGTTACCAAAAACACGGTGTGTGAGCCTTTGATGGCCTCGGAGATAGAGGCTTTCGAGCCCATATCGGCCTTTTTGAGACGTTAGCGGGTGTGTTGTCCCCTTGGTGAATGAATATGGACTTTACCTCTTTCACCTCGACGCCTTTCTCAGCCAAGGCTTGGGCAGATGGCTGTGAGGCATTGCGACTAATACCTCGGATTTTGAATTCCGCGGAGAGAGCTGCATCGGCTAACACGGCTCGAATGACGGAGCCTCCTTGAGTGCCAGTGGCTCCGAAGACGGTCAAGATTCTGGACATGTTGGAAGGCGGGGAGGTTATATAAGAGAAGGGTTTTGGTATAAATAGGATTCGAATTCTAGACGCTCATTTGTCGTGAGAGACGAGTGTGATGGGATGGAAAGACAAGATCAACCAACACGAAAGGCGGACGCCGCGCTTTTATCTGCTGAACGCCGCGGCGAGTTAAGTTCAGCATTGGCAACGTCAGCAACAATATTTGTCGCCATGTTATAAATTCAAGGCATTGCTGGTTTTCTTTTCGGTGTCCGATTAAGCGGCGTTGATAGATCATGAATTTCCAAGGGAAAGTCCGGATTCATAATCGCAGTACGAAGTAATCAGGATGCGTTCGCGCCTCAGCTTCGTCGGACTCTGTCGGACACCGATATTAGTGCCACATTATCAAGCAACATGGAAGACTTTCCGACTCTGAACCTTGTTCGACTCGGTCTACTGCGAACCCCTCGGCCTCGTTCTTTCATTTTCTTGTTTTCTCTTCTTCATTTGTAAGAATGAATAAATAAACAAAACTTGACGTACCCACCTTTGTCAAAGTATTTAATTGCTCCCAGCTGTGACCGTCGGAATAAACACTTAACCCCATCTATCATCCAGCTTCCCTTTAATACGACATGGCGGAGGAGAAGAAACTCCGCGACAACGTGCCTCGAGTCAAGAGGTTCAATGCCTTGGGCACCACGATTTTCGTCGGCCTTCGCGCGGCCGACGCCTTCCTCCAGACCTATCTAATCCGGAACGGGTGGGCAGCCAACTTCATCACAAGACTCGGCGGACAACCGGTACTCCCTACCACCGTTTTCACGACCGAGGGGGGTTTGCAGCCCTACTATCACGTCATTTCGCTCATGGCGGCCGGCAGCAGTATAAAGCAGATCGCAACGATGCTCTACGTCTCGGAGCAGGAGATGCCTCCACGAGAAGCCACTGCCATTTCAGCCTTCAACACAATTATCAATTCCCTGAATACTCTCTTTTCCCTCTGGGTTCTCACCTCGCAGGCGCCCGCTCCCGGGCCCCTGGAATCCCTCCTGCAGTCGCCTGCCGTCATGATCGGTATCGGACTCTATGTCGCCGGCATATCGACCGAGATGATTTCGGAACTACAGCGCACCTTCTTCAAGAGGAATCCATCCAATAAAGGCAAGCCATACGCTAATGGCTTGTTTTCCCTCGCGAGACACATCAACTACGGCGGCTATACGATCTGGCGCTCTGCCTACGCGTTCACTTCTGGGGGGTGGCCGTGGGGCCTGGCCGTCTTCTCGTTTTTCTTTTATGACTTTGCGTCGAGGGGCGTTCCTGTTCTGGACCAGTATCTCTCTAATAGGGTGTGTGAACCTCAGCTTTCCTTTTTTCTCCTATCCCCTCTCGTACTCTGTTTGCTTCATGTTTGGTTGGACACCAGCTAATTCACTTTCAGTACGGACAAGATTGGGAGGCAATCAAGGCTCGAGTTCCATACCGTTTGATCCCGGGAGTCTATTAAAGCTCCCGGGAGGAGGTTATAAAGTCCCCTGTGGACGAATGGGGAGGTCAGCAACACCGACCGAGTGAAATAAATGGTTGAGAACATGTGTGGGCATGTATCCGGGTAACCGCCCAAGGCAGATCGATGTAATTAAGCATTAGGCCATGAATTACCGTCAATATCGGATGGTCAATGTATTTGCATCAGAGGGCGTGGTGAAGTAGCAGTGTCTAGTATGCGGCTGGCATCGCGAATATTGATGCCATTCTCAAAGGCAGCAGTGGCAAATGGAGAATGACTCCATCAATCCCTCAATCGATATCAGCACCACTCTCCAGAAGTAGCTCCACTACCGGAAAATGGCCATTCTCAGAGGCATAGGCAACGTTGAAGTGGTGTTCAGGCTCTCTGCCCGACCACTTTGAGCGCTCTGACATGTGACCAGCCTCGGAGATGGAGATTTCCAAGGCCGACGCCAACGGGAAGGTAGAGAAGTTTAAATCATGGACTGGGTGAATGCATGATTAGTAATGAGTCGGTTGGTGTCTTGCCTGGCTGTGGTCTCACGACATCAGCTTCGGCCAACGTCCTTTGTACAAGTAAAACACAATTCATCCGATTCCATTGTCCTGGGACACTTCTCTATATACGACCGTGAACGCAATGGCTACCGCATCCGAAGGATCAAGTCGATTATCTTGTCTCCCCTGCAAGAGGAAAAAGCTCAAATGCGATCGCCACATGCCACAATGTGTCCGCTGTGCCAGAGCGGACGAAGACTGCGTCTACCCGAGTTCAAGGCAAACCGCGACTGGCAAGCGGAAGCAGCTCCGAGATCTCGAGGCTAGGATAGGTTGGTTCAATGTTGGTCTTGTTATGTGCTTCACGCCTCAGCACCAACGAGGCCTTCGATTTCTAAAGCATCAATTTGACCACCATTGAGGCAGATCAACTGCAAAATCAGTTCAATAGCTTTACTGCTAAATTCCATGCTGATGCCGAGGCCGATATTGATACCGATATCGATATTGATACTGGTTCACCCAGCACTACTACTCAACGTCTGGCACCTGCTTCCGAATTCGGTGGTCACGCATCGCAGTCATCTAGCTCAGTGGCCAATACGGTCGACTGTGCTACGTTCGTCCCCGAGTTGAGCAATATCATTGAGCAGCTACCAGACTCCGATCCGAACCTTCAAGAAGAGCTGTGAGGCAACCCTCCTTTCCTGCTCCCAAGTCTCTAATGCCCACCCATACCCAATCACTAATAACTATCCTAGCACGGATATTTATTTTGACAAATTGTATCACGAAGCGCCGATGATTCATCGAGATAGCTTTATGGCCTCTTTACATCTAGACCGTTCTCGGCAGCCTCCCCGCTGCCTGCAGTTAATGATCATGGCATCAGCGGCGTCTGTCACACATGCATATGCATCTTTGGCAATGCCCATGTATAGACATGCCCGGGCCCTTGCCGAGGAAGATGAGATGAGAGTTCGTGCCCGCTTCCAACTTTCCCCCGGCGGTCGGTCCCCGCCGACTCACACGCATCCGTCTAAATCATGGCATGGCCGTTTTATAGGACCAAGACTTCGTGACAGTAGCACATGCTCAGTGTTGGATACTTATAACGTACTTTGAGTCCCAGCAATCCATGCTTATGAGGGGCTCCACAAGCCTGTCGAAGAGCATACGTATCATGCAGCTGCTCAACCTTCACAGACTCGATCAGAGCGATCCAAGCACTTGCGATGCTTTTATGCCGCTAGTCAAGCCTCCTCAAGATTGGACGGAATTTGAGGAGCGTCGCAGGACGTGGTGGGTCGGCTTTTCGGCCGACTGTCTGGTCGCCGCAACCACGGGCCTTCCCCTGTTGAATAATGTGAAACATGTAGGACTTACTTCCCCCACCGAGCAGTTCTCAACCCCAAAGACTTATACGTCGCTTTAGCCCTCCAATTTCCTCCCCGCCCCAGAAGACAATTTCTCGAGCGGCCGTGAAGTGGTCACGACCACTCTCGACGACGCGCTCAAAGATCCCGCAACGAGACCTTCGATTTTCGGCCTTAGGGTGATCCTCTCGCATTTATTCTGCCAATCGGTAGAAGCTAGGTCTGCGCCATGCCCCTGGGATGGCGTAAACGGAACGATAGCAGACAGTTATTGGAGTCGCCACGTCGAGATCGACAATAGCCTGGGTGTCGTGTCATCCCTCCTGCCTGAGCTATCCCCGCCATACCGATGCCAACATTCGGTGTTTGTCAACATCTTATTCCACGTAGCTACCATCTGTCTCCACAACGCCGTGATACGCAAGGCGCGGAATGACGGCTGCCCGGTTCCCGAAGAAATAGTCCGTCAAAGCCTGGACCAGGTCTTCGCTGCATCGGACAAGATCATCCAACTGCTGAGCGTTTGGCAGGGTCTGAAGATAGCGCTTAGGAATCCTATACTAGTGTTCTTGGTGTACACGACTGCTCTGGTATTCATCGAACGCTCTGTGCAGGAGGAAAACCTGGACTGTCGGAACAAGGCGTTGTTTCTGTTTAATCTTTTGAACTCCGTTGTCGAAACGCACCCGGTGGCCAAAATGCAGGCTGCTCGCTTGGCGGCGGATCTAGAAAAGGCAGGGATTGACCCATCAGCTCAGACAGAGTTGGGAGTATCATAGTGCTGCTGGACACTCTCGCCACAGGCTGGATTGCTGGGGCGTCTGTTGGAATAGGCTTGGAAAACCAACATGTAATTATATGTAGAGGGCAAAGAATGCGGGGGAAAAAGGTAATTGCGTTTGATAAGACAACAGATATTCCAAATACTGGCAAAGTGACATCTTAGTGTCTTTGGATCTCGGTACGCCCGCCGCCGCCCGCCGCCCCCCACGACCGCCCCGACCACCTCGACTGCCGCATGGCCGGGTGTGTGACATTCATCAGCGACGACGGACCATCGAAATGCAAATCGTTGGGCTAGAAAAGACACGAAGGGTCAGGGTTATCTGTACATGGCCTATAGTTTGGAAGGCCGGTGTACACTGAGGGGAAAAGGAATGGCGAGGGGCGGCCGGGCCTTCTGGTTGGCCCTAAGCAACTCGAAATTGATGCGAGATGAGAACCGGGGAGAGAGATAGTGCGAATTTGTTTGCAGGAAGGGGGTGGGGGACGTTGGGGGGGCTCCGGTCTGGGAGGGTGTTCTGCCTGCATGCTCCATGGACTGAACTAGACCGGCTTTGCGGCTCTTGCTTGTATCAGACGATTATCTGCAACTTCTTAATCCCATCGGTGCCAGGATCATTCATTCGGTTAGGACGGCGACAGTAGTGGAAGTCATCTTTGATCAATGGAGATGGAAGATGTCGTTGAGTCGAGACGAGCGGGAACAGGGTTGAAGGAAGTTCTATCGTATCATACTCTGGCACTCTTACGATCTGTCACGGAGCCGAAGGCAATTGATTTCAAATGGCACCAAATAAAGTTTGAGAAATTCAATCGAGACCAAAGATTTATTATGAATAAAACAAACTTCGCGGAGAAGAGTCATCGAGAATGAACCAACTAAACGCCGAAAGGGTATCCGTCTCCCGTCCGTTCGCTTTGCGAGTCATCGAAACCATTCGTTCTCTGCCGTTTCCCATCGTCTTTTATCGCTTCATGAAAGAAGAATAAAAAGAAAAAAAAGCACGCTGCCCAGTGTAACCCATAAACCCATGTTACAATGCCCCCGTAAACAGAAATGGGGAAGAAGAAAAGGACCAAAAAAAGAATCGCTCGTCACAGAAACCCGCTAGATGAACCATGACACCCTCCTCCTCTCGCTTCCATGCATTCCGGTTGTTGCCTCATCAGATAAGGGGGGTCAAACAATACTCAGTTTCGATGACACCGAGCCAGTACGTAACAAATCTTTGGATAAGCCTCTTTGGGCCAAATCCAAAGAGTGAGGAGAAGGTATGCTTATGCTAAGCTCCTTTGGATCCTTCGGTCTGGGGGAGGTCACGCGGACATGCTTTGCCCAGCTCCGGTTTAAGCGCCGTCGTTGATCTGGGTGTGTTTGTTTCTTGGCCGTCGAAGTCTATTTTTTTCTGTCGTTCAAAACAAACGGGTCCTTCGCGTTTGGATCTGCGAAATTCCTCAATTACAGTCGTAGACCTTGGAGAGTAAATCTCGGGGAAGCGGTAGGTTTCTGCGACGAGAGACTCTTGTTAATACAAAGCGTTTCTTTCGTGTCGATGGTTTTATCTCTCTCATGTGTGATCTCAGCATGGAAGGAGGGAAGGATATCGGAGAATTCCGTACTGTGAACACAGTGCGAAAAACACAATGCAAGGCTTGACATGTGCATCTCGGAATTATGACGTATCGCCTGCAGCAGGCATCGTCGCGGGAGGAATGGAGAAGGCAAAAAGTTTGACCACTGCGGCACACACGACACAGCCTGGTCCAGATTGGGGAAAACGGCAACGGGAACCATTTGAAATCCAGGGGAGAAAAAAAAGACTGGATAAAAATATCCAAAAAAGGGAACATCGTAGGAAAGGAGAATTAAAAAGCTTACCCTCAGCCCGCTTCGTTTACTCCATCCCCAAGATTTCAAATCTCTCGTCCGCACTCATGGTAACTTCAATAGGTTCATTCTCCGGATCGTGGTTCTCGCGTTTCGTTCTTCCCTCCCCGGTTCCCCTTCTCAACCCACCCCGTGTAGTCCGCACGTAGGCGAACTTATATGCAGGTCTGGCATTCTTCGTGGCCGCAGCTGGGGCACGAGGTGCAGATGACGATCATGCTTCCGCACTTGCAGCAATGAGGAGCGTAAGGCATCTTGATGTTGGTGTTGTAAGAGGATAGAGGCTGGATAAGTATTGAGGATGAAGATGTTTGGTACTGTTGCTTTCTCGATAGGTTCTGTTGGATGTTGTACTTGGTAGGAGTTGGTGGATGATGTTGAGATGAGGGGGGAGAAGAGAAAGAAAGAAAGAAGATGGAGGAGGAAGGAGAGAGGATTTATAAACAGGAGCTCTGGGTCAAAGGGAAGGAAGAGGGGGATACAAGGCTATATGGATGGAACTAAAGGAGGACACCCGGCCTCGAAATTTTATAAGCACACAAAAGCATTTCAGCTAATCCTAGCGAACAGAAGATAAAACAGCCAACACACGCCGGATGATTCCCACTTACACGCAGCGCCAACAAGGAGTGGGGAGACAGAAGAGGGTGTCTGTTTCACGGCGCGGGGGTGCGGCTACGAAGCAACCCGAAAAGCGAGCGAGAGAGCAGGAAGGAGAGAGAGCACCGCACACAAATTACAACGAAGTACTTACAAGGATCCAAGCAAAATATCCAGCTTTCCGACGACAAACCAAGCGTCGAGAGAAAGAGAAAGAGAGATGGAGAGCGCGTTCCGCATTATTTTCGTGCGGGTTGCCACCAGACCCTGCAGGAGTTTTACGATCTTTCCATTCGGAAGCCAAAAACGGACGGGTTTTTTCGTGGGTGGAGGGGGGTGTGAAGGAAACCCCGGACTGGAAGGGGAGAACGAATGAGAGGGATCAATCTCCTAGTGCTTAGAGCACGAAGTTAGTGTGGTGTATATTTGGGTGGGCGAAGAATGGGGAAGGTTATGAGGGGGTGTGTGTGTGTGTGGAGAGATGTGCTGACTTGGTGACTTGGAATCAATTTGTTTTCCTATTTGTCGAGGGAAAGAATAATAGCTGGTGCGCTAAAACGGGGGTAAGTTCGATCAAGGGGACTTGAACGAAAAGGTTAATGGAGGGACTGGAGTTACTGGACTAGCTAGCGGATTTATTGGGCTGGCGATCCTTTCATCTACGGAGGGACGTCGACATCACGCACAAACTTGTCCTGTTTTCTTCTCGTCCTCCCCGAGACAGGGCTGCGAAATCGCAAAAGCATAAAATCAACCGAAAAGGACGCTACTTGTACACCAACAGCAGGGCGAATCAAGAGTCTCAGAGTGCTCCGTCGTCGCCCTTTCTTGTGGGGTCCGCTGCACGTCCACCCGGCATCCTTCGCTTCTCTTTCCCCAGCATTGGAGTCTGCCTTTAGCGGCGCTCGGCGCTTTGGAAATGGCTGCCTATTTGGGGCACTTTTTCTAAACGGCGACGCGTGATTGGAGGATCTCGAAGGAGGGTGCTTTGTGGGGGGAGTTCTTGGCGGTTGAGTAATGGTTTGTCTGGACATTTTACGAGGTGGTGTAGGACAGGACGGAATGTGCAGGACAGACAGGATGAGCCTTCTTTACAGGAGTTGGAGGAAGTGAGGTGACGGCATTGACAAACTGACGAGCCACTGGGAATCGTCCCTTTTTCCATTACAGCACTTATGACATCAACGATGCTTACTTGGAGAGTACTTGCCTCACACGACAATTCTCCGAATGGGGACCAATTAACAGCAGGAGAAGAGGGTAGGGAAAAAAATCATAAAAGCCATTGACGGAGAGCACCTTCGAACTCCGAGAAAAAAGCGACCGAGGTCGGTGAAGACCAAGACAAGAAACGAAAAAAAAGTTGCCGTTCCTTGCAAGGGGGGGAGGGTGTGGAAAAGAAAATGCGAAAAGAAATCAAAAAGTGTGGGATGGATCGAATTGATGCAGGTGTGCGGTTCTGTAATTTCCTGAGATGCCGGACTGTCACTCGTCCAGACGTTTTAGTTATGGGAAAAAAATGTCAAACGGAAAATGGGACCCTGAAGATAAGGCTCGATCCAAGCTTCTTTTCCGGGCTGCGCTGTGGAGACTCGCGGCTTGGCAAACAATTTGAACTGCATGCACGCTAGAGCCTCCCTGTCTGACGATGGACACACTAACACTAGCGAGTAGTATGCTCCGTAGTGTCCAAGCATTGAGAGCACAACGTCACTCTTGGATCCCGCTGTGTGACGCCCCAGAGACGAACAGGGCCAGAAATCGGCCGGAAGGGGATTCATACATTACGAAGCAGGTTCAACGAGTGTGTATTTACATGCTTGTACATATGTGGGAGAATCATTCCACTCTGTCAACTGTTTGACGCGGATTTTGGTCTGATGTCGGTCCGTTGTGGTCAGTTGTCCAGTTTTTCTTCTGTTTGACAGCGAGCGTCAACATTAATGTTGAACTCGTGACCGAAAATCGGATTGTGCCGCATGTTGTCCGGTTCCACAAATGCATGTTCTTCGCCAGCACTAAGCAGCTCCTCGGCGAGATGTGAATGAAGCTTGCGAAGTAAGGTGCAACCGAGTCAGTTTAAGCTGAGAAGGAATATCCCATTCCTCAGACATCTCAGCTTTTCAATTTCGTGTCCAGTCCTGCAAACCTAGTCTACTACTCGCTTAGGGCTGGCTGGGATGCAAGGTCTCTCTCGCTCTCTCTCTCTCTCTCTCTCTCTCATCGTTTGGGAGAGCTGGTCGGTGAACGCTGCCTGTCTTATCCCCTCGCTCCCCGGATCACCAGACCGAGATCGATTCCCATTGACAAGCCGCACTCTGGCCTACGAAGTACCTACGCTCGGGAGCTCCCGTTTTACCAGTCTAGTTTATTTTGCTCCTTTTCTTTTTTCTTTCGATCCACTATTAAGGGCATTACAATTATACTTTACAACGAACTCAAGGTTTCAGTCTAGTGTAGTCCTTTCCTGCCCACGCAGCGAGACCCTCGTTTACATGTGATGCACGATTCTCTTCTCTCGTTCGACGTTTGAATTGAGGGAAGCTGCCCTGGATAGTCGGTGTACTTTGTACCTTGTAATATCTCCGAACTACTCTCGGATGCCAGAGGTTCTTCCGAAGTGCGTCAACTCGGGGAACTCGGTCTACAGTGTCCCGAGGGGACGGATGCGCTTTCCCTCAAAACCGATGCTGCCTTAGCTACCCCCGCTAGCTAGGCTGCTTGAAGTGTGAGGCTAGCAGGGTACTTCGCAGACTTCGTCGAGTACACTACTGTAGACAATGAGGGCGACTCAATCTCCAAGAAACGATGAGGGATTGGGGCGGAAGGACCGAGTATGGGCTTCTCGGCCCACTCTTAGGGTTTCCTACCTCAAATTCTATAGATTCCAAGAGATGCACCTTCCAGCACCGCTAGAAGTGATTTATACCCACCAGTAGCGAAACAGAGTAATTCGAAGACGCTTTCTACGAAGAGAACCTCACATCTCCCCTATACTAGAATCCTTCGCTTGTTGCGCAGCCTTTCCAGTTGGACAGTTTCTTTTCACAAATGTACGCCTTTTGTCGCCTAACATCGGCTGCACCGCTTTTTTCAAAGCTGTTTTCATAGGCTTTTCATTCGACGAAGTCGGTCTTCTCTCGGCCGGTCCCCTCGCTTTGGCAACCCTGGCGGCAATTCCATTAACACTGCGGCAGTTGCGTCAATCGCGTCAGAATTGCACCTGTTAATTTCAGCTGGCATTTTAAACGAGGGTCTCCAGCTGGATTCCAGCGGCAATTGGCTGACAGCACCACTCGAGAATCGAGGAGGATCTTTTTGTAACTGGACACTTCAATACCAGCTTTCCATGCCCGATGGCAGTTTCTCAAAGCCTTTACCGAGATCCGGACAATGACAACGAGACCGACTGTTTCGCCTCAATCGTGCCAACCAGAGTTAGCAATATCCCATAAAACGCCGTGAAGCTGTTGAATCCTAGTTTAGCGAAACCTCGTCGAAGAAAAAGGGCATCTATACAGTGCACTCATGTCAGGCTTGATCCATGTTTCTCCTCGCTCCTCCCAGCATGCTTCTTGATCATGGGGCGTCGCGCTCTACGAACCCTGAAGGGAAAGGCACTACACCATTCAAACCATATACTTCGTACTTCTATTCCCAATGAAATGCTATCTATGCCTCGCGTTCATTGCTAATGTAAGGGAAGAGTCGAAAATAACCTGCTAAACGTGAAAACGAGTCCGAAAACAGTCCCAGGCGTTGCCATCCTTCCAAATTCTTGAAAAAAAAAAAAAAAAAAAAAAAAAAAAAAAAGTGTCGTGGGCTTAAAGGCGTTTGGAGATGTTATCACTCTCTCTTGCACTTCAGAGAGAGCCTTCTCCACGTTTCAGCCGCTTTTCTTCCAAATTTCAAATCTCTTCCACAAATTCCACCACGGTGGCTCAATCTGCTCGGGGGGGTTCGAGGTTAGGTGTGCCTCAGCACCATCCTGATCCGTGCTCTTGGCTAAGCGCGAGAGAGCCACGTTTCCAAGGTCTTTTTGGACGTCTTGAGGAACTGGTGGTGCCTCGATCGTAGGCTTCCGCATGCCCATGTAAATATCTTCGACTGCCATGTCGAGGGGAATATTGTTCTGTGTGGGCTGGCGTTGAGTGCTGAAGCGGTAACTGGGGGAGCCCGTAACCCTATTTCTCTGAGGTGGCATATGCCTATCTCTCTGATGTTGTGTATGCAATAGGGCGGAAGGGAGTTGGCCGCGGAGTTGGCCAGAGACATGGGGCTGGGTATGCGATGGGGCGGAACGAGGTTGACCCGTGAGCTGCGGAGCAGGATTGGGCGGTCGGGCCGGAGAAAAGCGATTTGTCCCCCAGATGTGCGCTGGTTGTTCTTGGCTATGATGGGCATAGAGGCGGCCATCAAACCCTGGCATTGTGCCATTGAAAGATCCACAACCGGCGATTCTGGGTCCTTGTGGAGGTGTATAGTACGACTGTGATACAGGTTCCGGTGTCAATGGCCCACCGAACCCGTCGTAGAGCATTTCGGAAGTAGACTCGCTCTGTCGTCGGGAGGTCATCATCTGTGGGCTCTGGAAATAACTATTCATCCTAGGCGATTTAGGCTCACAGGTCAGATGCAGTGGTTGGTGATTCCAATGGACTACTGAAGGATCGCACGCAGCGCGGAATGGTAATGGCTGGTCTGACTCTTCTTGGCGCCTAGTGTGCTCCGTCTCCCCTCTCGATCTGCCCGAAGCGTTCCGGAGGAGGTTAGGACTGATGGGGTGATAATTAACAGCTTCTGAACCACCATGATCGATCGGAGGTATTATGGCGCTTCCCCAGTTGGAGTGAATCAAATTCGCCGATTCCTGTGAACGTGAAGGCCGAGGCCTGAACACCTGGGAGTACGACCCGGGTAGTTCTCCTCCCTGCCTGGCCCTATCCATAAAGCCCTGGAACTCATCGTTCACTTTCATGGGTGGCTTTAGTCGGTCACGCTTTGGGACCAGAACATGGTTCTCCAAAACCCGCCTAACGGCGTGGCAGACATGGTTGGAGCGCCCCAACTCTCCGGCCGCACTCCTATGCCAGTATGACACACATTCCAGGACTTCTATCCCATCATGAAACATATAGCCACAGCCTGCACGATCGGCTTCTGGCTTGCGCTCGGCAATTTCCCTGTTGCGATCTGCTCGATACTGCTCGCGCCCCCTATTACCAAAAGCCGCCCAGATGAAGCTCTCGCTGATTACAGCGCCAAGTTCAAATGTTTGCCAGCGGGTAGACTGTGCCTGGCGAGCCCCCTTATCAATGCTGCCAAAGGCAGCTCGTTCCGGCGCGACTGTTGGAGGTCAGTATACGCCTAAATAGTTAAGATTTGTGTGCGAAAAGTGACTTACTGTACGTTCGATTTCCATCATCGGACGAGTACGTCCTATGACCGGCTCCTTTGGGGGGAGAGGTGGATGCACACTCAAAGTCGCTCAGTTTCAGTATCAAACCGCCATCGGGCTGCCTAAATACTAGAATATTTGACGGCTTGATGTCTCGGTGGACTCTAAATTGTATTATGCATTGTTAGCCGCATCGAACGCAAAAGAGAATAATACTCGGGGAATGCTGCCCCGAAGGGTGTAAGGTGAGCTGACCAACATTTTATAGCAAGGATCTTCCAACCTCTGCAGGGCAGAATATAGCGCAAAATGTTGTTCGAGGAAGTTCTCGAGAGATCTTTGGTCTGGAAAAGAGGGACCTTTGTTGAAGTAGTCAAGGAGGTTGCCCTCGTTGGCATACTCGAGAGCAATATAGTACCGTCCACGTTGGATGAAAGAGCCATACGGCAGGACTATATTCGGGTGAGGCTTTGCATCCTGGAGATTGTGAAAGATGGTCGCTTCTTTTTCACCCCGGCTTCTCGCCTCAATGTCAAACACTTTAAAGACAACCTTTGTAACGGACAATTTGTGTTAGCTTCTGAATTGGACCTACCGTACTAAAGACAGGGCATGGGTCAACGCATTTACCTTTGTGGGACCGGAGTCGCTACATCCTCCATCCAATTTCTCAGGCCAGTCCACTATGTAGATTCCCTTTCCACGATCGTGACTTGGCAACGGATCCGGCCACCCCGGTATCGGTATGACCTGGCGATCCTGGAGATCACGCTTGTAGGGTTTCCCGCTCCACTGGATGTCGTAGTCCCGACGGAGGCTAAGGGGGCAGAAAAGCCATTGTTCTTTGATGAACTTTGCAAGAACCTCTTCGGTCATCATGCAGCCTTTTTCCACCTGGTAATTCTCGGAAAGCGGCAGACGGGAACCAAAGATCTCTTCTTTCAGGAACCATTCAATAGTGCTAACCTCGCGGATGTAAACGAGTACCGAGAAGATTGGTAGGAAGTCCGACCGAATCCTGTCTGCATCGGTTTCTATCGGGGGATTGGCGCTTTGGAGCACCTCGCGAATCTTGCGGACCTGCCAGAATTCCTCCGGATCCGACCGCCGCGTGTAATGCACCTTCTCACCGATGCCGTTAACGCCATTTCTCTTCCTCGCCTTGATGAAGTAAAAAAATTCTGGGCAATAATAACCCGCGGTCCAAGGCTTTTGACTCATGGGCAGGTACCGGGGTCGAGCGTCACTGGTTCAAAAGGCAGAATCCCGGGGTGGGCGGTCCGTGTGGAATGAAGAATGCGAGGTCAAGGATCCGGGCTTGGTTGGAGCCGGAAAGCTTGTTGTGAGGTGGCCTCCAGTGGGGAGGAGAGGCCCCGGCCAGTCCGCTCGTTTGTTTCAACGGCGTTGTAAAGTACGGAAGGGAGAAGTAAGGAAAACTATGACGTGAAGGTGGCAGGCCCTAAGGTAATGTACAATGTGTATGTGTATATATCCCAAGGAGCCTTGGGAGAAACGATTTGATACAAGGAAACATCGACTTGGGTGTGAGGAAGGAGGAGTGGAAGAAAGGTGCGCCAGATATTTGAACCTATCAGTCGAAAGCCGTGCTGAGTTTACAATTATACACAGCCGAATATATACAGTTTTCTTGGCAATACGGAGTATATTTTGAAATGTGCCACCGCGCGGAGAACTAACGCCGAAGCGCGGAATAAGCCTGATATGTCTAAGGCCAAGGCTGCATCGTAATTGATCAATACAATATCGTATTTGCTTGCTCATCGTTCTGTTGGCTATGATGCGGACAAACAATCTCTCTTTTCCCCCGGGAGAAGGCCCTTGGACATGAACCTGTTCCATTTACACGGAACGGCCTTTCGACGCCATTCCGCCCCATGATCCAAAAGTGCAGTGAATTATCAATAATCTGCATCTCCACGGAACGTTTCGGTCTCCAAGAAGGCCAACACACGCAAAGCGGGACCTGGTTATGCAATAGCCAGCCACCTCCGTCCGTCTGCCTTTTGGGAGTGTGAGGGAAGGGTGGTTGAGACGTCCAGAGTACTGTTGGTGCCCGAGATGCCACCTCAGGAGTCATTTCCCATGGCCTACATCTGGCGTAAGCTGTCAACGCAATTGCCAACTTGGAAAGGATGCTTTCTCTGTGGCGTTACATACTAACCTACTCTTGATTCTTAGTAAATGGACGGAGCAGGCTCTGAATTTGTTGCATCGAGTGAGTAGGAATCTTGCACTGCCTACTAGGTGAACTCGCCTTTGCCCTGTTCTTGAACGTCGGATGCCGGAAGTTTCTTCCGGGGTTGATGACGTCAACTCGGGAAACTCCGTCGACAGTCGAGGGCACGGATGTGCTTTCCCTCAATTAATCAGCGCTAGCCCGGGCCGCATCCGGTGTGAGGCCAAAGGGATGCAATTTCCGCCATTGTTGGAACGGTTTATCATAGCTTAGCGGAAGAGCGTTTTCATGAAATTCCGAATCCGCTTCTACTCTGTTAGGCTCTCACGTCCTCCACAGCAAAAGGAAGCAATATGACCAGGGTTTCCACGAATAGAACCTCTCATCTCTCTGGCAGAGGAATCCCTCCTCTGTTGGTTAACTCTTCTGATTGGGCAGCTTCTTTTCCGCAACGGCCCGCCCTTCTCGCCAGATGTCGGCTGCACGGCTGGTTTTCACGACGTTTTTGTTGGCTTTCCATCATTGCATTGATTTATCCTCTATCTCTCTCTCTCGGGTGTTGGTCTTTTCAGCAATTTTGGCGGCGATTGCGGCCATCGATCGCACCAGATTTGCACTTGTTGATTTCAGCTGGCATTTTAGGTGAGGGTTTTTACTTCTCAGGGTTTTTAGTTGGTATTTAGCGGCAAGTTGCCACTGGCCGAGAGTGTCATTCGAGAAACCGGGCTTGGCTATCTTTTTGTAAGTGGGCACTGGTCTTCCGGGGCCCTCTTTCGCGTCCGAATACAATCACCGAAAGCCTTCATGGGGATCGGACAACGACAACAAGTTCGTGTATTGGCCCCGGCCATATCCACCGAAGTCAGCAACACCCTAAATGATTCTGTTATTGAATTAATTCTCGTTTAGTGAAACGTCCTATAAGAAGAAGTGTGATTCTACGCCAAGAACTTGTTAAGGCTCGAGCCGATTAGGGCCGCTATCACCTCCGTAGCCAGATCCGTGTGTCCCCTCACTCATCCCACCATACTTCTTGATAATGGGACTCAGTTCTCGCCACCCCGCTAGGGACCCCACAAGCAAATGCATGGCACTCTTCAAGTTCAAGTCCTTCTATTCCCAATGAAATGCTATTCAGGTCTACCGTGTTATAGGATCCAACCCGTTCCTTTCCGTCAAGTGTTTTCCCTTCGTCCATCTATGTCGCCGCAAAAGTTCCAGAACCCGTAAACTCCCCATTTCACTCAATTCCTAAACGTATATCAACCAAGTCTAGTCAACGTCAGGAGATGGCGGCAGCTCATCCTCAGATGGGTACCTCGAAGAAGACGTTGACTCTTGTCCTCTCGTCAGCCTATTCAACCCGGCTGCCCCGTCGTTCCCAAGCAAAGTCGGTGTTCCCAATTTTGCGGTAATGCCATCTATTCCAAACGGACTTCTCGCGCTGTTCGGTCCCCGAGGACTTACCATGCCTCTTGGGCTATACACCAGGCCCGGACTCATCAAGCCACCAGGGCTCTTCATGACACTTGGGCTCCGGAGACTGCTGCTTGGATTGGCCACCCTCGGGCTTCTGGTGTTTGCGTTCCTGGGACTATTCAGCGCATTCCTTGCACTGGGCGTTCGAGGTCCGTTAGCTCCACTCCTCCTGCCATTTGGGGTCCTTCGCCCGTTGGAACTAGTAGTCATGGCATCAGGACTCCTTCGCCCATTGTTGTTCCTGCCATTAGAGCTGGTTGTCATGGCATCGGGGCTCCTTCGCCTGTTGTTACTTCTGCCGTTGGAACTCGTTGTCATAGCATCCGGGCTCCGCCGGCCATTGTTGTGTCTGGCATTACCCCTAGGTGGACTCCTTCCGCGGCTTGCCTGACTCGTGCTTCTTCCTCCATTATTAGACCGACTCGGACTCTGAGCTCCGTTCCTATTCGGCGTCCTATTTCCTTTTCTGCCGTTGGGACTCTTGGTGCTGTTTCTTTCACTCGGCGTGCCTGTCCTCTCCGGCGATCTTCTCCCGCCATTCCGCCCTGATTTCGGAGTACGGCGGTTATTGTTGTTGATACTGTTGGGATTACTGGCGGTGGCGTTGGGATTATTTGAAGGAATCTTGATCGTGGGCCGGTCCTTGCGTCTTTTTCTCGTACGCTGGCGTTCGGGCGGCGAAGGGGAACTAGACTGCTCGTCGGAAGTGGAGGTTGGCGATGGTTGGCCGGAGCTGTCCGGCGGCGAAGAAGAGCTTGATTGCTCGTCGGATGTGGATGTCGGAGACGTTTGGCCGGAGCTCTCAGACTGAACTTTGACCTCGGGCGTGGGCTGGATCGGGGTCTGAGGTTGGGCTTGCTGCTGAGTTGGTTCTTGGGATGCCGGTTGAGCGTGCTCCTCGGCCTGCTGGGCTTGAGCTTGAGCTTGCGGTTGAGCTTTCGCTTGGGTATTTTGCTGCGCCTGGAGCCTCTCCTTCTCTTCCGCCTCGGCTTGCGCCTTCATAAAGGCTTCCTTCAGCGCCTGCCCCTGCGCCTCCCTCTCAGCCTGTTCCTTAGCCATCTTCTCCGCCTCCAGCTTAGCCTGCTCCTGCAACGCCTTCAACTGCTCTTCCGTCAACTGAACCTCCTCCGGCTTAATCGCCCTCAACTCCGTCCTCAACAGCTCCAGCTCAATAACCGGCGTCCCGGGCGCCACCTTGTTCTTCAGCCGATCATTGTCGCGATCGAAGTAAAGCGCCCAGAAATCGCCCTCCTTGACGGCGCAGAACCCCTCCCAGCCGCCGAAAGTCAGCCGCTTATCCTGCCGCGTGCAGTCCCAGGGCCCCGTGAGGTTCCCCTCGGACAACGCGCGCGTGCCGAATTTGATCTCGTACGTGTCTTTGTGGACGAAGATCCAGTTCATGATGGGGGCCTCGTGGGTGATTGTTGAGACGAGGCCAGAGTATCGTTGGCCTGGGTAGGGGAGGTAGTAGCCTTCGAAGGGGTGGCCGAAGGGGACGTTGTATTCGGTGCCTGTGTCAATGTAGACCTAGATTACGAGAAGGAGAAGACATGTTAATTGCCATGAAGCTTATCTTCAGGGGACCGGGGAATAGGATGTCTTACCTTGTCTCCGGCGAGGACGATAGCTCTGCCCTCGAGGAGAGGGCTGAACTTGGAGCTCTTGGGACAGTGAGCCACGAGGTTGTTTTTTCTCGTTCGGTGCTCTTCTTTTCTTGATTTGGACTGGGCGGCGCGGACACCTTCGGCCGTGCCAAAGACGGCGGCGAAGCCCGCGATGAAGGTGAGCATTCTTGCTGCTCAATGGGTAGCTCTCTCTCTCTCTCTCTCTCAACTCTTCCTCTAGCTGGTGGATATCTTGAGCTTCACGCAACTTTTTTCTTTCTTCCCCTCTTCTTCGTTCTCCTCTTACCAGAAGCTCAAGCTCTGTTTGTGATTAAGGATATGTATTATTGATTAATGCAAGGCGGGGAAGATCAAGTCTTGGGGTTTCAATGCGAGTCAATGGCAGGGAATGTTCGTCAAGTGTTTTCTCTTCTTGCACTGCAATAAGATGATTTGACTGCGGAATTTCAAAAAGAAGAAGAGGAAAGAACGGATCTGCTATAGCTCAGGCGGAATAATGAGCATAGGACGGGTGAAGGGATGGTTCGCCAACCACACAACCTTGGTCGGAGGCGCCGAAGAGGTAGGGAAGGAATGGGTAGGGCTGTTGAAACACGTTTGAATAATGCTCTTTACACAATCCAGTTGTGCTTCTGGCATTCGAAAAAGGGAATGTCGAAGGAAGGTATTGTGGAAGCGAAGACGACAGCTTACGGTGCAGGAGCTTCCCTTGGACCCTGACCCTAGTGTTCGGGGGTTCCTTGGGAGCTCAGGGATTCAGGGTATTGGGTAATAGTGAGCGTAGTACGAGGTTGGGTTTCTCGGACGGCAATGAGACGAGGACGGTAATGTGCCATGTGGTGTCTCGGGCTTGAGGGCTGTTCCTGGTTTTGGCTGATGGGACGGACAAATTGGAATCGGTTCTACGCAACGTACACTTCTTTTGTCATGGCTTACAGAAGGGCTGGATTGGATTGTTGCTCCGTTTGTACTACTTCATACTAACCACTACTATGAGGTACCGATTAGAGATGTCGACAGTGACAAAGGGGGGAAGGCGAATGGCAGTGGGAATGGGAGTGTTTGATGATCGGGGTGTCTGGGCGTAGTGCGTGCTGTGGGTGTGGTGCGAGCAGGGAGATCATCAGCTGATCGGGGGTCGAAGCTGTGAAGGGTAGGGAAAACATCAAACATCAATTGATGGCAGCATTTACGAGGAGGAACATTCACAAGGTAGGACTCAAGAGCGGGCACGGCAGGGGCAGATGTCGAACTGAGTCCGAGTGAAAGTCGTCGAGATGCGATGGACATTGATGGGACGGGGAAGGGTGGGAGCGGCAACGGGCACGGGGGAGTCGGCGGGGGCGGGAACGAGTATGGGTCGCCGTCGAGGTCGCGGTCGGCTACGACAGAGATGCACATCGCAACCCCTAATATCGTACATATTTGCCTTTCCACCGCCGAAAGGGCTCCGCTCGAACGGGGCCGCAACAAGACACGCGAAGTAGACGAGAGAAATATGGGCTGAGGTCTTGTGTCAGAGAGCAAAGTTCAACTCCCAGTGGAGCCTGGTCTGGCCTGCGCAAGGGAAAGGCAGGGAAGGGAAGGGGATTAAGAGCAACAGCATATACCCATGAAACGCCAAAAACCCAAAATAAAATTCGCCGATTTGCCCAGAGGCCGGAAATGATTCGATTTTCTAGAAATCCTACCCCGGCTCTGAAGCAGACGGTGCCGCACCCACACACATGCTCTCCAACGGGGGGAAATGCACCCCTGGTTGGACATGGATCTACCCGAGCTTAACCCACACACCAAGACTTGGAGTGTCGCATCAATTGATCCCTTCTGTGAAGAATTCGATTAAGATTCGTTCGTGGCGTTCATTGTGCCGCCCTGGGCTTGTTGATTTTCCCTTTTTTTGCCGGTTCGTCGAAGCTAAAACCCGGGGACACAGAGGCACACAGAGAGACCCAGATGAGAAGTCTGGAGCCACCAGTGATCTACGGCTCCGGGCCTTCTTCGTTTATGCCCCAGTTGTCGGCAGATGCAATCTGTTCGTGCTGGTGCTCTGCTGTGGCTTGCTCCGTGGATGTACGGGATCGGGCCTCTCGCTGCCAAGAACAACGGTCCAGCTTCTTGTACCACCCCCCTGGTCGGATCTGCAAGAGCAACAGCTATGGCTGGAGACAAAAACATACGATTTTTGAGCCTTGACGCTGTTGAAACTCGGGTTCGCGCTCATAGCACGATTTTCCCCATAACTTCTTTTTATTTTTCGGGGAATTTTAACAGGCTGTATTTACACTTGTACTTGGGTACCTACAATAACGTGAAAAGAAGGTCACAGGTCACTATTTGCTGGCGATGGAGAGTGATAATAGATGGGATTAATATTCCGATGGGAATTATGACCTTGTTTGAAGGTCTAAGGTACTTTTGTTATCTATGCTGCTCCTATACTAATTAAAGGTACATTTCCTTTACTCAGCTCGTACCTTCAAACGACTTGTGGGTAGTGCCTCCATCCTGCAGGTACTCTGCCTCCGAGTCTCCACGACTTTCACGAGGAAGAGCTGAGTTTGGCAAGTTGAACCTCGCTCGGGGAAAAGAGACGCAGGCTGAAGCACTGATCCATATCGGACGCATTCACTAGCAGTGCAGTGCATGCATCCCCCGTACCTGACTAGACCAGTAGTAGTAAGGGGAACTTCTGACGCTCTGTACAACCACTCGCATTGCTCCCCCAATGTCAGAAAGTGAGCAGGGATTCATCGACTTGGCTCCTTCAGTGCCACCACGCTCACGGGCCAAGGGGGCCGAAGGGACGGCCTGGCTAGTACCCCCATTCGCAATGGCCCTTGTCTGTGGGGAACATGAGCTCCTCGAGGATCTAGGCTTGATGAACCCATTGCTACTTCGTATGATAAGGGTCGTATCAATGATGTGGCTGGCTTTAGGGGGAAGAACCCCACCAAGAGAAGGGGAGGGGGCAAGGAGGCTTGTTTGAGGCGATAGGCGGCTATTGCGAATGGGTAGATGATCGGAGAGGCGAGGGCTGGAACTGGACCGGCCCATGGGGATGCGTGAAACGAACCTTGACAGATCCCATGGATCGGAACCAAGCGAAAGGGAGAGAAAGGGAAAGGAAGGGAAAGGGACACGAGGGGAGGAGCATGTCCGTGCTTACTAGTCTGGTCGGCAACGTCTGTGAGACGGAAGAGCAAAAGGAGGAACGACACGGGTAGGGGAATGAAAGTTACATCGAGTTGTGAGCTTCGAAAGGAGAAGCCATCTCCAATTCAGACGAACGGATCCAAGAATATAAAACACATCCATCATCCCTTCTTCTCATCCTCCCATTCCCTTCTTTTCTCCATCATCAACCAAACAATCACATCTCAACCTCTTCTTCTTCTTTCTTCAAAAAAAGTCCTCTCCCCGGTCCTACGACCAACGCTTCCTTTTTTCCCCAAACGTTAGTATTGCACGGTGGCCGCCATCGCTTCCCAAAGCACCCCAACGGCCAACAAGCGCTTCTCTACAGGCGGAACTCCCTATTCCCCTCAAGAATCCCCAGAGCTCTCGCCCCGTCTAAGACGCGCGTCGACACTCAAACTCCCCATCAAAATCTCCACCGACCCATCCTTTTCCTCCAGGTCATCGGCAGCAGCTCGGTCCCGCACACGGTCCCTAACTGCCATCTCACCCGAGGATAATCCCATCCGACAGCAGCAGCAGCAGCAGCAGCAGTTCCCTACTCCTCCTCCCGCCCTCTTAGAATCTCCCCTTCTCTCCGGTACAGCTCCGGAGACTCCATTTACAGACAACACGTCCTCCTCCAACCGGCCGACGGCACCGTCGTCTCGACCCGCTCCTCCCACCCCCACCCAACAACAACAACAACAGCTTCCCGCTCGTCAGGAAGCAGCCTCGACAGCTCGAGCCCCGTCAAGGCAAGCTACCTCCACCATTCCCACCTCCACGCCCGAGAGGAAATCGTCGGCTTCTTCCACCCGGCAGCAAGCCCCTTCTCGTGCCCCTTCTCGTCCGGTCTCTCCAGAGGTTCCTCGCGCTACGCCGTCGAGGAGTCGTGTCGAAGAGACTAAGCCAGCTAGTGCTAGGCAGATTCAGGATCAGCAGCAGCAGACGCAGCAGCCTCAGCAGCGCGTAGCTCCAGCTCCAACAATGTCCTCTCCGTAAGCTTTTTAACTACTCCGAGAGAGATTCCTCTTCGTTTTGGCTAGCGCGAGGGGGGGGTTTTATTTTTTATTTTTTTTTAACAATCCCCCCCTTACACACACACAATTATTTGGAGGGAAGCAACTTTAAAGCTAACTTGTATTCGCTTTGTTGATACAGCGCCAAGAACCCTCAACTCGCCATGGATACCGCTCAGGCCTACACTCAGGGCAACACCCAGGCCGGCAACCGCGGCCCCATTGCCAACCTTCCCCTCCCCAACCTCTCCGGCCAGGCCAACGGCGTCATTGGTAAGTCATCTACTCCTCCATCCTCTTCTTCAAGAAAACCCTCCCGCCCAGTCGAGGTCGACATGTCCGTAGCACCTCTCCCGCCTCGACCACCCAGCCAGCACCACAACCCGGTCGAGCCGCCATCACCCACCGAATCAGAATCATCAGAATCACAAGCACTTGAAAGAATCGCGGCACAATTGCCGCCCAGCGGGGCCGTCTTCGACTGGGGCCTCCGCACCGGAAGAGCGAAGAGGGCTAACGTCGCTGCTCAGGTAATCTCCTCAAGGGTCCCGTCGGGGCCGACGGAAAGCTCAAGGATGCGGCGCTGATGGTTGGTATCAAGCTGGATTTGGAGGCTGAAGTTCATCTCACTGCGAGGGTTAGGGGTGACATCCTCGTGGGGTTGTATTAAAACATTATATATATCACCACTTGGGTTTCATGGGATTTCTCTTTTGTTACGCGGGTCATGGGCATTTTTGGGTTAGAGAGAAAGTCCGGGACTTCTTTTTTTCTTGTTTTCTTTTTGGGAATAGAAAAAGGATTGTTGCATGGACTTTCGGGGAAGGGAGGAAAACATTGGACTGGTTTTCATGTTTTCCGGGGGAGAGTTGTATAGCATTTAGGATTTGAATAAGATGGAGATTGAGATATTTGGTTCTTTTCTTACAGTGAGATATGTTCTCGTGAAGCCCTTGGGCAGGTATGAAAGGAAAGCAGCTTGCCCAGGGATAAGGAACACGCCTTGTTTCGTCCACTTCAGGTCGCTGGATCGGTAACTTTCCCCTCCCCGAGTGTTCGGCAAGTCGTTGATCCGACCGGTTTCCCCAGATCCGCAATCTTCCAAATCCCACACGCAGTAAACAGAGGGCACCGTGTACGGAAGCCTATAGCGAATTTATAACTTTTGAAAACTTTCGACCTCGACCCCTCGAATTTTTACTAGAACTACCCCAACCCGTACAGATTTAGAACATTCAGCATGGCTTCAATAAAATAATATTTCCTTTACTATTAACTTTTCTTTTTTCCCCCTCCATCATCTATCATCCTCCTTCTAAGCTACCCCTATTACTACAAGTTGGTCAAGTCCTTCCAAACTTACCCACTCTACTAATATTCCAAGCAGCATTTCAATCATTCCCATATTCCAGTATTCTAATATTCCCATTTCCAGTATTCGAGTATTGCAATATTCCAGTATTCCAGTATTCCCATATTCCAATATTCCCAACACTTCCAATATTCTAGTAATCCCATATTCCTACATTCCCACATTCCTATCCCACATTCACAGTATTACAGTACTCGCAGTATTCGCAGTATTCCCAATATTCCTAATATTGAATAATACTGAAGTTTATTTAACTAGAAGTGTAAGTATTTGTACGGATGGTGTGTGTGTATGGAGGGGTCGAGGTTGAAAATTTTCAAAAGTTACAAATTCGCTACAGGCTTCCGTAACCGTGCCTCTCTCTAACACGCCCAGAGACGTTGCTGGCCAGGCCGTCTTCATCCGGGCTGCTCTGGTCCGAAACCAAACTGCGTCTCGAGCTCTACTTCAATCTCTCGCCCTCCACATTAATCCTAAAGGCATTAGGGTACTACGGAGAAAGACCTGTGAAAAGAGGCGTGCCTGAACATTTTCTCATCTTGTGCTGCGATGGGTCCTCTTGATCCCGCGGACCTAAACTAAGAAGGGAGAAGGCCTCAATCTGTGAAGGGCAGGAAAGGGATCACGGCTATATCTCTCAGTATACTAGAGATTATGTTTTGATCGACGCATACGAAAGACATCAATTGATGTTGACGACAGCTACCTTAAGATGGTATCGTGTCGATGGCTCCGTTCCACCCTTCGAGTTCTCCGTCTTTAAATGAAGCCACGAGGACATGCCGCTGTTCCCATCCCCACGTGACCTGAGACACATTGATTAGTAATGGAAGTTTTCAGCTCCAACTGCCCACAACCTCCCACAACTGTTCCAAATCCACTCTTCGCAAATGTTGTGACGTCATACAGCTTCACTTTCTAATCTAGCAATTGGCTCTCATGGATGAGCGATGCTACGGAGTACGGTTCAGTCTTGGCCTCTGGTCGAGCGAGGATATTGGCCACTCCCGGCTAGAACTTGATCCGGTGACCTCGTACTAGATTATGAGCTCGTTTAAGGAGAAGAGTTGGTGCTGGTGGCGCCAAATCGTGTATCCTGGAGGGGCCTGCCCCAGATGAGGAATGAGGTTTCCAGGCACATCGGGCACTAAATTGGTACTTCCTATTCGGACAGCGCCAATCATCCCCAGGAATGCCAACATCAAGAAATTCGAAAGGGAGCCCTTCTGTCTCCCCAAGGTCAGGATGGAAGTGGTCGCCCGCCCATGAATGACAGCGATGCCCTGCCCTCCTTCCTCTCCAATGTGGAGAAGATCAAGTCTTGGGGTTTCAATGCCAGGCAACAACAGGCCCAAGCGGCGCCACTGGTTGTCTGCGTGTCACAGAATTGAACCTTTTAAGTCCGCCTGGCTATCAAGACCTTGACAAAGGACCTCTCGAATCTATTAATTCCTACTAATAGAGAGCATCGGCCGCGGCCGGAATTACGAACCTTCCGCTCCTGGACTCGTCACTGCCAATTTCACCATGAATCCATACGTGGCGGACCCAGATCAGATACCGGCTACTGATCTCTATGCAGACGTGCCGCTCTACGGGCGGTATTTTCCCAAACCAGACGATTTCAAGGTCGATCCCCAGCATATTAATTCGCAGTCTGCAGACTCGTTGCAATACTGGGGGTCAGTCGTTGACCGATGCGACGAATCCGTCAGAATCTATCCGGCCGACGAGGGCGGCCGTGACGTGTTCGCCCTTGGCAGCGTTATCGTCAAGTCGAGCCACCTGCATAAAACAGCGGACGGCCAGCAAACGGAGATCGATTACTCGTATGCCGATGCCAACGAAGTCCAGGCCATTGCTCTTGGCAAGAGCGTTCTGAAAGACGTTAGGGTGCCAGCCATTTACTTTGCGGGCAAGGTATACCTGCTCCCCTTTACTACCTGAGCAATGTCTCTCTCTCCCGCTCACACCGTTTTAGATCAATGGTCGCCAGGTGCTAGTCCAACAAAGGCTTCCCGGCGTTACCTTGGCCGTCGCGTGGCCGTATTTATCACAACGTCAAAAGGAGAGTTTTAAGCAACAGGCACGGGAGATACTTTGGCTGTTGCACACTATTAAACCCACTGACGGATGGAGGACTCGCAGCTATGTCGTCGAAGATCCCAACATCCGCACCAACCACCGTATCAATCCACTCGAATGGGACATTATCTTCTCGGATGCCAATACTGACCCGGATATAAGTTTCATGCACAACGACTTTAGTACGTCCAACTGCATCGTCGACGACGACAAGATCGTGGGACTTGTCGACTGGGAGATGGCGGGTTTCTTTGGCTGGAGGACGGCTGGCGAGATCCATGGTAGGATCAGAACGCCTCAGAGGGAGCATTTTGTCAGTGCCAACTTGAGTGAGGAGATGCTGCGGGACATGATGTGGTGGAACGATCTTTATGACGACGGCATGCCACAGTCTACTGAGTAATCGCAAAGCTTCTCCCCCACACTCACCTGTGATGGGGCTCAAGACTCCAAAGAGATCAATCGCCTGCATGGGCTGGCTGACCTCGGAATGTTTGCCTGAAGGCTGAATCGCAGAACCAACGCGAACCCCACAGGCTGCTGGACTGTCGCCGCCGCCCCGCAAGCCGCGCGAAGGCCGATTAGAGAACTGGCACGATGCTCCGCTCTCCTCATCAATCTCTCCCCAATCGTGATATTGCGACCTCGAAGGTGCAGTGGCATCCACATTGTATGGGCTCGTAATAATAATTACTATGCGGGTATTACAAGTAAGTAGATAACAACCCATTATAAATCTATGAATAACTTTAGGTGTGGTGGAAATGTTTCATCCAATTTGGTAGTTTCTTGAGTCTCGTCTGTAATTCTTTTGGAGAGAAGAGGGTCCTCATTTGACACCAATCCCCTGCAGACCCGAGACCCGAGACCGAGAGGCAGGGCGCCTCATTCAGGTGGCACCTTGAACCTTGAACCGCTCTCCGCCTGATGCATGGGACTGCGTGGAATTTCCAAAGTTTCGCGCTAGAAACCACACAAGGTGTGTCGAGGTGCAAGTCAGGTGGCCGAGTCAGGAACGAGACAGGCGGACACGCAGCGAACGCCACACCCGCCGCCAGTCAGAGTCAGTGTCAGTGTCAGAGTGATTTAGAAAATGTCAAATGGACATTACCTCGTGGCGTTTTTTGCCCTTGTGGAACTTCTCTTCTCGTCGAGTGGACGGTTGGATATGGAATATTTTGTAAATTTCGCTCTTTGAATCTCGGGATTTTGCGTTTTTAATTCTTTTGGGCCCGACCACTCCCTGCCATTCCAAGTGGTCATGCTACACGAGATGTACATTCCCGAAGTGCAGAAGAGACGTGGACGTGCGTTTCCAGGCGGTGATCCCCGGAGTAGTTGCTGCGAGTCCCTTGAGTCACTGAATCGTACCATTCCCGGCTCCACCTTGTCTACCAAGTTTGGTAGTTTTACGCATACAAAGAGAGCTTCAATCATCCATGTCTGTCCAAGTGGCACCGTCTTGCCCGGCGATCCAACCAGCTTCCCTCTGCCCCTCGTGTGACGACATTGTTCAAGTGCTCTAGCTGGTTCGTACGGGAACCCCGCTCGCAGTCCCGGTCTGCATAATTCCATTCTCTTGTTCTCGTCTCCCAACGGCAGCGCAGTTTTAACAAATCCGAGATCCGATCCGGCTTGACAAGTTGCAAATGCAACAGGACAAAGAGTGCCACTGGTTAGCTCCGGATTGACATTGGTAGCCAGCCTATGATCGACACCGAACACGGCGGCGAGCGCCACCCTACCGCTTGTACTGCTGCTTGTTGTCGTCATCGTCATCGCCAAGTCGATCCTGGGATTGCAGATTTCCTCCTTGTTTCCTTCCCTTTCTTTGCGAATTCTTGAACTTAGACAACAAAGCAAACTGCGACTTGATCGATTCCATTCGGTAAAAGCACTGGTCAATCTCAACGATCCACTCGCTGGCCAAGCTCTCGGAGTCTTGGGGACTCGTAATAGCTACTTCTGCTCCCAAGAAGCATCCAATCCCATCCCCCTTCCGCTTCCCAAGCCTCCATCAAGATCAGGATCGAAGCCCATGCAGCATTTTCCCATGCACATTCTAAACTTACAAGACCAATTCCAAGTCGAGAATTACAAGCCCCTTCCCTGTCCCTTGCCTGCGTTCCGGCAAGGAAGTCCTGCATCGCTGCATTCGTAATTTTTTTTTTTTATGTCTCTAGACGTCATGCATGAGCTTCGTCCCCGTGAGGGAGAGAACCACTCTTGACGCTCAACTGATTCTTAAAACCCATGGCGTGACCCCGTCGGCTTCCATTCCCTTCATCACCCTTTCCACACACACGACACACCCGCTCACGCAGACACACACATACTCGGACCCACGGTTCTAAGTATTGATTAGTTTAGATCCGGGCTGGATTGTGGATCTCAGTACTTTAGCAGTATCGCCTCTTCTTTTCTTCTTCGTCTGTTCTAGACTTTCTTCTACTTTTCATCACATCCTGATTTAGACACAACACCACAACTGCTTAGACCTTTTTGCACTTGATCTCTACATCAAATATCTATACATCAATCTACACTACACATCTACACGACCGACTAGATTCCCACTAGAAAAAAAAAATGTCCGACCTCAGAGATCGCGATCGCGTCATCTACGATCGCAGTCCAACAGACCACGTCTACCACCGCTCCCCTTCCCCCTCTCGCCACTCCCACATCGAGCGTCGTTCTTCCTCCCGCTACCATGGCGACTTCACAAACGACGGTCGCCACTCCCCCGACTTCCACGCAACACCCCGTCCAACCCACCGCTATTACCATGACGACCCTCAACCGCGCTCCTCCCGCCGCGACCTTTCGCCAGACTATGAACCCCGTCGCCGACCAGCCGAGCGCGACGACCACCACACCGAAGCCCCTCCGCGCCGCTTCCGCTCTCCATCCCCTTCCCCCACGCGCGCTCCCCTACCCAGACGTCCCACCGTGCTAAGGCGGCAATCGTCGCTGGATACGTACGATAGGCCGCGGTTCTACGAGAGGGAGGAATATCCGCCGCCCGTGCGCCGAGAGGATATCCATGCTTCGTACGGCGCTAGCCCGCTTACTTCGCGGGTGAAGACGATGCGCATAGACGAAACGCGGAGAAGCGAGTATCGCGACGATGATTTGAGCGATCGACATAGTCTCGTCAGCAGTGGAGCGGGGGTTGGTTTGGGGCTGGGATACCATTCGCCCAGCGGGCCGTCTTCCGGCCGGGAGAGGGTAAGGGAGAGGGATGTCGTTAGGGTTAGCAGGAGGCGGAGGAGTAGGAGTCGGGATTCGTTGACGAGCAGGACGCGTTCGAGGAGGAGCTCGTCGAGCTCGCGGTCCGGGTCGAGTAAGTCGAGTTCGAGTAGTCCGAGCAGGGCAACTTCGAAGAGCGATGAGTATCCGAAGAAGGGGAAGACGAAGATTCCGGCCAAGTTGCTGTCGAAGAGGGCTTTGTATGATTTGAGGTATCCTTTTATTGATGAGGTGGGTGACTTTCTTCTTTTTTGCGCCCGCATCCCCCCTTCTCTGGGCACGGGTGCCCTTTTTATTCAAACCAGCTAATACGTCAACCAGGGCAAAACGATCGTCATTCTCAAGGCATTGAGTCAGGAACAAATCGATCAAGTCCTCCGCGTAAGCGACGAATACAAGAAAGGTATGTTCTCATGCCCCCCTCCCCCTTGTCCCCATGCTAAAACCATCACCACAGCCGAGCTCGAAGTATCTTCCGCCCGCTCCTCCGCTGGCGACATCGAAGATCGCCGCGAAGAAACCCGCGTCCCCACCCCAGCCCCCTCCACTCCAGCGCCCGCTCCAGCTCCGGCTCCGGCTCCCACCCCCGCCCCGGCCCCGGCCCCAGGCCCCGTCATCATCGACGTCCACCCGCGGCCAACCACCCCCGTCGTCATCCACCAACCCGAGGTCGAAGTCATCAAAGAGACCGTCGTCCGCGACCACTCCCCCTCCCGATGCAGCACCTACACCTCCACAACCACATGTCCCTCAGCCAGCGAATCAACCATCACTCTACCGACGGTCTACGAGCGACGAAGGCGCCATTCCGGCCCCCTCGTCATCCGAAGCAGAAGCAAGTCCCGATCGCGATCCCGCTTGGGCCGCGATATCCGATCGGAGATTCGCGCTCTCGAGGCCGAGCTGTACGCGCGGGACCATCACCACCACCGGCGCCATCATCGCCATAGATCGTCTTCTATCGGCGGGGAGTTGGTGAGGGTGGATAGGTTGGGGGATGGCCAGGTGGTCATGTTCGAGGAGAAGGTCGAGAGGGTTGATGAGGGGTATCGTGGGCCGAGGATTGAGAAGGATAAGAAAGGTAGGATGTTCTTTAGCGTGCCTAAGAGGGGATAAAGGTGTGCCACTTGGTTCCTGATTTCTTGGGAGTTAGAGTTGTTATGAGTATGCTTTACTGACTGGTGCGTTGTTTTTTTGTAGGACCGCCGCCTGCTTTGGTGAGAGCCATGCTGGCTACCATTACTTGATCGGGAATTTCTTTTGATTTTTTTTTTTCCTTGTTTCATTTCTCTTTTCTGATGCTCGTTTGCGGGATTTGGGTTAAATGGTTTCGGATGGTTTGGGTAGACCTGAGAATTGGGAGCAGGACTCGATGGCACGCAGGAACACAAGCGGTTCTTGATGCTCAAACGTATACGATTTTTCCTATTAGACGAGAAACGCATTATCTCTTTTTTCTTTTGTTCCACTCATTTTGGAAGAATTATTTAGGTTTTGGATATGGGAATTTTATACGCAATACAAATCGAAACCTGGTTCACCATTGAAGAAACGGGTGCCTCGATGAACGATTCATAGTTCTGGGAGATGCTAATGTCTTGTCTTTTCGTTTTATTCTCCCCTTGTACGCATCATTCCGATGCTCGACTGGAAAATAATACATGGGATTGATGGAAAATTTAAAAGGATATTCTCCTTAGAAGGCGACGTTACACTTCCTCCCCAGACTGCTCTCAGCTCATCACCAACCCAGAAGGGAGGAAACGAAAGGGACAGAACATCCCTACACTTTCGAATCCGATCTAAGCCTAATCCTGTAGAGCCTCCGGCCCCGACGGACACGAAAAACAAATTCAACCATAGAGATACTATACCGGCTTCCTTGTGAAGCCATCCTCAAGTCACGTGGGCGGAGGATCGGTCTCCGAACCTGCCTTGTGTTCTCCCCGGGTTTCTCGGTCGGCCATTCTCCGGCCCGTCTTTATTGATTTTACTTGCTTGGGGGAAGGAGAAAGATCAAATTGCTGCTGCAGTGGCTTTTCTTTGGGAGTTTCTCCGCATGCCTGGTCGTGCCCTTTTCCTTTGAGGCGCTGATGCCTCGTCGTTGTCGTGCTCTGGCGAAGAGTTCCCTTATACTTCTGTGGAATGGGAATACTGGGCTTTTCTTTCCGAGATCCCCTTTTCGGGCAATGTTTCCCGCTGCGGTGGTATGCTGTGCGGAGGAACAACACGGGACGAGACGAGACGGATTGGCGGCTTTTCTGCCATTACGACCACATGGTGAGCGCTACCCTCCCCAAGGACAAAGCGTCCATGAAAGGGAATGGGAAGCGGGGAGGGAGATGTGTGGTTCCCGGGAAATTGGCACGACGGTTCATTTTGAACATAATCTTGGAGAATATAAGTCTTCTTCAAGCCTTGGCTTGCCTTGCTTCTCACGCTTCCCTTTAGGTTTGATGATGGTGGTGGTGCTGTAGCCTTTTTCTCTCTCTTTTGCTCCCGTCCTTTTGCTTCATTCGTCATTCTCTACGTAACTCTCTCTCCCTCTCTCTCTTGACTTCCTTTGGGTCACTGCGGATAAATATTCAAACATGAAGGTTTCGCCTATTGTAGGTGCCCTGTCGCTCGCGGCCGGAGCCATGGCGAGCAAGTGCGCCTCTCGGAACTGGTCGGGCTGGGAGAATGCAAAGCACGCGTTCATCTTGTAAGTGGTATAGAGGATGATTTGAGCCACATCACTGGGAGAGACCGGGAAGATGGATCAGCGCGGAAGAGGCGTCGATCAGTGTCACGGGAACCTCTACTAACATCCAACCCCTCACAGCGGCGACAGCTACACTCAGACAGGTATGCCACCAACACCAAAACCCCCGTGAACACTTCCATCTCTAACAAGACTTTCCATCCCCAGGCTTCGAAGTAAACGGCACCGCCCCCTCCGCCTCCAACCCCCTCGGCAACCCCCCCTACCCAGGCTGGACCTCCTCCAACGGCCCCAACTGGGTCGGCTTCCTCACGACGAAATACAACGCCACGTCCTCCCTGCGCACCTACAACCTCGCCTACGGCGGCGCAACCGTCGACTCCGCCCTCGTCGAGCCCTGGAAACCCACCGTCCTCTCCCTCCGCGACCAAGTCACCGACCTCTTCCTCGCCAACTATGCACAGGACGCAACGGACTCTCAAGTCTCCTGGGACGCCAAATCTACCGTCTTCGCCGTGTGGATCGGCATCAACGACGTCGGGAATTCCTACTACAACGGGGTAGAGGCCACGACGGAGCTCTACTGGAAGATATTCGACGTGTACTCTTCGCTTGTGGAGGATCTGTACGGAGCTGGCGCGAGGAACTTTGTCTTCTTGAACGTCCCTCCCGTGCAGAGGTCGCCGTTGATCTTGGCGCAGGGCGAGGAGGCGGCGGCTTTGGAGACGGAGGCGTTGGAGAGGTTTAATGCGTTGATTGAGGGGCTGGCGGGGGATTTGAAGAAGAAGCATGAGAGGGAGGTGAATGTTTGGGTTTATGACTCGTACAAGTCGTTTGGGGAGGTGTTGGACGATGTGGAGGCGTATCCGCAGACGGCTGGGTATAAGGATACGACGACGTTTTGCGAGGCGTACCAGAAGTGAGTTTCTCTCTGTCTACGTCTCTCTCTCTCTCTCCCTCTATATATTTTCTCCAGCGAGGATAATGCTTGATTGAGGAAGACGGAAAAGGTTTATGGCTAACCTGGATGTGTACAGCGGCACTCCCGAGTGGGATACTTTCGACGAGAATTGCACGTATCCCGTCAACGAGTACTTTTGGCTCAACAGTCTGCATCCTACTTATCCCATCCACGACGTCGTGGCCGAGGGTGTTGCTGAGCTCCTGAGCGGTCCTCCCAATGTCGGCGCCTAGGGGGATGGAAATGGGTTGTCTTGGAGGTGGGGGAGCCCCCTTCATCTTGTATTCTTTCCAGCTAGTATAATTTTCGTATATATTCATTCTATCACGTCTTTTACGTATCTGCTGTAGTTTTATAATGGACGGGGAGTGATCGAACTCAGACACCCTTTGTGAGAACCTAGTATATTCGAGGCCGTTGAGCTCTCTAGTGGAGGACTTTGATTGACCTCTAAAGTCGCAAAAGTAAAGAATCTGAAAAGGTGTATATATACGAGTATTTGGTTTGTATCTCGTCTGAATCACACAAATGGAAAGCTTGGTTTACAATGACTCCAAAAATGCCATTCCCTTATGCTGGCCGTTGCCTGACTTCCTCCCTCCCTTCCCTCATCTCCCCTCATCTCTCGTCGTCTAAACACACTGTTGGTAGTATTGGTTCGTGGTATCACACCTAGATCCGCTCTGTACAAAAAGAAAAGCAGTTAGCCAACCCCAATCCAAATGCCACTCTCGGAAGCTGTCATGAGAATAGAGAACTCACCTCGCAGTTCGTGCAGCCCGTATATCCCTGTCCACCACACTGCTGATACTTCGAGACCGTACAACTACCAGCCGCGCCACCAGCAGCACCACCCGCCGCAGCAGCTGGCGGGGCCGAAGTCTCCAGCTGCACAGCCGGAGACTTCCCAGCAACGCAAGTCTTCTGACAACCCGCCGAGCAACCCGATCCAGCGGTGACCTCGAGACCACTGGGAACAACAGCGGGACCAGGCGCCTTGTACGTGCTCAGCGCCGCATGAATATTAGCAGTCAACCCCGGATCCGAAGCGCTATACGCCCCCGGGAACTTGACGCCCGCTGGAACGGTGGTCCCGGTACCGCCCTCGATGGTAAGTTGATAACACGTCATATAAAGCTGTGCCGGCATAGCATGCAGCGCCACAACCTCCGCGCGCAGCAAATAATCGCCATCGGGGATATCCTGCGGAATAGGCACGTCGACCTTCCCACAGCACGCGTTCATATCTTTAACACCCCAGTTATCGCCGTCGCCCACGCCGCCCGCCGCCTTCCAGCTGTTTTGGAAAATCTTGAAGAACTCGGCCGACCCGTCGGCCGTCTGCGCGTTGTCCACCTTGGATAGGTACACCATGACGGGGCCGTAGTGGGCGCCGCCGATGGCTTCGGAGCCGCAGGACCGGTCGCCCGGTTGCTGGTGCATCTCGACGGTCACGGTGCCGCCGGCTTTGACGGGGCATTTGGCGCCTACGCCCCGGGCGCCGCCGGCGTTGCAGCGGATGTCGGGGCCGTTGACGTTGGTGACGGGGGTGTTGGACATGGGGACGCGGGCACACTGGGAGCCGTGGACGCTGAGATGTTAGCTTTCGGGGTCTTTGGACGTTTATTGGGGAAGGGGAAGAGACTTATCATGTCTTCTCCATCAACCCAGAGTTGTTGGAAGAGGGCGTGGCCAGCGACCTGCTCAGCCGCGAGGGCGGCGACGAGGGCGAAGAGTCCCGACTTCATTGTGCTTCTTCTTCTTCCCGTTTGCTCTCTGGAGCCTTTTCTGGGTTTCTCGAGATCTGGTGTTGTGGATGTTCTGAAGAGATAGAAATCACCAGTTCAGACAGAAGAGAAAGAGAAAGGGCGGGAGTAGAACAGGGTAAGGGGCCGAAAGAGAGAAAAGTAAGAATGAGACCAGGGATGGCAAACTACCGTAATAATATCGTTGACTCTTAAATACAGGATATATCAACAATAAAAACCTCGTCGGCTCCCGGCATCCACCTACACGCATGGGGGGTGGCGAGTCAGGAGTCAACGCATCCTATGGTGAAGACTCTATGTGGAATGGACGAACCAAGTATTGGATGGGAAGAGAGCCTGCCGTCCTTTATTCCCTCTAATGCACTCATCCTCTTTACTTCCTTCATGTTGATGATGTCAATATACTGGTTGTGGGGACGGGGAGAGGACCGGGGGTGGCGGATGCCACTCGGCGATATTGGCTGCACGGAATGGGCTTCCATTTCTTCCCCACGCTTTAGAAAGATGCGCCAGTTCGTGGGGATAGCCGACCAATAACGGATAGTCAATCCAATTGCAGTGGATAGGGAGTAATATGTGCGCTTGACAGTCCCCGCCTCCGCCCCTTGAAGGACCGGCGCCATTCCGTTGAATAGTTGGATAGTTGGATAGTTTGATAGTTTGATATGAGGGTCCTCACTAATCTCCCAGAAAACCAATCTTGTATGGCAACTGGGTTGGAATAGGCTCGGTATGCCGACGCGCCAGCAGATATATTCGATCGAACCTGAGCATAACGGATTCGTGAGCCATTTGGTGTCCATCTCCGGCGCTCTCCTTTATCACAACACTTCGTCTTACCCCAGATTCCAAGTCTTGAATGGCTCGCCCATCTCATCTACCCCATCTCCCCCACAAAATGTAAGAACCAAGGAACGATAGCCGAACAGAGAGGGGGACTCACCTTACAAGAGTCAGAATAACCAAGCACGATAAATTGCCCAACCCCGGCACCTCCATGCCAACCCTCCCAAAAAGAAACCTCCCCCGTACCACGAGACCTTTGCCGTGTGGCCGAATTAATAACCATCTTCTTTTGCAAAAGTCCGCTCCCTCATGCGATGAGTGGTTGGCTCTGGTCTTGGGTTCAATATATATTATGTGGCTAATATATCCGGCAGAATAGGGCCAAGGGGGGAGGAAGAGAAAGAGATGAAAAGGAAATAAGACGCGGAGGAGGAAATGATGAATATAAAGGGCTTAATCTTTCTCATACTTGAATTCTCGGCTTGTGACTTGTCTTCTCATAGGAGTGTGCGCGGGCGGAATAGAGCCAGATGGGCTTGGGTTCTCATCCAGTCGTGTCTGGCTGAGCGAGCTTTCTGTGCTTCTTCTCCGTTCTCTACCCTAATTATTTGCCTGTAGTATGTATCAATGGAAATATTTCTATGCTGCTAAACGGGTTCGTTCGAATATGGGATGCAGCAATTGGACTCGAGATTGCAATGCTCGCTTGCATCTCGATCTCGGTAGCTTCACGATCCGGACCGGGTTGGTATTGAACTGGCAGGTTCAAGGCCACAATAAGACATCAATGACCCTTGTGGCCTCTAGTCTTGGCACTAGTATAATTGCCACCTCCAAACGGAGCTTCAATGTCGAGTTTGGAATTCAGAGAGAGGCTACTTAGTTCTATCCCAGCACTGTTGTATCCTCTTCATCTCGAACTGACGGACCACATACTCCTCATCGAATGATAAAGAGTAGACAAATTGAAATACTACTCACCTGCAAACCCTTCATCTTCTAAATCCCATCTCGAGTTAAGTGAAGTGAAAGTCGTGATAGTAATCAACGCGAAAGAAAGCATCACAGGGGCATGGCGCTGCTTCCCATGACACCCTCACCCCAGACCAAGATAATCTCCATCCCATCTAGCGGAGATCTTCTCGCGCCTGAGCAAGAACACCCCCTCTAAACCGAGGCCATCGACGGGTCCTTTGCATACGTCCATAGAAGCAAATCGAAACGTACCACTCCCATGCCAACCATCACCCTCCCCTCCCTCCCACCCACCCACCTTCTCCTACGCACCCGCCACCCAACTGCCGAAGACTTACCCAAAGGGAGCGAGGAAAGGAAGTTGAGAAATCAAACCTGCGCGCAGCAGAGGCGTAACGTAAGCAACCCTGGGTGTGCTGGCCCCTTGGTAATCTGCGCCGGGGATCTCGGGAAGACGGTTACGGCAGATCTTGAACTCTCTGGCGGATTGTAGACTCGGTTCCTTTGTAGAAGTCACAGTAGGGATGGATTTCAACGGCCTTGCGAGGAGTGTGACAAAGAGTGGCGTAGTTGAATCTCTGGATCTCCTGCGCTGGGTTCCTTGCGAGAAAAAAAAAAAAAAAAAAAAAAAGCCCAATACCCCCAACGATGCTCGTTCGAAAGCTGGCCGTTGACGGATGCCAAGATAAACGTCCAAGGAATCACATCGAAACACACCCGCCAGACCCCTTCCCCCATGTCGTTCCTCTCCGTGCCCACGCATCAAGCGCAAACCACGATGAGAAAAAGGGAGACGTCGGCGGGGCCACCGAAAAGGTTTAATAGAACATGCCAACAAGTGACAAAAATCCCATTACAACCATCTCGAGACGAAAAAAGAAAGAGAAAAGAACTGAGTCCAACCATGAGACTCTTGCTCTCTTCGTCATCCGGTCGATAGAAGTCGGGAGTGGCCCGCCAGGCCGCCTCGAAAGAACCTGCTGGTCAAGTTAGTTTTTGCAGCGAGGGAGAGGAAAGCGTGGATTCCACGCTTTCCATCCTCAGCATTCTAAGTAAATCTTTTCCAGTCAAAAGGGTGGGGGTGGGGAGTCGACAGCAAACAATGGAGGAGCACATCGACATGGCAACAAGAAAAGGAAACACTCATGATCCACAATCATCACAATCTGCAGAGAAGAGAAAATGCACCAAAAGGTGCATCTCCACGTCTCCACCCCCCTTTCCCCAAGAGTATTCTTCTTTTGCTCTCTCCCTTTTCTTCGTCCGAAGACTCCCCATCAGCAACCTGCTTCAGTTAGCAACCAAAGACCAAAAAGGTCTCGAGGGATCTTTCTGGAGAATGCCTTCGCATCGCTTCGTGATTTCGGGCTTGCCAGTGGAAGGGACTCCGGTCTTGAGAAGAAAAAGGGGGTGGAGGCGCATTTTTGTATGGCTTTTTCAAGGGTCGGTATTGATTTTCTTTCTAAGAGAAAACGAGTAAAAAAATAATAAACGGGTAAGAATAATAAAAAGTTGCGTTTCGCGCGAAGCACCATTTTCAAGAAAGAAAAAGGTGCAAGTATTTGTCGATGACGGCGGCACAACTGATGCGGGTATCTCGATATTCCGTTGACAAGAACAATATCCCACCTCTCCACAACGCCGCATAAAAAACCATCAATCGTATGCCTCCTGTTTATTTCGGCTGCAGCACCCTGTGCATTCTCAGCCAGAAAATACCAATGCCGTATGTGACAAAATGGCGGCGAAGGGGAAGAAAAAAAGTATGTGCAGGAACCTAGAAAGAATCACAGTTAAACACGTCCGACATCATTCGGACAAGCTGATCAGTGCGTCATGTCAGCAGACGTTCCACCGAGCCATCGATTTCCCCTTCAACGAGCGATCCAGGTTCAGTTAAAGTTGCAAGGCTCGTCTGTGCAGGGCCCGTAGACCTTCTCATACAACTGTCGCATGTAGATTCGTTGCGTCTCAAAATTCTTGTAGTTGCCGCCAAGAATGACTCCCAAGATGCTGGCGTTTTGGCGATCCGACGCCGGCATGCTGGCCACATCGTTCATTCTATCCCGTAGCGCGATATACGCGTCGCTAAATTCCCTGGCTATTGTAGCGAAGTTGGACGAACCGCCAGATATATCGTTGCTGGGGTTGTTGGGGTCAATGATCGAGAGGCGGTCCCAGTTTTTGTAAGGGAAATTTGTTACTTTGGACTGCGATTCGACGGACGTCAGCCTCTCGTTCGGTCGGGAAACATGGGGAAAGAGGAAAGAAGGAAATACGTACCTTGGGGACGTAGCCAGGAGGGCTGAGTCGAATTGCGACCTCTTCATAGTTGAACCGATTACCGTAAAGGTCAAAGAATTCCATTAGAATTTCGCCAAGGTGATGCTCCGGAATCATGTTCCTGCTTTGGACCTGCGGCATCAACTGCAGCATGCTGACGACCAAGCAAATCACGGTAAAGCCTCCAATGCCACCATTGACCGGCTCGTTCAGGCCCCTCATGACCAAGAACTGCTTGATCAGCGTGACGAGGATTGGCATCGACGGGTACTGTTTCCGCCAGACCAGGAAAGTGTCGATGGCGGAGATGCCACTAATATTCTCAAACGACACATCGACTTTGAGTCCCGTAAGCCTGTCAACGTACTTGACCAAGGGCACTCGGGCCTTGGCAATGACCTCGGTAGTGTCCACGTGCGGGAAGTTTTGGACCGTTAGGAACTTCCGGAACTGGTAGAGAAAGTTCTTGCTTGAGCAACGCGCCGTCGCGCGGCTCGTTTTAAGGAGCGAAGCGGAGCACACCACAAGGTCCATGTCGGACAAGGGCAGATATAAACCGGACATGAAAGAGCCAAAGGCACGAAGTTCGATTCCGTTAAACTGACTACCTCGCTTCATGGCAGTTTCGAGGGTCGTCACGAGGCGCTGGCGGAGTTCTTGCTCAAACTTGCGGGGCCTAAAGTGCTCATAAAAGTCCATGACTTCTTTGTGAAGCCTAGAGGTAGTAATGTTAGCCGGAAAAAGAGAAGAAGAAACTATATGACTTAAACAAACGTCACATATCAAACGGGGGTAATGCTTACCATGCGCCCATTAGGCAAGTCGCCGAGTGGTTAACAATCACCCAAGGGCAAGGATCCTGGCCCTTGGGAGCGACCCACTCGGACATGATGCCTCCTCCGACACGCATCTTGACGGGTCCCTTCTTCTTGATAGAATGAAGCGGCGGTTTTATCTCGTCATCAAAGGTTCGTTTCCTCGAGCCAAGAGGATTATCCGAATCCTGACGAGCTTCACGGAAATCGTAGGCAGGAACGATTCTCAGGCCCTGCGTAGGCTTAACCTTATCAGCAGCCTCCACTGCGCGCCGGTCCTCTTTCTCCTTCTTTTTCTTCTGCTTCCGCTTCTCCTCTTGTTCCTCCTCGTCGTCCGTGTCGCCTCCGAAGGAGATGAACTCGTCGAGCTCCGCAAGGGCGGCCTCCTTGTCCTCAGTAGCTTCGACACGGGCTTTCCTTATGAGCTGTACCACGTCTAGCTTCTTTCTCTGCGACGGGTCGGGAGGCGGTAGAGCGGTGTAAGGATCGGGATTGGACCACTTGGGGACGTTTGCGTCGGTTTCCGTGGCCTGTAGTGAACGGCGCGTACGCTTGGATGAGGGTTCAGCAGACTCGCTCTGGTCGCTATCAGAGATTTCCATGTCATGCTCCTCGTCATCCGAAAGTTCTTCAATGTCCTTGTACTTTACTCCGCTGTCATCGTCGCGGAGCACGACTGCGGGAAGGAAGTCGTTGGCGCTCTGGAGAATGGGTCGCTCTGAGGCGGTGAAGCGGGGAGGGAATCGCGGGTTGCGACCGCGGTAACCGCCGTCGCGGGGATGTCGAGGAGGCCGACTACGCGTATAAGCCGCTGGGCCTGAGGGAGGAGGGAGAGGGAGTACGCCGGGGGGATTGGCAACTCGGAATGTGAAGTCACTCTGGGGAGGTCTGAAGTCGGGACGGTAGCTGTCGCCGCCGCCGCCGCTGTAGTGTTGGGAATGGGAAGAATTAGGGTAACGATCGTCAGAGGGAGGACGATAGCTGTCGCTCTCACCACGACGCAACGATCGACCTGGGGGATAGGGTGGGGGAGGCGGAGGGGGAAGGGATGGAGGGGGAGGTGGTTGTCCGTTTGTGGATGTAGATTTCGAGTCAGATGCACGAGGCGACGCGGACCTTCGTCTGCGAGAGCGCGACCTGGCTTGATTGCCGTTACCGTTGCCGTTGCCCTTAGCTCTAGCAGCGCGTCGGCTGGATCTGGTCTTGTATGAATCCATCGCGATGTTGACTAGAGGAAAAGAGCGCGGATGCTGACGGTGATGAGGAGCTGGAAACTGGAGCAACCCAGTCGTCTCCAAAGTGGGAGCACAAGAAAACGGAAGGCAGGATGGGCTCGGTGGGGAGTGATACCCAAGGCATCAAAGAGTTATTATTGTCGGGGGAAAAAAAAAATAAATAATCTGCTCAGAGCAGTAGGAACTGATGTATGCACCCGTCGTGAATAAGGTAGAAAAAGAAGAAAAAAAGCCTAAGTCAGCTTCTCAAACATTTTTGTGTTCGAAGTGGTTTAGACGGGATCTGGAGATAATTTGCGCCCAGAAATCGAAGGGCAAAGAGAAGAGAGAAAAAAAAAAAAAAATGGCGACACAAAAAAATTGTGGAAACCGCGGCCGACGCGTAAATCGAAAATTGTTAGATAGCTTCGTCCTTCCAGGTGTATTTTAGCCTGTCGGCCTATTACCGGCTAACATTTTGTTTTCAGTTGCGAACCATCGACGTCAGAGGAAAGCGGTGGCATCCGACAACGGTTATGTAAGCGATCAAGGGCCTTCAAGTTTGGTCGCACTTGCCCATCCTGCAACATCACCACACCACAGAGACGCCTTCTCTTGCAGGACAAAAACAGCAATACAATGGCATTAAGTTCAATATGGCCCTGTCTGAAAATGAAAAATATTCATTATTATGCAACAGTCTTAATCGAGGATGCCCTCGGGCTGGAAGGAGACGTAATCCAAAGGTGCTCCCTCGCCTCCATTAGGAGACCCAGTAACCTTGACAGTCTGCCCCTTCTCAACAGTGACGCCTCGGAAGAGCTTCCTCGCCGCCGAATGCCCATCCAAGCCATTCGAAGTCGCCTTGGAAATGCGACTCTCGACGTCTCCCTGCCACTCGCCAATAACCTCGTCGCCGATGGAAAGGGTCCACTTCGCCTTTCCATTACTAACATCAAAGTATCCAACCGCAATATCATAAACACCAGAGTCAAACGGAATCTCAGCCGAAGCAGTCCCACCCCCACCGCCAGCAGTCACCGCCGTACCTCCCGACGCTGCCTCGCTAGGATTAGCATTGGCGCGCGAGTACCCGCTAAGCGTCATCTTCTCGGCCTCTATCCTCCAGACGTGGTTGTTAACGCGGTCGAGCTCGTCGGCAATGCCCGTCATCCGGTTGTAGAAGCGGCAGATGAAGTCTCGCCAGACGACTGAGTGACCCGCTTGATACTCCAATCGGTAGAGTTGCGCCTCGTAGCGCTCATCATCGATCTTGCCCTCGAGCTTTTGCCAGAGTAGCGGGAAGGTCTGCGCTGTTTCGGCTCCTGCGTAGTGTGCGTCGTAGAAGTGCTGGATGATGGTTTTCCCTGTCGATAGCTTGTGCGTCCAGGGGAGGTGATGGAACCAGAGGATGAGGTTCTCGGGGGTGGTTTCGACATCCTCGTACCTAGCGGCCACCTAGTTGTGTGTGAGTATGGGGGAACGGAAAGAAAACAAAATCCCTGTTTTTCCTCAAGTCTACATACCTCGGGAGGGTATTGGCCAGCATTGCCGGTTCCAGTGGCCACGGTACGGTCCATCCCGATTCCGTTGCGGTCAGCACGAGTCCATTGCCCCCATCCATTGCCGTCTTGGGACGCAGGGTTAGGTCCGTAGTGGTTGCCCGTGATGTCAGTCAATGTCTGGACGCCAAGGTTCCCCGTGTAGTTCTCGTATGCGGGCCACGACTCCATGGACATTTGCGTGATGACATCACGGACTTCATCGTCAAGGCCGAAGGTGAGGCGAGTCCAGTCGTGCAACATGTCTGGCTCCAACTGTCAGCATGCCCACAACTCACATCCTTCCAACCCAAGCCACAACTCAATGAAGGACAATGACGGTTCTCTGCGGTTTTACTCACCAACCGAATCATCCCACGGGTTCCAAGCAAGACGGCCATACGTATACAGGTTAGACATGGCCAGATGGCTACCGAGCCACGACTTCTCCATACCCACATTCGATACACCCGCAAAACCACCCCTAGCTACCGTCTTTCCCCCAGGACGCTTCCCAGTCAAGATGTCGCTTACGCGAAGTTCCTCGCCTCCCCACCTCATATCAAAATCCAGAATCTCCTTCCACAGAGGCGCAAGGTAGAAGAGATGAGCCTGTTGACCTAGGTACTCCTGCGTAATCTGCAGCTCGATAGCCATGCTTGTCGTTGGCAGATTCGCAAAAAGCGGGCTCGCAGGCTCGCGAACCTGAAAGTCAATAGGCCCGTATTTAATCTGCACCACGACGTTCTCCTCAAACTTCCCATCCAATTCCTTGAAAAACTCCACGGCGGCATTAGCGCGGTCAGCTTTTCTGTTGCTGTACTCGAGCTGGTTGTAAACGAAGGCGCGGAACAGGATAATGCCACCGAAGGGCTTTAGCGCACGCGCAAACATGTTGGCGCCATCAGCAAGTGTGCGGCGGTAAGTAATCGGACCGGGCTGGCCCTCGGAATTAGCCTTGACGAGATATCCCGCGAAATCCGGAATGCGCTTATAGATGTCCTCCGTCTTACGGGTCCACCAGCTTATGACGGACTGGTCGAGGGGGTCAAAGGTGCTGAGACCGCCGACCGACTGCGGCGAGGCAAAGTTGAGCGAGAGCCCGAGACGCACGCCGTAGGTGCGAAAGGCGTCGGCGATCTTGGCGATGGCGTCGAGGTTCCTATCATTGAGGATATTGGCGTCGGCGTTGACGTTGTTGATGACGATGGCGTTGATACGGATCGAGGAAAGGAGCCGCGCGTATTGCTTGATACGGCTCGTGTCGGATACCACGGCGTTGTTGCTAAAGAAGAGGGATGGGCCTGCGTAGCCACGCTCGACACTACCGTGGCTCCCGCCGGCATTGAGGTTATCCCAGTGATTGATCCAGCGCACGCTGACGGCCGGGTTCGTCGCGTAGGAGAGCTTTGTGAAGTTTCCCTGGGCAATCATCGACAGGTACTCGAACGTGCCGTAGATGGCACCCCTCTCGTTCTGGCCAATGATTTGAACCGTATCATCCTCGCCTTCGGTGCTGAGCCAGAAGCCATCCTCGCCGAGCTCGGCGGCGCCCTCGGGCAGGTCACCGCAAGCCTCTTGGTAAGAACCCACGGTGCCAACGATGACTGAGGAGGCAGTGTCGCAGGCTCCCTCGGCAACCTTGGCTTCTACACCAAGAACACCGCTGAGCCCGGCCTCCAGCTCGGCTCCGGCCGAGGCGATGGGGCTGTTTTCGGTGGCATTCAGCAGGATGATGGTTGTCGGCGCGCTGTACTCGCTCGCGATAGATTCGTCGAGCGGGGCATATCGAAGCCAGCCGGCGAGGCCGTCCTCGGCGGCGGTGAGGCCTAGCGAGGCAGCTACAAGGAACACGCTCCTCATCCTGGATGATCTAGGAGTGAGGTAGGGATGGAACAAGAGCGAGGCGTCCGCAACAGAGCAAGGAATTCCGATAGGCCCCTCCCTCTCCCATTAGACAGGTATCTTCTCTATATAAGTTCCATAGCCAGATGTTTCCTCCTCCCATTATAACGGCATATATCAACGTTTATTCGGCTCATCCCAATTTTCGATATAGAAGATCTATCATATTGCATCACTCCGAAAAAACAGGCCTTCCACTATTTTTCTTTTCCATTCCCAGAAAATAAGAGCACTCTCGATGTCCGTTCTCAATCTGGATAGGTACGGATAAAGCTAGGAGCAGGACAGAAGCCACCAAGAATTGGTGGAAATATTATTCAGGCTGTATATTAGACCACCGTCCCGCCCTTATTATCTAGCCGCCTCCCCCCTTCGCCCCGCTGCAGTTCATGGACCACATGCAGGTCCCCACACCTTGGGCCTCATGGTTCATCCGATGGTGGGAACGGTTCATTGCATTCCCAAATGTCCTCCAGAAGGGTGATAGCATCCGCCACACGGCCAGAGATGTGTAGCGCCCTCGCAATGGCTATGCCGATAGGTATAAGGAGTACCTCCAATCGCCGCCTCTCAGAAAACATTGGCCAAACTCCAGTTAGCATCGCCTTGACCTCCTCTACCGGGGATGAGTTTGGAATGAACTGCAAAGGCCAACACTGAGAACAGTGGTCCGACGTCAAAGCTTAACACTCGCGCGCATATCGCAGCCGAAAAAGACCAGTTCGCGTCCTAATAGTCACAGTTCCCGCAATATCCACATTCTCTGTCGCAAGCTGTGTAGTCTTTCAGGTGGCTTCCACAAAATCGGATCCATTGCTGACTGGAACAAAGTAGGCACTCGGTGTCATGGGGAATGGTGAGGTGTCAAGACAGTTCCGCAAAGTGGTATAGATTTATTCAATAATTGCGCATCGCTTTGCAGCCGACCGACTGCACTCCTTCCGATCAGAACCACTGTCATTCATAGCACATCACTAAACATCCCAATCACTTCAGTCCGGGTCTTGACTTCTTTAGCCCCCCAACTTCCTAACACGTTTGATGGTCCCGTGCACCTCCTTCCTATGGCGACTCAGGCTGTCCTCGCGCGAGAAGACCACGGGGCACTTATCGCACTTGGCACGCATGGGGGGATACCCGGTGCTCTCGGCCCATGCTCTGTGGTTGGACCAAACGTGACGCGTCTTCTCTTTCTGATCCCGAGCGTCAGCCCAACTGCAGTCCTCTTTGGGACAGCGTCGGTGAGTGGCGGCATGTTTCCTGAGACAAAAGTTAAGCAACATGGTCGCTGAGCGGGCGAGAAAAAAATAACTCACTTCATCTCGTCGGTGTCGGGTTCTTGATGGTCACAGCCCTTCCACGTGCACCGTACGCGGGCTTTAGATCTTCTTCCGACCAAGGGAGGTCCTGAGGGGATAGGGAAACCCGCATCTGCCGTTCTTCTACGCTCGACACGATCACAAACCGTATGTTCCACAGTCTCAATAGCATCAGGTGCGCTTGAGAGGGGTGGTGACAGCATGTCAGCACCTCAAGGTTGCTGCATGGGCGGATCGTAGCCCGAAACGTCGCTCGAGACATAGTGCTGGGTCAGCAGTGCCGGATTGATCGTTGCGTCAACCCCCAAGCCGCCAGCAAGCGTGTCCATCGACAAAGTCGGATTGGACATGGTCAGGTCTGGATAAGAGGCGACCCATTCTTCAGAGGAACTGATCTCGGCAAAGGTCAGATTAGCCTCGTCATCGTTAGCAAAAGCCCGGCTTAGAAAACAAGACATGGCCAGACGGGGATGGGCAGCTGGAGGTTCTCGCAAGGCTTGAAGGAGGATTACCGCGGATGGGAATGGAGAACGAAGGACTAGCGGGGAGGACCAGGCCTCAAATAGTTGTACATGAGGCAGCGTTACGGAGAGGGGGTGCTGGTCCTCCGGACGCTGTTGGAGCTTATGAATGCACCGTTGGTCGCATGGTGCATGCCATATGTGGCAGAAGCATGCGCCTTTGCATCTCAACGTGGCCCAATCAGATGTGTGCGGCCACCCGTCACGTCAGGCAGACGCATGTAGATGCAGATATGAGTTGCCTCAAGGCTGTCGCGTAGAACCCGACGCGATACGGACAAGAGCTCATCGTCTCCTCGCTTAGCACTCATCCCTCCCGCGACAGGAATCCTCTCGGTCACACTGGGCCGGATATCTCGACAAAATTAATTCTCTATCATCTCAGAATGACCGCACCCGCAAAGAAGGAAGAACCGACTCAGATTGGCGGAGCGGACCTCAAACGCTTCGTGGTGCATTCAGCATTGCTAAGCTTGATCGACCCTGTTCGAGGGGAACCGACGAGAACCTCACTCGACGAGAACCCCGACGGCGATATTTTGGGCGGGCAGCAGCTCAAGCAAAAATTCCTCGACTCATTCGCTCTCATCTGTTCAACGTCAAGATCGGGCGCGGAAACAGCCTCGGCTGTCTGCTTAGAACAACATGCCCCAGCTGGAGCCATCCTGCGCGTGGCCCGCAACCGCGGCTTGACGCCGGAGGACCTGACTGGCCTTGAAGGAGTGTTGCAAATACTTCGAGTAGTTGCTAGAAAGGGTACATACTTTATCCGAAATACGAAGGTTACTGACGGTTACTGACGCAGCGGGCGATATAGAAAAGTCGTCGACGCAAGCCGAGTGCGAGATTCTCCGCCTGGTTGTCGAATTAGACAGAGATCGGATCTTGTCAATTGCCGAGTGGGTTGAGAAGCGCAGGATTCAAGACGTTCTACGAGTGGCGCACTCTAGACTTCTCGCCGGTCAGGTGAAGCCAGAGACATGGGCAAAACCCGAGTTCAGACTTTGGCTGGAGAGTTGCCCTTTCACGGCCGCATCTCTCAAGACCTGGAGTCCCGCGACTTTGGCCAAGCTTATCGACTGGGCGTCGCAAGCCAGGTGGCGCTATTCTGAGCAGTTGCAAAGTTTGCTTGGACTTGATCGTACTCAAAAGCCGCCCTGGCTGGACAGACTGCACAAGATCGCTCGCTATCACTCCGCGATCAAGTACATGGTGAGGCTTGCTGCGAAGCAGCCCGAGGTCTTCGCGTGTATTCACATCCGAGAGGTCGAGGCTCCCAGTTCGCGTTCCTTCTCTCTCCTGAACGAGAAAGCTCCCGTTCTAGCAGCTGTCAAGAACCTTGTCAAGGAAGATTCAGGGACGACAATGCAGCAGTTGGAAAAGCACTTGAGCACGCAGGATGTTGAAGCGAAGCTGCGTAAGGCATGCCGCTTGGAATTGACGCTCCACGCCGAAATGCAAATCATTGTGTTTTACGAAGGTAATCCTAGCTTGGTTCCCCGGATGCCGTTCATCGGGACGAGCAAGAAGGCCTGCTTTCTCTGCCACGAGTATCTGCTCCGGCATCCACTCGGACTCCAGGTTTCGGCTTGTCACCAGAAAATTTACCCGTCATGGATGCCACCACCGTACTACCCAATTTCCGGACGATTCAAAAGCACCCCATTTGTGAAACTCAGCAAACACATTGAGCAGTTGACAAAGCGGGAGCTCAAGACCGCGCTTACTGCTCCCCGGCGGCCGAAGAATCTAGATTCAACTGCCGGCCCCTCCTTGACAATAACGGCAACCACATCGATAGGACTGGGATCACGACAGGCGGCGAAAGTACAATTTACCCCCGAAGACGACAGCCTGTCAAGGGATTTGGAGTGAAACGCAAGTGCAGAACTTCGACGAGCAGGGTCACAGTACGCCGAAAGTCGTTTTCGATCCTGATTATTGATACAGAGTACCCGGCATGTAGAGTTAATACAATGTCACAAGTACACCAAACACGCCCATATAGGCCTTTACAAGTGCATGTTGCAACTTCCGCCCCCCCAAGACAAACCACGGCAACACTGCGAGCGGGTTTCCGCGAATGGCCTGTCGAGAACCCGAGTCGACACACCAACAACAAACTGATGGTCAGCAGCATTACCCAATCTCTTCACCAAGGCTGCCAACCGGCAGATCTAGACCTCATTCATGCAGGTGGCGCATCTTAGGGCCAACAGAGGTGCAGAGACGCTGCACTGCCTCGGTGCCCAACCCTGCGGGTGGCCTTCCACATCGTCATGACTGTGCCTCCCAGTCTCGGTTGGGAATTCGAGGCTCCATCTCTTTCCCCTAATGAAATTATTAAAGACGCATTGGTGTCAGTCGCCCTGCGAACCACTTCACTTCTCGTCTTCATCACCCACAGCAGCAATGGAGACAAACATGACGGACACAAACATCGCCGTGGGAGACCACCGGGACCTCCTCGACATCATCGACAGCCTCCGCTCGCAGGGAGTCAGCCACTATGTCGACCTACCCGAAATCATCGTCTGCGGAGACCAGTCTGCGGGGAAGAGCTCCGTTCTCGAGGCCATCTCCGGCATGCCGTTCCCCACCAAGGACGGTCTCTGCACCCGTTTCGCCACTGAGCTGGTCCTTCGCCGGGGCCGCGATGTGAACACCAAGGTGTCCATCACTCCAGGCGAGAGCCGGTTTGGAGAGGACAAAGAACGCCTCGAAAGCTGGCAACCAAAAGCGAACATCGACAAGGAGGGCCTGGGTGCCGTGACGGATGAGGCGAAGCGCGCCATGGCTGACCCGGCCGGCACAGGGGAGTTCTACGAAGACATCCTCCGCATCGAGCTCACCGGGCCGGGACAGCCACACCTCACCATGGTGGACCTCCCTGGCCTCTTCAGGAGCGGGAACAAGGAGCAGTCTGACGCCGACGCCGGCATTGTCCACAGCATGGTGGAGAGGTACATGGCGCGACCACGGAGCATCATCCTCACCGTAGTGTCGGCCAAGTACGACTATGTCCTGCAGGAAGTCACTTTGATGGCAAAACGTGCCGATCCACAAGGGCTACGCACCATGGGTCTCATCACAAAGCCCGACACCTTGGACGTCGGCTCCGACTCTGAGAGGTACTTCGTTCGTCTGGCTCAGAACCTTGAGGAAGATCTTCGTCTCGGCTGGCACGTCCTGAAGAACCGAAACTTCGAGGAACGCAATGTTACCTCAGCACAACGCGATGCCATTGAGAGTGAGTTCTTCTCCCAGGGCTTGTGGGATTCCATCGACTCCTCACACTGCGGAGTGGCGGCCTTGAGGGTCAGGCTCAGCGCAGTTCTGAGGGACCAGATCCTTGCCCAGCTCCCAAGCCTTGTACAGGACGTGGAAGACGGCATTCAGGACTGCGCTGGCAGGTTAGATCGACTCGGCCCGGAACGAGGAACCCTGAAGCAGCAGTTGAGCTACCTGCTGCGGGTTAGTGAGGAGTACACGTCCCTGGTGACGCAGGCGGTTGAAGGCATATACACCGACCGTTTCTTCGGCAACCGGAAGAAGAGGGACAAGTTCCCTATCAGGTTGAGGGCGGTGGTGCAGAACCGACTCAGAGACTTTGCGGAAGAGATGCGGTTGAACGGCCAGAGTCAGTACATCGTCGATTCTGAGAGTGAGGGTGAGGGCGGCCGCGAAGTCCGCGACTCGCCTCGCATCTCCCGGTCTGAATATGTCCAGGATGTTGCGAATCGCCTCAAGTTCAGCAAGGGTCGCGAGCTCCCGGGCCTCTTCAATCCGCTCATCGTTAGCGACCTCTTCGTCGAGCAATGCGAGCCTTGGAGGAGGATCGCAAGGCTCCTCGCCGGGGATATCCTGGAAGCTGCGCACCTGACGACTCAGTCGATAGTCGAGCATATCACCGCCAGTGACGTTGCAGAAGGGGTCCTCAAACTCGTTCGCCAGGAAATCGAGGTGCTGAAGGTCGAATTGGACGCGCAAGTCGACGCGCTGCTTGCATCGGCCGCGCAGCATCCCATCACGTACAATCCCCAGCTCACTGAGAACGTTCAGCGGATCCAGCAGGCCCGGCACAAACGTGCTATCAAGAAGCTGGTCCGCAAGACGTTCGGATCGCATCGTTTCGACAACCCGGACAGCAAGATCAGCCTGAATCCGATCGAACTCGTGAACCTAGTGGGAGAGGGATTCGAGCCCGACATGGAGCGGTTCGGAAGCGCGCTAGCGGTGGACTACATGGAGGCTTACTACAAGGCAAGATATTTCCTTCAGTCGAAAGCCATTTGGGTGGTACTGACAGGTTCACTCCGCTTCCAGGTTGCGGTGAACAGGTTCATCGATGACGTGAGCAACCTGGCGATTGAAGACTGCCTCATTAGCAAGCTCTCAACGCTTTTCAGATCGAGCAATGTGATGGAGATGAGTGAGGAAGACATATCCCGCCTCGCAGGAGAGACTAGGGAATCTTCCCTTGAGAGACAACGCCTCGAAGAGAAACGCAGGATCCTCGAGACAGGACTCCAGGGCCTGAAGAGCCTTCACAAGCGTAGAAACGTCGTCAACCCCCTCAAACAGGATCAGATGGCATCGGGAGATTCAGAGCAAATGACCCCCATGACACCAAGCAGGTCTGAGAAAGCATCGATCGCCACTAACAGCGTGGAGGCAGCTCCTCAGGACATCATTCCTAATGAACCCTCTCATCCTCGGAACAGGGTTGCGATACCGCCACCAGTTGATGAATGGCCACCCCAACTCGAATTTGCCGTCTGGGGTTCTCGTATACCCAAGAAAGACAAGAAGAAGGCTTTGAGGCAGGGCATCGTTGAAGAGCCTCCCGTTGATCAGGAATGGGGTTATTGAGCGTCAATGAAATCGAAGCATTGGATGCTACTCGATATCGAGTCGGGTTGTATCGACCAATCCCTCATACTCTGAAGCCCAAGCTGTTAGACTTGTGGCGTTTCAAGGATCTGGTCTTGGAAATCGGTCTAATGGAAGTAAAAAAAGGGTCACTGCGTTGGAGCACTGGTTGGTTCGGGGCGACACCTCAGTTTGCCTCGTCGTTTCCAATGGGAGCTCCACGAGATTGGATGATTCGATGCGCAAGGTCGGCGCATCAGAGCGGGGCTCGGTGGAAGCGTGAGGGTTGTGGGTGCGGAGAGGGAGGCTCTGCCGCTCTTCTTCGTCCCCTCTTATTCTAATACATTCACCTACTTGGTATCTAAGAATTCGTAAGGGTTCGAGGGAGCGGTGATCGAGACCACGCGTGATCCTCTTTAGGTATTCGCTATAGGAGCGACGGGTAGAGAGGAAGCTCTAGCAAAGCCCCTCAAGGAGGTTCCATCGGGAAAGCTGGAGCTTGCCCAATTCTTCTATGCGGCCCCTTTGGAGCTTCCTGGTAAGTGGCCGTTGTTTAAGTCCTCGCCGGATGATCCTTTTTGGGGTGTAGCTGCTATACGTTTTCCCTGCTTGGAGGCTAGGGTCAGACTAGGGAGTTATCCCTAGCGGCACTCTGCTGCGATCAGGTTGGCTGAGCATGACCTCCAAATCTCTGTTTGCCCGTGGATCAAAATGATATCCCATACCTCCTACCTGCGACCATCAGTCACTAGCCACCACACGGTCTCGCCTAGACTGCATACACCCTATGAGGAGATTGGCTCTGGGACCAAGGTTGGGGGGGGAGGTGTATTTAAAGAGAGGTGATGTACGCCGCGTTAGCCTTGATCGGCATTTGAAGTTGGGTGTCTTTAGGGAAGATCTGGAGATAGAAAAGTCTGCCTCTGATGTGGCATGCACGAGCCCGACGACGCTCTTCTTCCACCTTATACGATCACGTGCTGAGCCTGCCCAATACCACACTACTTTACTGCACACCAGAACTGAATACAGCATGTATAAGTCGGGATTTGAAGGTGTCGCCGTCTCCAACTTATTGATTGTTTCTAACTTCTAACATTCGGCACTATCCATGTTCAGAATTAGAACAATTAAGTGATAAAGAGAGGTAACCTAGCCCTGCACACTCGCTGCGGTCTATTATCAAACCCTAGGCGAATCGCTGCAATCTTGAGAGTTACATGCTTTTCTCATTGATGCTGCAATCACCGCTATCACTTTGCGAATGATGATGTTGATTCTCTCTCAGATGGACATCCTCGAAGAGGCGTGTTAGAGTAGATGTGGAATGAGCAGAGCTGGAGTTCGGGCGCAAGGCAAGAGCTTGGATGAATTTAGAATAGGAAGAAAACCTAGTCGAATCCACGTCCACCATGAGAGCGATGAACCGGCCCTCTCGAAAGCCGTCTTTGTAGACCTGTCTAATAGATATGTCATATCACTAGTTCGAGACTGCGTAGTGGGCGTGTTAGAATAACTGCTCGGTTCTCCTTCACCGCTGAGCCTGACTAGTACTTTCTCTCTCGAGGTATCGCCTCTCAAATGTTTATATTGACCAGCAATTGTATCACTGATATTCCCTTCGCCACCCCTGCCTGTAATGCTCATTTCGATAATTGGATGCAAAAAGAACCGATCCTAGTGAGCCCGCATGAGGATGTAAACAGCGATGACGCAAGTCAATATCATCGTGACCATTTGAGTCTGGGAGGGCAGGCCGGCCGACGCGTCGTTGCAAGAGACATGCCCGGAAACAGGACGGACATTCAGGAGTGTGGGCCAGATGTAGTGTATCGGCATGGTTGATGTTTAAGGCTGAGGATGTGGGTTTCGGAGAAAGATCTGATTATAATATCTTTTGTTGCAGGGTTTGGCCGGGGAGATTTGGAAATTGGGTGCTTCTTGCTTCAGGACTTGCGGATTGAAATCGCGCCTTGGACCCCTCTGGATATACTGCATTTCTTGATGGCCATTTCTCGTCAAAGTTCATAATTTTGACAAATTAGAATCAATATGAGGCCTCAAGATTACTCTTCGGACGCAGTGAGGCCCCCCTAACCAAACTCTCATCGAGCTTGAATTGAGAAGCATCATATGACCTGTATTCTCTCTTAGACTTCACGACACAAGGTACTTTGCCTGGATAGGAGAACGCGAACTATCCATATATAGGATGACGCGGCAGAGGAGAAAGTGGCCTTCCTGCTAGGGAAGGGTTGGCCGGCTAGGTCAGCGGTCCTTTCCCTAGCCCTCCGGAGCGAGGACAAGTTTTGGTCCGACGCGGGGCCTCGTGTCGCCGGCCGGGTCCGGCAAACCCACCAAGCCGGTAATTCAGTGAACATCAATCGGACAGATGCAGAACCATGAACATAGCCTCCTCCCATTCGATGAACCGGGAGGAAGATATAAGCCCTCTGGCAAAGTTAAAATTGCGGCATAACTCGCAAACTGAGGCCTCCTAGGATGGTGATGCCCGAGGGCAAAACGTCGACGTCAGGGCAAGCCTTCGTCTGTCCTCGCTAGAAAAGGAAACTACCGCGAGATAGTCGTACAATAGGATATTTTAAATATGGGGCGTCAAGCCGAGACGGTGAACAGACCCTCGTGTGAGCGGGAAAGTTGAACCGGCATGATATGGCTCCATTTGTGCGGTCTGACCTCGAATGAGTCCCATGTTTGGGAAACACTACAATTCTTTGATGAGGCAGATTAAGATCCTCAGCGCTTCTTGTTCGTAGGGTCTGAATGGGGGATGATGGGATAGAATGTCTGGGGGAAGTTCAAGGAAGTTCATCTTAAGGGAAACAAGCTATTAATTGAACTGTGACGATCATCCCAGTCTTTGTGAGGACCTTAGCACCTAGCTAAGGCGTTCAGCATGTTAGTTGATGATTGGCTATTTCTCAACCCCAATCTCGACTTAGAAGAGGCTCTTCGACATACAAAAGGAAGCCGTTTCACCCTGCTGCCGACTCTCCAACGCCCGTGGCGACGCAAAGCTCCAGCCCAGTTCGCACACACCCACCCTCTACACTCAGGTAGCATCACTCGTCGGAAGGACGAGCCGAGCTGGAGAACTGATCCCCCTTGTGCACAGAAAAGAAATACCACCCAATGACGAAATCCTCAAAGAACAATTGCAGCCAGCGACTCTGGGAACTAAACTCCCGGGCGAAGCTTTTCCCGTCATCACTCCTCCCGCGTCGCATTGGCCAACAATGATCGACAACCCCTTGCGACATCGCTTCAGTATGGAAATTCTCCAAAGTCCAAGGGTCCAGCGATTTTCCACAGCCTACAGCTGGCCCAGAAAAAGAAAATTTATCCTCGTCTTGCCTGTACGAAGTAAAACAAAAATGTGGCCCGCCCGTGTTGGTTGAAGGCACTCCGCCTTATTGGGTACCGCCTGCACTGAAACCGATCGAGTATCATGTCTTGGCATTGATCTCATCGACTTTACTTCCCCCGGAGTCTCGAGCGCCAATGAACGAGCTGAGATCCGAGCCAACTTCGTAGTGAAACCGGGAGACGAAATGGATTCTTGTACCTCGTGCACTGCGGGATGCTTCACGGGGAACATTCAACACATACAAGCCGTGACAAATGTATACGGAAATAGATCCGTGTATAACATGGGCGCACAACATAGCCCGCATCGCACCCCACGATGGCGGCGAACCTGCATCTGTGCAGGGCCGCACTGCCGAAATCTCCGAATCGTGAGAGCGCCTCGTTCCCTCCCCTTGCCCCCCCCCCTCTTCTCGTTTCGACGCGGAGCCCGTCGGCACGCGAGTCGCGAAACCATAGACTTGTTTTCGCCTAGGGGGGATCTCTCACAGGCGAAGGAACTTTACTCGATGGTCCGGGTCCGGCGGCAGTGGAGGAATGGTAGAAGTGGAAGAATAAGAGGACGTCGAGTTCTTTCTCAACGAAAGCCCCAAATGTTCATCTGAAGAAATAGAAACGCTTTCGGTCCTCTCTTCTTGTTTCCCATTGCTTCGTCCTTCTTTTTCTGTCTTGTCGTTCTCTTCGTCGTGCCGGTCACCAAGTTTGTATTAGCTATACATTCATTTTTTCGACTTTCTTTTCATTTCTTTCCTTCCTTCCCTCCCGCTCGTTTTCGATAAACGTCCCGGCCGTTTTTTTTTTCTCTATATCTCTTCTACGCTCAAGCTAGGCTGTCAAACTTGTCCGAGTATCGCGAAAGAAATACCATCGCAAAAATGAAGTACACCGTCGCCGTCGCCTCCTTGGCTGCTCTCGTCTCGGCCCATGGTAACATCACATCACCTGCAGCCCGACTCGCCGGTCCAGCTATGGCTGCCGCTTGTGGCCAGGCCGCCGTCGATGCTGTGAACGCCGATGGAACCATTCCTCTCGAGAACATAACTCCCGAGACCGCCGCTTGTAGGTTTCAGAGAGCATCCAAGACTAGAAAAAATTACGAAGAAATCCTTTGGTCGCGCAGAGTTCTAACGTTAAGTATATAGGCAACCTCTTCCTCTGCCGAGGCGCCACCTTCGACGACAACGTCGCCCGGGTCCAGACTTTCACAGCCGGCCAGGTCGTTGACTTCACGGCGATCCTGCCCATCCCGCACGAGGGTCCCTGCAACGTCTCCGTTGTCGACACCGCTACCAACACGGTCATCGGCCCACCGCTCATCGAGTTCGAGAGCTACGCGGACGAGAACCTCGCAGAGCTTCCCGCCAATAACACGGCGTTCAGTGTCACGATTCCTCAGTTGCAGGCGGGTCTCTGCACCGTCGCGGGCCAGTGCGTGCTTCAGTGGTTCTGGTTCGGTACTGGAGCGCAGCAGACTTATGAGAGCTGCGTTGACTTTGTTCTGGCTTAATTGGGACTTGGTGACATTTCCTACTGGCTAACTGAGCGGAGAGGGGATGATGAAAACGGATGGGTAGACGGGAGGGATAGCAGTTATGAATTTCGATTGTTTATCATTTTTCTTCTTTTTATTTTGCATGGGGATAGATTTGCATCAGATTGGAGGCAATTGGATTTGCAGGCCGTACTTACATACCCTGATCTGCAATAGTAGGCCTGGAGAGGTGCGACAGGATTGATCGAGGTTTGGAGAAGAGAGGAAATGACGAAATGGTAATGTGGAGTGGGCCTTGTACGAGTTAGGATTCTGTAGTCCGGTGATGAAAAGACTATGGCACTCCTGCATTCAGAGCGCAGTTCTTGCTTGTCGATGTGAGGACTCGATGTTGACGGACACAGACTACCTGCAGCTTGCTTGTAGGAGAAATGTTGAAGATATCAATCAGTAATCAAGGATTGAAACTGCAATTGAAGTCCAAGTCGACAATGGAGATGTACCATTATGTCATCGAACAAGTACAACATTGAATTATAGTTGCTTCGTACCATTCAATGTTCGAGGTCCTCCCCGAAGCGCCATCTTGGGTGCGGGAGCCGTTCACATCGTGGACAAATGAGCATGAGGTCGGTAATCCACGACCAGGCCAATGATAACATCTCGAAATAAGCTGTCGACACTTAATCTCCATTCCTCAATCTATCGGGGGACCTGCGACTAATTCCAGCTCCAGATCCTGGACCATAATCGACTAATCGTCCGTTCATCTGCGCATCCCCACATCATATCGCCGCCGTCCTCAAGATCCGCTTCTTAATTCTTCCGCCAGCGACGAATTTGCCAGCTCCGATAGTGATGGTTGTAAATCAAAATCCTCTGATTGGCTGCCATGTTAGCGCATTCCCCCGTCCCTGAATAGCGTCTCCGTGCCTGTGGTTTAGGAGGGTGCAACGGTCGAATGACCTTCTAGTGACAACCAACAGGCGCATGCTTGAGTGGGTTGATTAGTATTCATTGGGTACAGTGTACTGCCGAGAAGCCCCGCCACCTGCCACGGCGGAGTCAACCGAAGCATCGGAGAGGGCGCCGGAACGTGGAAGGAGCCTGTTGTTAGTCAAACTTCTGCCTTCCTCGTTGAGGTTTGATGTTGCTCCAGCCAAGTACATAAGGAGCCTCGTACCTTCCTCACCATCGGTTTCTCTCTGGAAAATCAAGACACACATCAAATCTCCAAGCTCAAGCTTCTGCTCCTCTTCCTCTTCCTCTTCCTCTTCTTCTCCTCCACACTCTTCCACTTTCAACTCTCATCCAAACATCAATTGACCATCGCCTCCTCTATAATTAGAGCTCTTCCACATTGTTACCCCGCCAAACAGCTGCAAATCTCAAACTAATTCCAACCACCACTTATCACAATGTCTCCTGCTGATACCTGCTGCCGAAAGGGTGAGGGTGCTTGCGTCTGTGGTATGTTTTGTTCCCCTTCTACCCTCTGGGTGTTCGTCATTTGGAGGCTCCAACTAACCCGACGACTTTACAGCCCAGCAAGCCACTTGCTCCTGCGGAAAGCAGTCTGCCCTTCACTGCACCTGTGACAAGGCTGCTGTTGAGAACACCATCTCTGGCCCCAGCTGCTCCTGTGGCTCTCGCCCTGTGGGCCAATGCACCTGTGAGAACGCCACCGTTGAGAACCAGAAGCCCACTGGTGCTACCTGTGGTTGTGGTGCCAGGCCTGCTGGTGAGTTAGCCCCCTAATTTCAATCACAGCCTCAGTTCTTTCAAGTACTAACCTCTCAAAGGCTCCTGCACCTGCAACAACTCTGCCAATGAGACCGACTTTACCACCAAGAAATAAGTTTCATTGAGACTCCATTTCTTTTCTCTCTTTGTTTTTCCAATATGGATTGCATCGGCCAGGGATTTAGGCGTTTGGACGGTCAAGGAACAGGATTGCGGAAAGGGATGTTTACGGGTTTTCATAGCTGGCCAAGGTCAGGCTCTGCATTTTCAGCAGTTAGATGGCAATAGAACCATTTGATCATCTACAAACTAGCTCTCGAAACCCAGGACTGATGCTGAAATGTCCTCCTCAATACGCGGTTCTGCTTTGACTTGTAGTAGCCGTCGGGGGTAGTCTGCCGTCGCGTCGCGTCGCGTCGATTCAATTCCACCCTGACCCCAATCCTGACTAAACTCTAAACTGGACGGCAGGTGTGATGTCAACTGCTACTCGACGTTCGCGATTCCCTAGGCGATAAAGGCCACGGTGCAGTGGCACGTGGTTCACTGAGCGGTGCATATCCTGCAGCCTCCAAAGGGTCTATGACAGAGCCAAGGGTGTGTCCAGAACGAAGTCTATAAATTGCTTGGGGACATGATCGAACTATTAGTACAAGAACACCCCCGACTCTCGTAAACGTCAAAATATTAGGGAAACAAAAGCCCGGCGATCCAAGGGACCTTGCGGCCCATCGCCTTCCAACTCGTTTTCAGACCTATTTTCGTCATGACAAAACATGCGCCTAACCCAACTCGACCTTGGTTAGAGAAGCCCAACCAGGGACAAAAGACAAAAGGAAAAGAGACCAAGGGACGGCCTGGCTGCAAACATACAAATCCCACTTGCGAAGCATCCCACACACCGTGATCTTTTCAACTCAGTGCTTCTGTAACCTCGCAAACGTTCCGCTTCCTCGACTGCTAAAGATGCCCATGATTCCAAAGCCAACGTAGAACAGCGCAAGAGGATAGGCCACCAAAGCCCTCATGCCCCTCATCCTACCCACGGCGCAAAACATGCCGCTCGAGCTAGCCGTGCACCACAATATAGCAGCACTAGTAAGCACGATGCCAAACGGCGTGTCCATGGGCACGACGATGCCGACGAGGGAAGTCGCGACAAGAGGGAGAAGGCAGTAGCCTAGCACGCTAGCGCTCCGGGCAAACGTCAGGGTCGACGAGACGTGCGGTCCTCCGCCGGCGCCGCCGCCGGGTGCGGCGGACGGGGGTCCTTCGTGGTAGGTCGAACCGCCGTATTGCGGGGTGGTGGTGCCCGAGTCGGGAGGGGTCATGAGGGAGAGGATGGCGTGGAGGGAAGTGCTGCCTAGGAGGGCGAGGCCGTAGATGTAGCCGAAGTGGACTTTTCCGGAGAAGAGGAGGAAGAAGCCGAAGAGAAGGAAGAAGAGGATGGGGCCGGCGAGGTCGGAGTCGTCCATTAGGTGTTGGTCGATGCGGCTGAAGGGGTTGAGGACTGCGAGTGTCTGGAAGCCTGTTAGCTCTGAGATATCCTTTGGTCTTCTGGAGTAACCCCACATCATCTGCCATTTCATAATTCGGGACGTACCTTTGCTTGAATGTGACCGAAGTTGACTCCTAGCTCCTCCATCAGAGGGGGTTCACCCTCATATCCCTCCGTTGAAAACGCAGCTAGCCAACCCGTCCGAAGACCTCCCTGCTCGCCCATCCTCCCCGTCACGCCGCCGCCGTACGCCGTTGCGTGTGATGCCGGCGCGCCATATCCACCGTACGCCTGCGAAGGAGTCGCCGTGCCCGATACGCCGGGGGTATAGGAGGAGGGGAAGAACTGGAGGTTGCTGGCCGATGGTTGGCCATAGTTTTGTTGGTTCGAGTAGTAATTTGACATTATCGCAGACTAGAAAAAAGAGGAGATTTCCAAGGGACGGTGAAACGAGGGTATAGAAGGGAAGAAGACGAAGGAAAATTATGGGGGAAGACGGCGGCACGAGGGCGCGGCTGGAGTGGTTGCTGAAGTTGGACCAGATGCTGGAAAAAGGTTGACGTCGCCGTCGTTGTCGACAAGCTGTCTGAAACGAGACAGCGGGAGGCAGAAGCGAATTTCTGTGGATTAGATAATCTTGGTGCGTATATTTTACGCCACGTTGGTCTTGCATGTGTAACTTTCTGTTCCTTGTGGTACCAGCCTCACTGGAGCCAGGAGAATGTGGCGCAGTTCTTCAATCTGCCGGAAAATATTCGGCATTTGTCCGTCCCAGCTCGGACAGAGGCAAAAGAAGACGGCAGAAAAAGAAAAAAAAAAAAAAATTCGCGGCGTCGGCGATTTCGCAGGAATCTCCAATTCAGTCGAAAAACGGGCTTCTCTTTTCTTCCATGGAGGATCCCTTACGAGCGCGCCCATAACGCTAGATCACCACCACCCCCGCCAGCCCCCTTTCTTCTCGACACTCGATAGAAGGGATTCAGTGGAACATCCAGATAAAGTCCCATTGATTCAATTTCCTTTTCTCATCTGTCCACAATGGTAAGTTTCATCATCGATAGTTTTCCAGCATCCCGTCGCGTAGAAAATGACGCCACGTCCTCTCGAAGGACAAATTTCGCTAACCATATGCCCCCAAACCCACCAGGCCCACCGACTCATAACCCAAGTCGTCATTGTCGGCAGTCGAATCGTCGGCCGCTCCTTCCTAGCCGCCTACCGCCAAGCCGAAGCCTCATCCAAGTACGCCCGCGCGCAGGCCCGTCTGAACCCGGATGCTGCGGCCTCGGGTAGCCGCGGCGGGCTCGGCGCGGGCATGACGCTCGAGGAGGCGTGCAAGATCCTCAACGTCAAGCCACCCCGGAGCGGCGAGGCCAACGTCCAAGAGATCGCCGATCGGTACAAGAGGTTGTTCGACGCCAACGATCCGAAGAAGGGCGGGAGCTTTTACTTGCAGAGTAAGATTGTGAGGGCGAAGGAGAGGTTGGATAGGGATTTGGGACCGATACGGGAGAAGATGGAGCAGGATGCTGAGGTTAAGGGGGGATTTAAGCCGAAGATTTACAAGGATAGGTGAGCGGGATACCGGAGGGTGTTTGCTCACGGGGATGGGGGATGGTGTTTGGAAGTTGCTTTCCGTTTGGGGGACAAAACTCGCGTGCCTGCCTCCCAACCATCACGGCGACAATAGGAAGGCTTTGGCTGAAGCGGCGATGTTCAGCTGGCCCAACACAGGGAGAGCGCAAATGTTGCACGGCAGGGGATGGGATTTGGGGGAGCACGCGGCCTCTCTCCACGGCGTCTGGACCAGGCTTGCCTTGGCGGAGAGGTCGGTTGGAACCCATGTGTAGTATAAATCTTCACTCGACATGTCGCATTGCGAAGGCGTTTTGGGGGAAACTCAAGGCACATGGTGTGGCCTACTTTGGAACTAGACTATAAAGAAGGGGTCGATAATACACTGTACGTTTATATGAGCCAAATCGACGAGGCTCCTCTTCGTGCGTCTCGAGAATCGAGACCGGTGCGTCGACCCAACGATGCTGTCTGTGGACAGCAAGAGCCCCATTCTTACCTAGAGATGGGTTCTTAACGGAGCGTTGGTATATTGAACTCGCGAATGTTGAAGGCCCTTTGCTTCTGTCGCCTCGAATTGGGTTCCCCCAAAACAAGGCGTATGGGTAAAGGGTAAGAGAAAATTTCGTACACGTATCTGGTTTTACTTCGTTTATTACTTGCATTCATAGATACTTCCACATATATTCGATTTAGAAGCAACCTCCGAGATACCTTAACGGAAGCCGTGCTCTAACTAGATGCCCACCGGTCCAGATCGAAGCATCCCTGGAGCCTGCAGAGCTGTTCAGATACGCCTCGACTGGACTGGGATGGCATCCCCGGGGCGGTCAATTCGACACCGGCAGCCGAGCATCTCCTTTCCCCTTCCCTCACCTTATTCGCCTTCTTCCTTTCTTCTTGTATTCTATGATTTCGACAAGGGACCGACTTTGTTTCTCTATAGCTTTCCTCGAGGAATAAATTTACCAACCCAGCCCTTGGTAAACACATCCAAGTAGCTCGGGGTCACCATCGGCAGTGCCGACCGGTTTATATCCTCGTTCTTAGTCTTCAGTAGCTCACCAGCCCAGCCATTGTTTCCAAACGAAATACCCCATTTTTCTTCTCAGTCGCAGGATACCAATCATATAGGTTTGTCGAACATGATTTCAGGTGACACCCAAGCGAAAGCAGGCCATCCACGTATAAGAGTGCTGTGACATTCATGCCTTCTGCGTCGCATCACGACACGACCAAGCATCTGAGACGAACTAGCACTTTCCCATATTCACTAGATAGACGAGGGGATCACAAATATGCCTAATCCCCGTCTCGTCTGTTCTCATTTTTCTTTTCATCTCAACCCCGGAATCTAGACGACTTTCCCATCCGGGGTGATCACCGCCGATCAATCAACCACCACCAAAAGAACTTATACTGGCCACACAACATCTAATGGCTAACGGACCCGCCCTTTCTGGCCTTTTGTTTTTTTTGCATGTCGGAAATCATCTTCCGTCTTTCGCTTCCTAGTTCAATAATGAGCTGAGAGAGAGCATAGGGGGATCGGAGGGGATCGGTCTTCTGCAGCCATTCTGATTCCTGGTTGACCCTCTGACCTTAGGGCCACCACTTGGGGTCGTGGAATGGTTATGGAATCCTTCTGGAGTACGTCTTGCTTGCTCGAACCGTGGTTTGCCTTTGGATTCCTGCTGACTCCATTGACCCTCGTCTCCTGAGCGCTCATCTCTCATCGCCGTAGAAGGGCCTCGAAATATCACACAAGAAAGCAGAATAGCAGAGCTCGCAAATGGGAAGATATCGTATTAACTTTGGGTATCTATTAATTACACTCATCGGGAGACCAGACCGATCTCCCCAACATTAACTACTTGTAGCCTCTAGCTAAGGTTCCTCGCTGAGGATGTTTCTTCATCGTGAAAGCCCAGGGTGATTCCATCAAGAACACCTAGCCACCAGTGCCGCTGTAAGTCGTTCATCCAATCGGTATCTCCATATCGACCTTGCCCATTCGCGCTGAAACGAAAAAGAAAAAAGAACCCGGTCTAAATATGACTCCATAAATGCTGTGCCGGCGGAGTCTGTCCATAGTATTTCCTGTATCCCAATAACGAAGAAGAAAGAAAGAAAAACCGGTCGTCGAGACCATTGTCTGCCTCAGATGTCGAAAAAAGGCGAAAAATCGTTACTCGTCAAATGAGTGTAGCGAAGTGAATAATAGCGAGAAAAAGAAATCAAGTCGTGAGTCTTCGTGAGGCTAAGGAAAGGTGTTTATACCGGTTTCCAAGGCGATAGCGCCCTCCCGACGCTTAGGAAATCGCCTCCACCACTGCCACTGCCCTTACCGACATCCCTAGAAACGACGTCGTAAGTCCGCGGTGAAGTAGGGCTCCATTTATTATCCGTAGGAGAATTTTGCTGTTCGTTCCTACTCCCGTGGTCGCTCGCCAGACTCCACGCGTTAGGATCCATGGGTGACGTCGACCCGCTCTCCTCGACGAAGAAGCTGTACGTCTGCCCACTATACCCTGGCGGTCTGGGGAACTGAGCCCTTCTGCTCCCCTCCGCCACTACAGGTGGCGCACCGGTAGACGACGAACCAGACGCGGCGCGAGACCCTTGGCCCGAAGGAGGGAAGAGACCCGAGCTTTGCGTTCGGCGCCTGGGTGCCGGTCGAATCACGATGCGAACCTCGCCCTCACCGGGCGTAGTACTCGTAGTTCCGTCGCTGGCGAGGACAGCCGCGGGTGCGGGCCGAATGAGGCGGTTCTGCGTCGAGTTGGAGAGGATGCTGGCAGCGCCGACGGGGATCGAACCAGATCCTGACGAAGCCATCTCCTGGTGGTGACGGGTGATTTCGAGAGCTTCCTTCTTCTTGATTAGGCGGTATACGAGGAAACCGGCGAGGATGAGGAAGAAGAGGCCGAATATGATGCCGAGGGCGATGCCGGCAATTTCGTCGGATGTGAGGGAAGACCCCGGGATGGGCCTGACGGGGGAGGTCGGAGACCCCGAGGGGTTCTCGGCAGTGGGCATCATGGATTGCGGGTTGCCTGGTGGGAGGACGCCGGTGACGCCGGGAGGAAGCGGTGTGCCAGCCGTGATGGTGGGGTTTTGGCCGGCTCCTGGGGGGATGGGGGAGTTGCTCGGGCTGCTTCCGGAGGGGAGAATCGGAGGGTTGGGTGGGAGGAGACCTTCGTTGCCTGTGGGTGGGATGAAGCCGCCCGGAAGTTGGCCCCCGGTTATCTCGGGACGAGGGCGAACAGTGGCCGTGACAAAGACTGTCGTAGTAGCACTAGGGGCCAGAGTCAGAGTTACGAAGACGGTGTTAAGGATGGTAGAGGTGACGGTGACAATTCCTGTCACGGTAGTCACAACCTCAACCGTCGTCGTCACCGTGACAGTTTTTAGCGCATCGCGAGACACGTCGCTCTCAGATGCGAGAACGGCAGGCTGAGTAGCAGCTGCTCCGGGAATGCTCGCGATCGCGCTGGTGAGAGTAGTAGGTTGAACCGCCTCTGCTGTAATGGTGCTGTTGCGGACCTCTGTCTGAGGAATTGAAGCTTCTTGTCGTCGGACTTGCCTCCTCGCAAGAACTTCTGAGGTGATTGTTACGGTGTTAGTCTGCGTGCGAAGCGCAGGATCGAGAAAAGTAAGGGTTTGAGAGACAGTAATGGGGACAACGACGGTTTGGGTGATAGATCCCACTGTCACCGTCCGTACCACTGTTGTGGTGAGGACCGCTGTTGGCACAGCACCAGCTTTCGCGGTTGCTCTGTGAAAAGAAAGGTGTTAATAGGCAAAAGTCGTAAGTTGAGAGTTTCACTACAAAATTCCACTTACTCGGCCTCGGAGCAGCTCTCACCAACACAACCGCCCACCTCCTGAACTTCCGGCTCCCCTTGCTCAATAGGACAGCACGCTCCGCTTCCGTCCTCCTCGACACAACACCGAAATCCCTCCCCACAGCACTGGAACGTCCCCGAACCATCCGGGCACACCAACGAATTTGAACACACGCCCTCCTGCCTCGCCACGAGCCGAGTTGACATCCGGCTCTGTTCCGCCCTCGACTGTCTCGACTTCCTCCGCCTCCAACTCGGCAAGCCCTTGGATCGAGTACCAACTTCCCCACCATCCTGCTGGCTCATGAAGTCACCCTGGCGAACCTGTGAGTCGGCGATGTTAAGCTGAGGCTGGACCTGTGATGATGAAGACACGAGGTCTTGCGGAGATGTGGTAGCGAGTGCGAGTGTGCACCATATCAGGGCGCTTAGACCCTGTGATATCAGCATTATAGACTGGTTCTCATCCTGGCTGAAAAGTGAATGTGTGTGTGTATGTCGTGAGAGAGACAGAGTAAGAAGAGTGTCCAAGCGGAAGTGTAGACCTGATAAACCGAAGGAAAGTTGGTCAGGTGGGGAGGATGATTACAAAAGAATGTAATGGAAAGAAAGCGAACAGAATAAACGAACGATAAGAGAGAGTAGAGAGTGAAGAAGAGGAGTATCAGGTGTTTAGAAGGAGTGGATGCAATAGTATGGCGATTGCCTGGCCATGTGGAGACGGGAGAAAGAGAGGAAGGGCGAGATAACCGATGGAGGTGGGGTCATGAAGAAGAAAAGGGAAACGGGATCTAAGATCATGAGATGGCCCCTCCTCCCCATGAAGGCTGAAAATAGAGGAGGTTCTTCCATGGAATGAGGGAAACAAGGCCTGCGGATGACATCAATCTGCCCGGATGTCAAGCAACACCCACACCCGAACCACCTTTGATGAAGGCTAGGCATCCGGGACTCACCGAAGGTGATTTCCATGAAGGGGGAGGGGTGTAAAGCGAAGGCAAGGCTTTGGAAGGGATGGGGTACACTCCCCTTCTGTTCCGGGAGGGAAGTATACACAAATCGATTTCCTCGGAAAACAGAGGCGTAGCTCAAGGAAGGTGGCGTTGTCACTCGGCAAACGAAGGTACACATGCTAAGAAGAGGCAGGACTAAGCAAGATGACAAGGCGCGGAAGGACGATGAGTAGCCAAGAGAAACGCTGGTACGCATCATCAGCATCCTCATCATCAGCTAGAGCAGTAGCATGAGGTCGAGAATAGTAAGTGGCGAACTATCCTTGCTCGGTTGCATGGAGCCGGACCGGAGCATGGTACACCCTTGCAAAAAGAGGGCGAAGATCTCGTGCGTGCTGGGCCGAAAGTAGACAAGCTCGTTGTATGGAACCAGTTTATTCCAGAACAGACGGAAGATTCTGGGGTGTGTGGATTATGCAAGGGTGTACTGGTTCCTTGCATGGGGGTGTGGGATGGGATGACGGCCGACTTGTTCTTGGCTTCGTGTGTCCCCATTTCAGGTACGTTCAGGGCACCATTGGATGAACAGGACAAGGGTTGGACTCGAGTCGGGAGAGACGAGAAGAAGAAAAGACGAGACGAGCGACATGGATGTAGCTAGTAGACAACGGACGGGCCGACAAGAATTGACGGGAGCATAGAGAGCTCCCAACAACAACACGCATACACATACACAGGTACAAAACCGACGCGCTCTGATACGGGGAGGGTGGGGAGGCTCTAAAGTTAGAGCTAGCCGCAGTCAGAGGCTGAGTAGGAAGTAATTGGACAGTTACGCCTTGATTGCGGAATAAGCCGACGTTAGACCTGGATATTGGGGCTTTTGATGGCCATAATGGATTATACGATAGACGGCAGACGCCGGGTCTGGGAAATACAAACAGCGAGCCAACACGAGCTGAGAGGGAGGGAGGGGGGAAACGACGGCCCATTGAGGGCGGTCTCTGGCTCGGCATTCTCATGAATCAAATCATAATCGTGCAATGGATCGGGATAAACATTCGGGAATCGATTTGTCTGTGTTGTAGCAGCTCGGCTCACGGGTCGCCAATGAATTCCCAGAATGAGTTTAGCTTGCAGCTGATGAGACTCGCCGCAACCGTTGTTTGGGGAGGAGGAAGGCAGCATCTACGGGGGCCCAGTCCAAAGTGAGACGAGACAGCAATGCCGCACATGCATGCATTTCAAATCGCTTATCGAGATCCTTCGTGAGGAGGTACTCTTGCCTAGGCAAAGTTGGGAATGGAGGGTGGGAGGATGTGCCGCAATCGCTGGTCATGAGCGGTTGGCCAGGCTGCGCATGTAAGTGTGCTATGCATGGGAGCTTCTCGTGTCCGGTCTAGTGAGACGGCAGTGGAAGCTCAGGTGAGCAAGCTGTCATCTTTTTTACCCATATGGTCCGGCAAAGAAGATCATGCCTCGTCGTTTTTCATGCGCCGAGATATTGTGAGACCGGATCGAGGGTGGTGAGCAGATGTAATGATGTGCAGGGGCAAGTGTGAAGTTGACGATCTTTTCTAGGCGTTCAGAATGGAGTCGTGCCTGCTGACTACTCCCTACGCTGAGGCTCTTCGAGGCAACGATACACACTAACAATTATTAGTCATCTGCATTCCAGCTCACTTGGCCGGGAAATTGTTATCACGCTCCGTCTTCGATGCTCCTCGGTTTCATCCTCAGAGGTTCGAGCGTCGCCGCCTACCTAAAGCCAGTCATTGCAATCCTCAGGGTTGTGAAGTATTCGCTTTGTCCCGAAGAGCCCCCCGCCTATTTGGAGCCCCATTTGAGAACTAGCTTCGCGAATCACTGCCGTCCTTCCTCGCAACAGGATGCCGAAATGAGCAGCGCTGGAGTCATGTCAAGGACGGCAGCTCGGGTTTCACTCCGACGCAGACAACTACGATACTTGAGGTTTGCTCCTTCGGCTGACTATAACGTAATTGGATCCGGCCACGAATGCGTGACCCGACCTCTTAAAGCTACCTGGCTTTAGAAAATATGACTAACTTAACTGATTGTGCTACCACTCCCAAGAGAGAATCTGATCCCCTGCTGGGCTCTCCAGTTCTTCCAGATCGAGAACCCATGGCCACTCGATCGACTGATCTCTTAGTTATATCAGTCCAATCCCGGGAATTTGTAGAATCTTCCGATAGTGGCCAAGAACACTGGTAAAGATGAAGACGAGGACGAGGAAGAATGGAGAGTCACGGGTGAGAGGTAACTGGGCAGTGTCCCGACAAGACAGCAAAATAAGCTCTCTTGTCCCCTTTCTCGTTCTCGATGTCAACGTCTGAGCGTGGGACAGGGGACCGGCTGCATACCCCACAGACCTGACCCCGGACAACGGACATCAAGGGCCAGGTCTTACTCCATACATTTGTACGCTGGGATACTCACCCTGACTTCCATTACTACCCTCACTCACGCTCATGTTCCTCTCCTTCCAGAAGGAGATCGACGTTCCACAACGCGCCATCGACGTCGCCTATGTAACCAACACGACTCTTCCCGCGCTGTCGAGACCAATTACCTGGATCTTCTGTCCAGCATACCCCGGCTTTCCCCTCAAATCCCAGGAACTTTTGTCATTTTCTTTCTGCTCTGTATGTACTTTCTTTATTTTGTTTTTCTTTTTTCTTTTCTTTTCTTATTCTCTGAGCGGCGCATCCGACAATCCACTCGCCCTGTGATTGTAAACACACCCCCCGCCTTCCTTCCTGTTGGACATCTTAATAGCTTTGTCTTGGGTCAGGACGGGCAATCAGCTCACCGGCTCTTCTTGTGCGGGTGCCTCGTACCGGCAGCTAGGCTTTGGTGAGCGAGAGATCCGGGGTGTCTCCATGCTACGGTTTGTGCGGCCTCGGCAATGCACTCCTCGATGCACACTCGAAAGCCCTTTCGATGGGTCTTGCTTCTTTTGGCGTCTTCTGTCTTCTCGTTTGGTGCATCACTCTCCGGTGGCCATGGAACTCGGTGGGAACGAAAAGAGGAGTTCTAACTCTGCAGTACGATTTGACGACATGGATCAAGACCGGACGTCATTTGATGCTTATGTTCCTACTTCACACTCTCTCGAGTCAGGACATGCTAGAGATCCATCCGATATCGACATTCGTTGCATATCAAAGTCATACCCTCATGCAGTGTCCATGTATAAATGGCTGCATAACGGCTTTAATATTACGTCCTTAATCCGTTCCTTATAGCCCTCAAGTTCGATCTCGTAACATCTCATCTTTGCATCGCCGGAGAAACCACAAAGGAAGGCGAAGCAAGAAAGGAAAAGAAGAAAATGAAGGGGCGGCACGTTGTCGTGTCGTATGTGGATGATAGACATTCCGAACCATTATGCTAGCAACGACACCCACACCCACCAGAATCAGCAGGATCCCATCGATCTCGCCGCCCAAAATACAACTTCCCCGAGCCAACCGGCCCACGGATCGGCGCCGGTCAAGTCATCCTCAGACGAACCAACCCGGAATATTCCCTTCTTGGCTTCCACACAAAGCGCGCGCATCCTTTTCTCGACTGCTTTTCTTCACGTCCGCTGTACCGATCCACCACTTTCGTTCCCTCAAAGCTTCTCTTTTCCTTCCATCGACCATTCCACGAGTTCCTGTGGAACTGCAACCCGGCGAAAGGGTCTGATCGTAGTTTTGATCCCCATTTTCCCGCCCTTTAATTACTTCCTCTCGTCCTATTCTTTTCGTATTTTTGGATGATGTTGGCTTTCCATCTTCGCAATTGGCTCACCTCGCTCCTCGCCCGTCGTCGGGGTCGCCGTGGTCAGTCCCGCTTCCTCACCTTCGCCTTTTTTCTTTTCTGTTATAGCAATTGTTATAGGCGTCTCTATAGTGTTGTTTACCTGCTGACCTTCTCCAGGCGCGGCACATGTTTCGCCACTGAACCCGGATACCGGTGATAGTCTCGAGTACCTTGGGTCGTCGACGCCCAGGACGAAGCTTTCCTGGCTTTGGTCCCATCGTGCCTCCGACACTTCGTACTCTTTACTCTTCTTCTGCTGCTTGCTGTTCGTCCTTTGTTGAGGTGTGGGCGGTAAGGGCTGTTGATGGGAGAGGAAATAATCTTCGAAACCAATCGAGACGGGTCTGCTCTCAGCAGCAACATCGCTCCTCAACATGGCTCTTCCATCATCTTCGTTATAACGGTGAAACTGCTGAGGAAGTCTCCTCGTACTCCCGAAAAAGGATCTCAGGCTAAGCGGCGTCGTCCCGCGTTCTGTTGCCCTCTCCAGATCCGAAAGAGTAGAACCTGGCGTCGTCGACCTCCAACCTTCATAAACATGGCCCATTGCCACCTCCCTCTCATTCTTCGGAACCGGTCCATCAAAGTTTCTCCACGGGTATCCATGGTAACTACCCGCAAACGCGAGGTCCACGCTCCCATCATCCGTGTCGTCCCGCGTCATTGCCACCCTCCTCCGCCTCTGATCCATCATCATCATCTTCGGCCAGAGCTTAGCCAGGACAGGCCTTAACATCGGCGCGCTGGCACATATAAGTGCCACATCGCACTCAAGAATCGTCATGACGAAGAAGGCAAGCGTATTCGTAACACCCACACTGCCGGGCCTGAAATGTCTGTGCAAGCTAAGCTGAAGACGGAGAAGGCTGGCAGCGATCACGAAGATGCTGAGGCTGAGAACGATGGAGAGGGCGACTTTTTGCCGCGGCGGGACGTCGAGGCGGGAAATGCACGGGATGGCGAGGATGATGATCCAGGCGTCCGTGGCCGTGTGTAGACCCGCGCTAGAGATGATGAGCGGCGCGAAGCCGAAGCACGTCATCGGGCGGCCGAAGAATTGGCCGTCTTGCGGGTGGCATTGGAAGATGCTGATGAATAACATGGGGATTCCGTAGAGGAAAACGAAGCACATTGTTCCCCACGCTATCCATCTCTCCTTCTTGTTCTCGGTAAACATGCGCAGGTAAAAGGCTAATACGGACAGCTTCGTTAGGCAGAGACACAATTGGTAAAAGATGAGTCCTAGGTAGGTCCGCATGATGTACGGGTGGATGGATCCCGCGCGGCCTTCGACCTCTAGGTTGTGTTGGAGGGTTAGCTCGTTGGGTGCCAGGAGGATGTCGGGTGTGTAGGCAGCGATGCTATAAATGATGCATATCGCCGTGGAGAAGGCCCAGCTGGTGACAATTAGGGTGTCGTCGATGTACCATCTCCCGAGAAAGAAGAGACGGGAGATAACGCGGCCGAGAATGACAAGGGTGCACATTATATGAGGGATGAGAATGCCGGCGAGGATGGCAGGCATCCCCGTATCGTGCGGCTATGGGGTGGCACCTTAGCGGGATTGAGTTCTAAGTGGTGAGAATGGGGGACTCACAATGTCATAGTCTTCTAGGTCGGCTGGGTTCGTGTAGTTGAGTGGTGCGAACATCGTGTCCATCATGGCACTCTCCGCCTTGAGGGAATTCCCTCTTGCCCTTTCAATTCACGCTTGTCCCTCGGGTCGGTTCAGCTTTCACCCTCCACTCCTCGTGTTTCTCGGTTGACTTCCTTGATGACAAGTCCCGTAGCTCTGGATGCCGCAGATCCCATATCCCTTTCGCCTCACAACATGATATCGGCGCAATGAGCTATCCCATCTGCTCCTGGGCACGGTGGGACAGAAGGCGTCGGCTAGCAAGAAAAGGGACACCGAAATGGAGGAACGAGAGAAGTCGAGGGCCCTCACATCAAATAGGAAAAACGACAGCCAGTGACGAGTCCCAGGTTTCTTTTGTATTGTGGAGTAGAATTAGATTTACATTCATCAAGTGACAGAAAGGAAAGCCAAAAGTCTAGAAAGATCAACTGGAGGAAGAGACGAGGTTGTCTATAGAGAATATATCTTGAAAAATCCAAGGTGTGTGTGGGCCTATTTCTTGGTATGTGGGTTTTCCGCAGTCTTTCTTTCAAATGTAGCACTTTATTTCTGTCATCGAATGCGTCGACACAAATTTGCATTCGGCCCCGGGGACGGGAGGGAGAAGATGCTGATCGTTCTTCGGTCTATTTAGCTTCTAGATGGGATTGATGAAAGTTATAAGACGCCATATTAAGAGAATAGTTAATGCGCGGAGGAAGATGAAATTGCATCAAGAGAGCACATTAGGACTCGAGGAGATACCAAGACCGAGAAAAAGAATTCGTGGATACAATTTTAAATCTTCCCTCCTGTGTTATCCAAGAGAGTCAATCACAGGTCGAGGCCAAGAGCAAATATATTGCGTCGTGCTCGAGGCACATATGATGTGCCCAAAGACGAGTAGCCAAGACATATTTAACATAACCCAAGAAAAAAAAGTTCCCTCTCTTTTCATATATCAGTTTGTTAGAGATTTCGTTGGGTGCCAACGGTGATGTCCTGGTCACTCTTCTATGTTCGGACAGTCGAGTCCGGTCGCCCCGGTCCTTTGCACCTCGGGGGTTCTTGGACTCGAGAGTAAGATAAGACAAGAACGAATGATAGTAAGTGGCAAAGGTGTTCTTTTTTATACACCGGGAGGAGATGGCACTTACAGTCCACGTTCTTTTCTTCCTTCAAGTGTTTGGGGGTTGTGGGCGGCAATATAAGACGGGTTAAACGAGAGGTTCGGGTCAACTGCATGAAACGCCTCTTTTCGAATTATAGCCGGAGGGGAGCATGTGGCATATAGAAGTAAGGCTATTCACAAACTGCATAGCTGTAGAACATTGATCAAAGCATTTGGTGTAGAGAGTACAGCCTGGCGAGATCGCTGGAGTCTCTCTCGAATCGAGTGAAAGCTTACACACAAGAGCCAACTTACAACACGCCAGACGCCAGCCTTTTGCCCCCAAATATGAGCAACCGTTATCATGAGATGTAGATACTGATCCTAATATGATATAAATACAATCTAGAATAGCCGCAGGAATAAACCAGATATATTAACTCTTCATCTTCCTTTCTCTAAATCCACCTCACCCACCACGTGAACATCTGATCCCCCGAGACGAGCAAATTTGCATTAACTCGACCCAAGGCGCCAAGCTTCCGTCCCGCATACTCTGCAATTTTGAGTGAAAGAGGTGGAAGTAAACTTACGACGACGAATTGCCTCTGGAATCTTGGCAATTTCGGGTTAAGGGGCCCACAAAGAAGAACAAAAAAAGACGAGAAACGGAGAACATGGGAGGTAATGTTCCGAGGACCTTCTTTGACAGCGTGTAGAGCGTTTCATCCGCCGTTAGAAACCCAACCCTTCGAAGGTAGAGCCGTCGCGGTAGAGAGTATGTGACTAATTTAAGAGAAGATGGAGGCTACTCAGCCATGAAGATGCAGGTGATAGACATGTAGAGCCTCTATTTCATTTATATTCACAGACAGCCACGCTTAGGTGGCTGTGATGTGGACTGTTCCTCTGCTCTTCGGATATAGATTTGTCTAGAGGCGCGCAAAGGAAGAATCTCGCACAAAAATGTGCTATCAACGTCGCAAGACCAGCCCAAGGAACACACATAACCTTCCTCCTCCCATCTCCCCCGATCTCCCCTCGTCTACACCCTCCTCTTCACCAACCCCTTCCAATAATCAAAACTATTCTCATCACTCTGCAAAGCCCAAACCCTCCCCGTCGCCCTCCCCTCCCCATCCAACTCCTCCGCCCTCAACATGCCCCAATCCCTCGTAATCCCCAGCACCCTCGCCCTCACCCCTCCCTCCGCCTCCAGCGTCACCTTCTGGCCCGAATGCAACCAGTGCCTGTAGTACCTCTTCTCCAACCTCTCCCCGAACCCGTCCCTCTTGAACTCGGCATACAGGGCTTCGAGTACCGTTAGGATGCGTGCGATGAGTTTCTCGATGCGGAAAGGGGCCACAGAGCCATCGGCGGGTAGGAGGGAGTCTAGGTCGATCGTGGGTCGGCCATTGTTGGTGTTTACGCCGATGCCGAGAACGATTTGGTAGGAGCCGGAGGTGTAGGAGCAGTTGGCGAGGATGCCGCAGATTTTGACGTATCTAGGGGAGGAAGGCGGACTTCGGGGGTCCTGGGCATCTGTTGTGTTCTGTGTTAGAAAAGCATTTTTTTCTCTCTCTCTTTTCCCCCCTTTCTTTGTTCTTATTTTTTTTATGCAGAGAGACTCAAGCAGGAAGAGTGGAGAGGCCGGAGAATGGCTTTATTCCGAACTTACAGACGTCGTTAGGCCACTTGATTTTCAAAGGGAGGTCTTGGCAGCCGGGCCCATAGCTGCGGACGCCTTCCACAGTGGCGATGGCGGCGAGGTATTGGAGGAAGACAATGGGGCGAGAGGCAGCGAGATGGGCGGGGTGGTTGATGACGGTGGACATGATGAGGCAACCGGGGGGAGCAATCCAGACGTTGGAACCTCGCCCGCGACCGGCTACTTGGGTCGTGGCGATGAGGGTGAAGCCTGTCGGGAGCTTGGAGAGGAGCGTGGTATTCCTAAACGGGAGGATTCAGTAATGTATTCAGTTTAGGTTTTCTCGAGAGAAATGGACTGGAAGAAACGCGGAAAGACATACTTCTCGAGCAATGTGTTTGTACTCGTCACCACTTCTCCATACATAATCTGATTCCCCCACTCCTCCGCCCCTAGCTCCGTGCGTCGGTAAGACACTAGGCTCTGATAAAACAGGCTGTGGTGGAAATTCGGCGTTTCCTTGACATCCGGCCACGATTCCTCGTGGGGAATAAGCTTCTTCACAATACTCGTGTAATCCGTAATCCCGCTCGTTGTTCCGTCGCTCTCAGAGTCGACTGGGGGATGCGCATGGTCCCACCGAGAATCCTTCTTCTCGATATGGAAGCTATCGCTCTCAGCCTTGATAAACTCCTCCCCTTTCTCATCACGCGTGATGATTTCTTCCCAGTCATGCAGCATCTCGTCGACCTCCGACGGTCTCAGCGCCGAAAGATGAAGACTTGAAAGAGACGGGATCATGGCTAGCGTTTCGTCGACGTTGAGGCCTAGCTTGGTGAGGCAGGCGCGGAGGAACTTGGCGCGTTGTTCGTTGTGGGATGTTATTTCGTTGAGCAGTTCGTCGTAGCCTGGGATGCTGGGCTGTGGAGAGAGGTTGGCCGGCGCAAATCTGAAAGGGGGTTAGCAAAAAAAAAAAAAAAAAAAAAAAAAAAAAAAAAAGCATGGGGGCGGCTCGCGTCTCTTGAGAGAAGAAAACTCACTCGGGATGAGGCCCTGTGAGAATGGAGGCTCCCTCTGCAACTTTGCAGTATACCACTGCCGCTTTCCCTTTGCCTCCGTCCACGTCCAGCTCATCGGAGTAACTCGCCAAGACCTCCACACCTTCGTCCTTCATCGTCTCAGCATCGACAAACACACCTCCTCCATTGTAGTACACAGAAATGTCGCCATTTACTTCACTCTCGAGACTCAGTACATCCCTCGCAACAGAAACCCTCGCAGCCCTCGCGCCAGCCTCGCTATGATACTGAAACCCCTTAAACGCACCGCCTCGACACGTCCCAGGAAAGAAAGCGAGTTCCCTCCTCCCCACGACCTCCAGCTTCTTGTCCCCGACCTCAAACTCGCACCTCCCGCTCCCGTAGTAACCCCCCGCACAAAAGCCGAGATACCGGCCTCCGCGACGCACGTACTCGGTAATGCGACGGTTTCCGGCGCCGTTGAGCACGCTGCAGAAGCCGAGGTCCGCGCCGCCGGGAAAGACGAGAAGGGCGCAGGTAGGTTGCCAGGGTTCTTTGAGGAGAGCGTTTTCGCTGAAGGGGGTTACGGCGTAGTTGGGGGCGAGGAGGCGGCGGAGGGTGTAGAGGCAGTGTTTGACGGATTCGACGGTGGTGCCGGGTCCTTGGTTAAAATGAGCTTCAGTGAGAGGGAATATGGGGGAATTGCGAATGAGGGGATGCGCATCAATTGATGATAATTGATGGTGGTTTGAATGTCGAATGTAAGAGGAACTCACCTGTATATACCAGGACATTCAACCTTGACGCCGACATCTTCATCGATTCCAGAGTTTGGTCCGCCCTGCGTGAGATATTTTGCGCAGGTTTAGAGTGAAGCCTTTTGGCGGCGAATTGATTGATAATTTTTGAGATCGAATCGATCGATTGATGAGACACTAAACAATTCCCCTTTTACTTCCGAGATGCGCTAACACGGCCACTGAGAGCCAAACTTGCAACTTGCAACAATCCAACGCCAGCGCTCCAATATCAGACCACCAACCTCCTCGGGTCGTTTCACGGGCAAAAAAAGCCAACATATATCCACATGAATCAAGAGATGGCCGAAAAGCAGGAAAAGGTAGCTGCGCAGGTCGATGTGCAGACTGCCGACGATGATGATGAGCCCGATGAGTGGTGCGTCTCCTGGTTTCCCAAGTTTTCCTGACTTTGGGGGCCGCACGTGGCATAACCTCTATATACAAAGACGACTCGGAAAATACAGAGGCTGACTTCGAGCTATAGGGAGCAGAGGATTGATAAGACCGGATGCGCAGGTATGAACTTGATTAACTGAAACCCAGAAATCGGACCCTAGGGAGGAGGGAGTGGTGGTTGCTGTCGGGTCTTAGAGGCTATGATACGATTCAGTCCGCTCTTGGGCCTTCAACAGACTCCCCTCCCCCATCACCACGCAAAGAAGTATATACAATATGCACTGAATCTTCAGAAGGCTAACGAGATTTCCCACTGGGAAATTGCGGTTCTAGCTGAAAACGCAAAGATGACGGATTGCTACTTTGAGCGCAAGGACTGGAGAGCCTGCGCCGCTGAGGTTGGTGACGCTGAATCCTGCATCCTTCAACAACAGATACTTGCCGCACTCCCTCACGAAATTCACTTTTCTAACTATAACTACAGTTGGCTGCATTCCAGCAATGCTGGAAAAAGAACCACAACGACGAACGCACGTCGATGAAGGACGTCGAGAAATAAGAGCTGGATCGCTGCTTCCTTCCAACACCAAGCTCAATTCCTCCAGGGAGCTTGCTGTTTACCCGTGGTTTACCCGACACATTTTCAGCTCCCCACGTCAGGGACAAGGAAAAAAAGTGAAGTTGGACGTCGAAGTTGATCTCTGTATGATAGTGTACGATTTGGATCCAACACCCCCTTGACCTTAGAATCATAGATCTCACCTCCTATCCACCCGGCCTACTCCCCGGGCCCTAATAATACTCTACTTTCTACTCTCCCACCCGTCCAATTAAACCCGATTGTCTCTCCCATCTTCCCAAGATTCACATCCTCGCCAGAAGCTTGAATCCCCATTGAACCTCGAACCGTCCAACTCTCACGCGTCAAATGGCCTCCTCCCTCCACGCCTCCCGCCTCCTGGCGACCGGCTCCCCATCCCCCCTCCTCCGCCGCCTCACCCGACCCTCGCGACCCCTCTCGACAACATCCTTCTCCTCGACCCTCCTCCCCTCCGCGCTCTCCGCTCCCACACCCGCCGCCTACCCCAAATCATGCCTGCGCAACGGCACGACTCGCGTCTCCAAATTCCAACACCCCAGCGCCCGCCTAGCCGTCAGCTTCGCCCGCACCGCGACCACAATCCCCAGCAAACCCGCGCCCGCGCAACCCGCCGAAGAAACCACCACCTCTCCCGCCAGCACAAGCTCTTCCACGCTAACGAACAACACCCCCGAGGGATCTACCTACATCGACTCGCCCGAGGGCTCCCCCTACGCAAACGACTGGGACGTCGATTGGTCGACTTCGTTCCACGGCATCGCCTCGGCGCCTTTCTCCCCCGAAGTCGCGGAGATACTTCGCCGGCCTATTAAGACGAAGGACGTGGAGATTAAACCCGACGGCATATTGTACCTCCCCGAGATCAAGTACAGGAACATCCTCTTTGACGCTTTCGGACCTGGTGGTTGGGGCATGGTGCCCAGGGGTCCAGTGGTTGTAGGCGAGAAGATTGTCACGCGCGAATGGGCCCTCGTCGTCCAAGGACGGTAAGAACTACCTTCGCATGCCTCTTATTCTCCTCGCGCTCCTTTTAACTTCGAGCTAATTGCCCAATTCTGTTTGCAGATTCATTAGCCAAGCCCAAGGCGAAAACACCTACTTCTCCAAAGAAACCATCCCCCGCGCCGTCGAAGCCTGCAAATCCAACGCCCTCATGCGCTGCTGCAAGGACCTCGGTGTCGCTTCCGAGCTCTGGGATAAGGCCTACATCCGCACCTACAAGTCCACCTTCGCCGAGGAGGTCTGGGTCGAGCACGTCACCACCAAGCGCAAGATTAAGATCTGGATCAAGAAGGGAGATTCTGTTGAGTATCCTTTTAGGAAGACTGGTGCAGCGTCGTATAAGCCGGCTGCTGCGCCGGCGGCGAGATAAATGAAGAGGAGGAACCAAAAAATGATTCGGTTGCATATCTAGGACGAGGGGAACGCTGTCCAGGAATGACGCATGTCCCCATCACTTTTTTTTTTTTCATTTGTCCTTCGACAAGGCAACAAATCTTCTATGTAATTTTACCATCTCGGCTTAGCTCGTCGCTTTTCACGCCGTTTACTGACAAGCGCCGCCTGTATTATTATCAGAGGGAGCAGAAATCAAGGCTCGGAGATCAAGGCTGGGGGAGACACGTAGCAGGGAAGGGGAAAGAGGAAAAGGGAAGGCAATGCGGAGTCGATAGAACCTCGCCCGTCTATGTAGAAATACAACAAAACCATCTCGGCCCATCAACTCAACCTCTCCTTCCCCGCTGGGAGGGAAAGAAATGCCAGCAGCCTCGCGGGATTACATCTCTATCAAGTTTCGGGAACCTTCATTTTTGTAAGAGGGAATGATTATTAAAAGCAACCAAATACCAAACGCCATCCGAACCTAAAACCCAAACCCAGTGCACCCTGTCCAGCGAAAGCAGAGGAGGGCACCCGCCAGTCTATTGCGGCCTCTTCTGCACACCGGAGCTATGCGCCGTAGTCTCCTCCTTTTTCTCCTTTTCCTGCGCCGGCGGCGTACCACCCGAACCCCAACCCCATGGTATCCATGAACCACCGGAGGCGCTAGGTCGCTGTCTCAGATTCGCCTCCTCCTCGGTCGCGCTGTCGACATCAATCTTCTCAAAGTCGACTTCGCTTCGGCTCTTGCTCAGGCCGCTCCACGAACTGAGTCCGCTGGGTGGCCTCTCGTCCGGCGGGAAGACGTCAGAGCGGGGGGATCGCGGTTCGGCGCGGGCAGCGTCGCTTGGGCGAATAGTGTCCTCTCTATTGAGGGTCTGCGATTCGCGATCGAGGGCTTTAATTGCATCGTTTAGCTTCTCGCGCTGCGCCGCAAGGAACTTCACCCTGTCTATGCCACGCAGATTGTCGGGAATGACTATGCGTGAGCCCGTCCCACTAGCAGCGGCATCGATATCGGCATCGTTACCACTGCCGGGGAAGCCGGCGTTCATGGCGCCTGATAGAGTCGTGGTGAGGAAGCTGTAAAAATCCAGGCTCGGGATACCTGCCGCATCAGCACCAGGCGGCTTGATACCTGCGCCAGTCCATCGCGCCGCGGGGAGGCTGAACCGCGAGAGGAGGCTTTGCGTATAGCTCTGGGCGTTGTTGGTCTGGGCGGGCGCGGGCGCGGGAGCAGGCTCTTCTTCGGGGAGCCCAAGAACCTTAGTCTTGAGCAGGGCGATAGCTTGCTTGAGGTAGGCGAGGCCGGCGTTCTTGAGGCGCTCGTGGGCGCTGGCGATGAAGTCTTCGATTTTGGACTCGTTTTCCTCGAGGTAGGGGTGGATGTGGGTTTGGTAGATGATGCGGGCGCCTTGGGTCTGGGGGAGGACGAGGTACAGGAGGAAGATGAGGCGGATGTATGCGTAGAAGGGGACCCTATTTCGGGCAAGAGGTTAGCGATCGTCTCGGCCGTCTCTACAGCTGCAGTTATCATCGTTGCTTTTGCCCGGTCGCGGCTATAAATTGCATGGGTTGGCGGGGATGCTCACCAGACAAGGAACCAGTCAGTCCAGGACTCCACAAGGAGAGCGCACGCGAGAACCACCCAGTACATGAGCCATGGCGTCAGCTCGGCCGGGTCGGACGTCTTCAAGGCTTTGTATGATGCGAACAGGGGAAAGAGGAACGACGCTATGGAGCTGTATCGCGCGCAGCTGGTTAGCAGGTGCTTCTTGAAATAACTGCATTCTCGTCCTCTGGAGCTCCTCGAGGTTTCGTCGTCCCCAGTTCTTGCTCCTCCTATGGGGTTTCCCCATGCGACTAGAGGCGGAAGGCTGCGGCATCGGCGGCTTAAGAGCTGCGGGCTGAGTGGAGGGGGGTTACTCACGAGAGAAGCTTCGCAAAGATGTCAAACATGTTTGCGTCGTTGCGCCTGTTGCAGGCGGCTAAAAACTGTGGAACAGCAAGCTGTCTATAACGGGAAAAAGAAAGAAAAGGTCGCAGTGCAGAATAAAAAGCTTTTGAGGTTTAGGGAAAGAAGAGCAGAAGGGAAGAAAAGGAAGGGTTTAAGATGGAAGGAGAGACTCAAGGAGCATAACGGAACCGCTGGAACCGGGGAAGGAGCACTGGGCTGAGCACGAGGACAAACAGAGGCCTGATCGAGACAAGAACGAGGCAGTGTACAAGAAGGGTACCTCAAAACCTCGAAGGTTTACCCCACCACTAGTGGGCCTCACGGCATACACCAATGACAACAGAGTCTCCCGCTGGAATTGAGGTGCTGAGGCGCTTTAGGGCCCTGCTAGTGGCAGTCATTAGTGCAGCCTAGGGCAGCACGCGTCATCAATGTCACTTCAGGCTTCAAGTTGGGAGCTGGAGCCTCCAGTCTCCAGTTCAATCAGCAACATGGAAACTTTGGGTTAGGTACCCTGCAGGTACCGATCGTCGTCTAGAACATTGACGTCAGCGCCCCTCGTCAGCGACCCAAGCGTAAGAGCCAGCACGACCAGGCCAGGCCAGGCCAGGCTGCACTTAATGGGACAACAGCATGAACTGGCCTTTTCAGTTATTGAAGCTTCATCTATGGACACGTATGGATTATCTTCTGAGTTTCTACCTAAGGGTCCTCAACATTGATATGAAAAGTAGGCGGGTTGAGGCCAAGTCCCGCGATATCGAGCCGTTAGCGCAATACCAGAAAAGTGCAGCCGATCAGGCGGCAGTTTGAGGGCATCACCACATGTGCAGAAGAGAAGATGGCAAGGCGATTTACACATGCAGCATTTTTTTTTTTTTTTTGGCCATTTTAAATGCATGCGCGAGCTTGCTGCAAGAGACAAGTTCTCCTCTGCAGACTGCAGCTACAAACGGCCGAGTTGGCCTCCGGATCGAATGGCCTGTGTCTTCGCTTGCTGTCCTCCCAAGCTCTGGTAGAAATGGCTTGGTCTTGGGAAAGAACATAAATGTTTCTGGCATCACCGACTACACTATGTCAGCCCAACAGACATGCTTTGGGCTGGGGTGGATCTTATTCCAACGTGAGATACTCTTGACACCAGCCCATCCTCGACCTAGATTCGCGGGCTCCCACATGCCAGGCGTTCCATGTTATTATTCTTACCCCAGTGACCGAGTCCACCACTGAAGAAAATGCCACCGCCAGACAAAGTCACGGGTATAACTTGGACGCGAGATATACATATGTCTTCACGGCGGAAATCACATCCTCATATTGAGCACTCTCACCTAGACAAGTTCTGGCCACGAAAGTCCATACCTTACACTCATCACCGAACTATAGATGGCCTAGATCTTGTCCGCTCCTCGACATATCATTGCCCCGAGGCTCTTAGGCACATCGAGGCAAGCACTCCGCAAGTACTCTCATGTGGTTTGACAACTTGGTTTGGCGCCCAGAAGAGCGGCTCTCTCGCCCTTGCTGCCCATATCTTCCCCGTTGTCTTTATATATATGCTGGTTATCTTCCTTGTTGAAGGTGCCCGGTATTTTCTTTTTGCTCCTTCATAGGACCGCTATGGAACAAAGAGGCGAGAGAGGCTCAATGCTCGTCCATTGACCAAGTTCTCCGATGTCTTTGTCTCAGGAATGAGCTAGCTCCATCTGCTCCTCCCAGTCGAACAAAGAACTGTTTGATCACAGCCTTGGAATGAAGTATTGAGTTCCTTTGAAAACCACTATGGTTTAAAAGCGAGCGCTCATACCCTCTAGTAGTGGGCATGGAAGCCAACATCATTCCGCTTCAACTTCTCCTCGACGTCAACGGTGCTGTGGCGACTTCTTCCCCGCAGCCGACAGAGATTCCCAAGCCAACTCACACCCTTTGTAAAATTTTCAACAGCATCATTATTTCTGTGAGGACTCTCTCTTCGAACAGGACCCTTGAGACGAACAACTTCGCCGATTGTCATGTGCGAACTTACCAAGTACGTCTGGAAGTGCGGCCACTTGAAGGATATCGAGTGTATCGCTTGCTCCGATCCCTTAGAATGCTGCGAGGATGACATGGAGACAGTCACCGTCCTCAAGGAATGCCGTTTCTGCATACCTACCAGCCCGAAGATCAACCCAAGCAACGGAGAACAACGGGCCGAGGAGCAGACGGGCGTCTCAAGGAGAGAATCTACCCTCTCGACAGTAGGACCAGCACTCGGGGTGAAGGGCCCCCAAAAGGATAAAATATCTCCAATCTCGTACACGACGAGTGGTGGCTTCGCCTATTCTATTCCTACCCACTACCAGTATCCTGCGCCATCCGATAATCGTTGAATTATCCCATCTATTTTTAAACCGTCGAGCTCGGAGGGTCTTCTCGTCTACCAATTATTCGCAGAAATTCGCCGTAGAAAATATATTGAAAATACCACAGCACCGGTCACCCTCGCCTTTTTTCTTCATTCCGTGTCCAAGTTTAGTAAAGTGGCTGCCTTTCTTGTTCCCCCTTCTGCCCACCTGGCCGGGTAATATTGTCGGATCACCATCACCGGGGACGCAGGACGCGGCACGTATATTGCGGATGGAGCCGAATTTGGAGAAATGGCCAGCAAAGCAGCTTCCTGGGGCTCTAGATTATCGGTTGCTTGTGAGAGAGGAGGGTCGAAACATCCGCATTGAAATAGATCATGTTCGCTGGGTCTCCCCTCCGAGTCACAAACTCTTTCGAATCCCAATCCTTATTCTATATTTCTTGTTTCTTTCCTTCCTCTGCTTGGACTGGTCTGTTAGTTCTCCTCGTGTATTTCTAGCCGCAAGATACTCTCCTGCTCAATCGCCGGAAAATCCATTCGAACCATGTCGAAATCCAAGACCCTTCTCCTCTCCCTCCTCACAGCCCTCAGCGCCCTCCCACCCTCCCACGCCCAAGTCGTCATCTCCACTGTCGTCGAAAGCTTCCAATGGCAAGACCCTTTCGGCGCCCACCCGACCCCGCTTGGCTTCGAAGCGACATGCGAATCCAAAAAGACCTACCGCGCCTCGCAGCACCTCATCGCCGATCTCGAGGAGCAGCCGCCCATGGGCCTCGCGCCCTGGTCCGACGGAATCTTTTACTTCTTCGGCGGACGGCCATACCCCGGTACGTGGGACGGCGTTGATAATAAGGGGGAGTCGCGCGAGATTATGAAGATGGAGTACGCGGATGTGCCAAGGGCCGTGAGGGCTTGGATCGAGGAGCAGAAGAAGGGAGATTCGGAATCGGTGACGAAGTTTAAATTTGCGGTGTTTGAGAAGCCTAAGAAGGAGGGAGATAGGATTGCGGGGACGGCGAAGCCGAAGAAGGAGGGGGAGGAGCCGGTTAAGGATGAGGATAAGGTGTTGATGTTTGCGCCGGGGGCGATTTATGATATCTTACCGCTTTGGGTCGCGGATGGGAGTGACTGCGAGGGTAAGTTTGAGTTCTATGATACTTGCCACTTACCACTTACCAGTGCCCTTTCTGAGAGAGCGAATGGGACATGTGCTAATTTTCGACATCTGATATAGCTGAACTACTGAACCTCGAGAACTACCAGGCTTACCCCGAAGACAAGAAAATCGTTGCCTGGCCCGTCGACCGCACTTGGCCTGACGATGACGCCGGAGACCCAAACATCGAGTTTACCGTCAAGGCGCAGATCTTACAAGAGACAGAGGAGGCGCGTACCGCGCGTCTACAGAGGGAGAAGGAGGAAGAGGAGCAGAGACTGCGTCAAGAAGAAGAGGCCAAGAGGTTAGCGGAAGAGGAGGAGGAAGCTAAAGAAGCCGCTGAGGAGGCCGAGAAGGTGGCGGAGGAGGGACGCCCCGGGCAGAGAGAGGAGGAGGCAGCAGTGGAGAGTGAGGCACAGGCGGCCGAGGGGTTGACTGAAGAGAAGAAAGGGGAGACCCAAGCAGTGCCTGGGAAGGATGAGGAGGAAAGTAGTACGATGGAGGCGAAGACTGCGAGCACCGAGGCGACTCAGGAGAAGGATGAGCTGTAGGCGAAAGAGAAAACCTTCTTTTGGTCTAATATCACCTGGAGTTTTGGATTAACTTGCGTGCACAAGCAAAAATGATTTAATTATTGATTTGAAAATGGAAATTATTTGAAGGTGACCCATTCGATCTCTTCTTCAATGTCAGGAGTTTGTCGCGGACATGGTTCGGGATGGTTCTGTCCTTCATACAGCTTCGATATCCAGGCACCCTCCAGGCACCTTGCGCAGTGGCAAAAAATCAAACATTTCGTTCCAGCCTAATGCTTCGCAAGGCAAGTCCACCGGCGGTGAGAAGTGGATGGTTGAATTCAGTGTCGACGGATGAAGTATCGCGTGAGGCACCACTTCGATTAGGACGGGAGGTGGGACCCTGAGCAGGGAGGTTCGTCATGGTGGTTCGAGATGGTCGGGAAGAGCCTTTTCTCCTGTTCGTTCGATCCCTCGTACTTCGTTACTCGTATACTAATCATTTAATACAATATTCAGGTTCCAAAAATAACGGTTCTGCACGTGGGTATCTCGGCGCCAGATCTATGGATCAGCTGGGTATCTTGGAGAGCGTGCGGCAAGCGCAAGGGGCACAGCTGAGGACTGACGACTTCCGTCCGCGAGTACCTATACTTTCCAGTGAAGTACTTCAAGTCGACCCTGCCGTGTGCGGATGATGATGTCGGATGTCCTCGCCTACAATCTTGAATGTCACATTGTATTCAAGCCCGGTACTTCGTACGGGAGTGGGAAGGCGGGGGCGGGGCAGTCGCAACCAAGTTGAGCCCAGCAAACAGAGTTGGCAATTGGAGTTGACAACCGCTCCCTGCATTTGAGTCGATGAGATCTGGAATCGCGAATCTGGGATCCGGGACCTTCCCGCTCTCATGCAATCCTTGATATGGTCCTCCGTCTGACTGCCTGTCATCCATTTTTGAAGATGAAGTACCTTGATGCTTGGTGAATTTGCCCAGCCTTGATGCCAAGCTGTCGCCTGCTGCTAGTGTGAGATTCGAGGTACGACCTCGATCAGATCATGATTGATGATGCACTCCTGATGATTACTATCACTTGTACAAGGTACACTCCAAATAGCCCAGGCAGTACATCACCTGGAAGAACTCGACTCGGAGACTCCTTCCTGCCCGCCCTCCTGCTGCTGACCCTTGCCTTCCGCCGCCGGTATTTTTCGGCACATGTAGTGAACCGCACCAGTTGGAAAGGGTTGGTTAGGGAAAGCGCCCACCGGTTGGAAGCCGAGGTTGACAGGAACACATTCTGGTGGCAAGAACGTTGGGCTGGGCAGACACTTTGCACGATCAGAATCTTCCGGGGCACGTCTCGCTTCTCGAAGTCGAGAGAAGATTGTTCAATGTTGTCTTATTGGCACTGTTGATTAACCAGAAACGAGACAGGCACACTTCAAAATCTCAGTTTGATGCAAAAGTTATTCTCGTTCCGACCATTGGCGTCACTCGCAGCCAGCCAAGAATCCCACTCTGTTCCTGCCCATAAAATACGATCTTGATGACCCATCTTTATACCCGCATAACCATATCCATCCATCCCACTTGTCTCTAGCAGGGATCCCCCCCAAAAAGAAGGGGAAAAAAGCCAAAAAAAATCTCCTGCCCCGTCGGATTCCGCCGTCGTCATCCTCCAATTCTCAGAAACGGTACCCTCCCATATGTGGACTCTGCCTGCGTGTGGACAGACGTATATGACCACATGAACCTATCATCCTGCGATGCCCACAGCCCCGATAGCAACAGTAGCCAGCAGTAACATCTGGAAATTGCAAAACCTCGCCCCGCTGGTCCCCGAGAAGCCTCTCCTGGCCCAATCCACCCCCGGCGAATGCCCAACGAATCGTACTTCCGACCGTAACACACACCCCTGCCACCAAACAAACGAACCAGAACGGCGCCGAATCGGCATCATCGTCGGACTCGATAGAGCCAGAGTTTCATATGCACCCGTGCGATTTCGCCCCTCTAGGATTCCAGCAGCCCAAGGTGACGCTTCTTTAAAAGCTTGCCAAGGGAGGGCCGTCAGTCTCCTTCGCTTCTCAACATTTCAACATTTCCTCTTCACCTACTTTCTTCTATCCAAAGACGTTGAACAACATACAATCGACTCTAATTCGATCTCCCACCCCCTCGTGATCAGCTAGTCCGTGCATCATTCTCGCTCTTGCATAAGCCCGGACTCAACTTCGATTGCCGTCTGAAACTCACAGACTTGGAAGCATTGAAAGTAAACGCCAGCTGCTGCCGCCGAATCGGGAATAAGAACCCTTGAAGTTGGGCAGCTACCTCTTGAGAAACCCCCATTCACGTTTATCTCAACCGCTTGTTCTCACTTGCCTCTTTTCCCCCATCCCATCTCATTCTTCAAATACATATTCTCACACCCACATTCACACATAATTCTATCACTCCGGAATTCACTCTCCTACCGCCCAGGATGTGCATCGTCTTTCTCACAACGGCGCATCCAGACTACGCCCTCATCGTCATCGACAACAGAGATGAGTTTATTCTCCGCCCTACCAGCCGGCCCGAGTGGTGGAATCACCCCAACGGGACCGACGTCCTCTCAGCCCGAGATCTTCAACGTTCCGAAAAGGGAACCTGGATGGGCATTACGAAAGACGGCGTCTTTGCCGTCTTGACTAACTACCGCGAAACCGACGTAGATGATGCCGATCATCCCATTCATGCCATCCGCAGCCGCGGCGGCATGGTCACCTACTGGCTAGGAACCGGAGCTAAAGAATCCACAGCCGAATCAGTGCAACGCCTCGTCGCGGGCGGAGGCGTCAAGGGTGTTGGCGGTTTCTCTATGCTCTGCGGAAAGCTAAAAAAGAATTTCAAGACCGACTCTGGCCGCGATATCGAGCCTATTGCCATTGTTTCGAATCGTGCCTGCGATGTATCTCATGTTCCTTTTGTTGCGCAAGCCCGTGGCGAGGTCTGCGCGCTGAGCAATGCTTGTTACGGAGATAATGACGAGAAATGGCCCAAACTCGACGACGGCAAGCAAATGCTAGGGGAGATTATCACCGAGGCCATCAAGAAGAATCTCAATGAAGAGCAACTGGTCGAGAAGCTCTTTGGCTTGCTCGACCACGACAGGCTACCGCGCCATCCCGGCATGGACTTGATGGGTTACGTCAACGAGCTGAAGCATTCAATCTTTATCCCGCCCGTCGGAGACGAAGTCCATCGCAAAGAAATGGAAGAGTCCAAGGCCAAAGGCAGGACAGGCTGGCCAAGCGGAAATGGCAGAGCCGCCGAAGACCCTCCTTCTCCTTCCCCCTCTACGAATGGGGTTACCACGAACGGAACCAATGGAAACAACAACAACAACAACATGGGCTTTGCCAAAGGCATGTACGGCACGCAGCGACAGACCATCATCCTAGTCGACTGGGACGGTCAAGTTACCTTCCGCGAAAGGGCATTATACGACAGCAACGGCCACCCTCTCCCTCGGGGCGAAGCCGACTTAACGTTCCGATTCACTATTGACGGCTGGAACGACGACGAGGACAGGTGACTATAGGAATATTTTGCAAACTTGTTTTTGGAAACTTGCTGACGGTTTTGTAAAGTGTTTCTGGCAGAGCTAGGGTCGAGTTTATGAGTTATCTCTAAGTGTTGATATATATATATATATATTTTTTTGCTTCTTGTCCCACTGAGAAACTCGTTTTTATTCTTTTAATTTTCTTGTACAAGGCATGACCTTAGAAGTATTTATTTGCTTGGGAAATAACTCGGGACCAGCTCTTGCCCCTGGGAGGATGGTGAACCATTGCATTGTGCATTTGGGATATACCTACGAACTTTAGATGAAGCGATTATGAGAGCATGAAGATATACATGTCATGAATTGAAGCTTGACGGGGCCATTGCCGTATTCTTCCTTGTGTGCTTCGTGATATCTGTTACATGTCGTCGAGACCTATGTGTCGAAACTGACGGAATGTTGTTTGGTTGATGTATTCGAAGCAAATGTAGCAGCGATAATTGATCTCTTGACGTCTCTCTAGAGTCGGATATACCGTGTCTTGTCCTCGACGCGTCCGAGTTCCTCCATCCTTTGATCTTGACCAGCATCACCATCGTACCTGCCCTCTTCCCCAGCTTGCATTATCATCACCACCGCTCCTTCCCCCACTTGAGACTCTAGATCACTGGAGAAACACTTTATCAGCTTTTTTTTTCTATCTCTTCACCTCTGCTCCAGCCCTCCTTACTCCAATCTCTCCAAGTTCCAGTCACTCCTGTGCCCCCAATCACTCCCGGCCCAGACATCTACTATTAAAGAGACTCATCCCTCCTCTCCCCCCAAACTCTCTCCCCTTTTCCCCCATCACAATCGCAGATGCCAAGGATATCTTTTGTTTTGTCTTTACAGAATCCAAAGGACCTGCCTTGTGTCTCCACATTGTGATTCCATCCTCTTTCTATCACAATCCCTCTTTTTCTTCTGTGACAGAGTATAACCTTGTCAAGATCACATCCGCTCCCAATTTCTGTCATCTTGCCATTGATTCCTTTTTTGAAAGGCATCATCAACTTTCTCTAGTTGGCAGTGAAGGAACGTGTCTGCTTGAGGACATAGAACTTGGTGTCTAGCATCCACCAGCCATCCATTCGCGTAAGTAGGAACATTTTCCCATTGTCTGTGTCACTGCCCAAGCTTCGTCTTTCGTTTCTCTGGCCCATGGTTTCTTTCATCTAACTTCTTGTCCTTGTGTATGTGTAGACCATCATTCATCTGTCGAGGTTCCCGACGTCGACCAGGTTGCCCATTGACAGTTCCTTAACTCGGCCACCAATCCATCGACCATCGACTTTATTATCCTATTTAAAGCATTCTTTTTTTGTTTCCAGCAATTATGAATTCTGGTCAAAATCCTTCGATATCCCTCGGGAGATTGGCCCTCGCGGTTCGGGCAATCATTGAGTTGCTCGTCGTCATATCTCTTTGTACAGCAAAGGTCATCTACCATACTCAGCTGTCCTCTATTCGAATTCTTTTGGTCGCCATCAGAGCCATCCTGAGTATTCCTGAGTATTCAATTGCACGTTGCAACTTGGATACTACGTCTGCGGACAATCCCATTCGAGCTTCTGATCAGTATCGGCAAAGGCTTTGTATCAGGCGTCGTTTCCGCTGTGACTCGAGCTGTACGAACAGCATTGTTATCAGACTACCCATCTTACGCTGCCGCATTGGAAGCTATTGGAACATCCAGGCCTCCGGAGAAAGAACCGACTCTGCTTCAGCCAGACGAACGCAACGTCCCTGAGCAGTAGCAAGCAACGGCGACTACGCTGACAACAGTAGGTTCCGCTCATCTTAAAGTCTCATTTACTCTCCAAACCCGACCTAATTGTATCATTAGATCAATATCTATCCGGTACTGCATTCTTAGACGAGGCATTATTTCAACTATGGAGTCTACTCATGCGAGCCAGAGTTATGACAACCCTCGCCAGTTGATCGACCTTGGCCAGGAGAACGTGCCCATCCAGCAGCACCGTTCGGCTTCGGCCCGTACCCGTCGCCCCCCTCCGGGATTCAATTTTCCCCGGGGCACTATATACAGCGAGGATTACTGCAGTTCAGCCAATGCCGAGGAGAGTACCCAGCCGTGTCGTCCAGCCGGTAGACCCTTGCCCAGGGTCCCATCGAGCCAGGATGCTCCATGTACGACTATGCGCTCCCGTAGTGGGCCTGTAGTTGGAGCGCCTAAAGTCGATGCCCCTGTTGCCCCTTCAAGCCAGCACGCCGGCATGCACGTTAGCGTCGGTGGAACAACATCGTATAGTGAACGAGCACGAACTGCCTATTGGGGAGAGGGCCGTTTCGCCAACCCTGTTGAGAAGGCAGATGGAGGTTTTGAGACATCGGGAGTGGCTCACAAGTCACAAAAGGTAGCTGATACGCAATATTTCGCTGGCGATGACGAGGAGTATCCTGTTCTAGGCCGGGTTGGACCCCCTCCTTGTCGGAACCGACCACTCCATCGTGTTCAAGGTCAAAATTTCCGTTTGACCCCCGATTCAACCAGGCCAAAGCCCGTCGTTGATACACTCGACCGTCGTCATGACAACGATTTTCGGACCGGTGCCCATGAGGCGGAGAGCCTCCTTAAGGGCTTAGACGCTGCGGAGGATACCCAGGGTGATGAGAGCCAAGAGGATGAGCCAGAGCATGAAGGCCCTTCCGACGGCCTTCACCCTCGAAGATCTAGCATGGTACAGAACATTAAGACTGCCGTCAAGAAGCCGTTTGCCATGCGGTGTCCCAGTGAAGCTAGCGAGCCGCCGGCAGATCTTCAGAATTCGAAGCCTGTCAAGGATCGCTCATCAACGTCGACGCTGAGTTTCCACACTCCCACCACCCACAGTCCGGTCGACCCAGTTTACATTGACGCCGCCCAACCATCGGCCTACTGGACTGGCCGTTTTATGTCGACCGCGGATCGAATTTATCATAACCTTATGTTCGGACGCCCGATTCGTCCTCCGGGCAGCCCCCCCGTGAGATTTGATGACGTGCAATTCCTGATCCCCGTAGACATGGAGTTGACCATTGAGAATCGAGCGGAAGTTTTCAGAGGACTAGAGACGCAGGACCGCCTTACTTCTATTACCATGTTCCCTCCCGACTTTGATGCGTTGGACATCAATGGAAAGAAGTATGTACTCCTCAATGAGGAGGAGAAGTCTAGGCGAATCTTCAAGTACCTGGCAAGTGTCTGTGTGAACGATACTGCGTTGAACAGTCTTTATGGCTGGCAAGAGATGTTTGCGCGAAAGAAGGGCAACCCTGCACTCCTCCCACCTGGTGGCACGATGAAGGATTCGTTTATGTGCAGGTTGTTTAACTTTGGTCCCAAGAAGTATGTTTGAATTTTGAGGTGAGGGGACATTCATTGGTGAAGGCTAGGATGGGGTGATTGTGAGGTTTCTATTGTGTTTTTCTTGTTTGGTTGGTCTTTTCCCTCGTATTTCTGCATGTTAACTGAGAATGACTGTGATGCTTGGAGGGAAAGGAATTTGGTATCAAGGGCACATGTACAATAGTTGCGGAAAAGGAAATAACAATAAAAAGGGGGGAGGTTGAAAATCTCAAAGTTCGATCAAGTGAAGTATTCTATTGTACAGCTTTTATATTCCGTAGACCATCTAACATTGAACAAGACTAAGACATTGAAAAGTTTCCAGACTTGCTCGAATATGGGGAATTTTGGTGTCATTGACCCTGTAATTTTACATCTCTCCGAACGCCATGAAAGATTCCTATTCTCAGAAGGATCAAAAAGAAAGCGGGGGAAAAAAATAGATAGCCAAACTTTTGGAAAAAGGCGTTTCTGGTTGCTGCAAAGCAACCAGCGGCCCTTGAGAGGATTGATCGGCCTCCTCAATCGGCCCTCTTCCTCAACTTGAGAAAGTCGCGAATCTGCTCATGCTTACTAGCAAAAAACATAGCCCTTTTATCACTCCTCCAAACACAAACCCCAATCTCCGTCGCGTAAGAAGCACAAGCCTCGTACTCCTTCATATCGTCAAAGTCCTTAAACAAGAACCCGGACGTAGTCTTCATGCGCTCGTTCTCGAGCTGCCAGAGCCGTATCTGATCGACGACGGTGGGCGGCAGGACGGGCTTGTTGTTGGCGAGGGCCTTCCGACGCATCTGCTCGTGGGCGTGGGCGGCGAGGTAGTTTATGATCTGGTCGGCGGTGATGCCGTAGGAGATGGCGCGGCGGATGGATTCGCGGGATAGGCGGCCCGAGACCATCTCGTGGAAACGCATCTTGAGGTTGGCGAAGAGGGCGAGGACGGCGATTTGGAGAGGGTTGGAGGTGTAGGCGTATATGCGGTAGTTGGTCTCGACGATGATGCTGCCCTTTTGGGAGGTGGTTGAGGGAGCGGTGACGGCTGAGGTATCGGTTGTGGTTGGGGTGCCGGTGGTTGTGGGTGTGAGGGAGGTGACGGCGGCGAATCCCTCGGAGACGGTGCGGAGGGAGGAGGATGAGGAGGTGAGGGTCGTAGCTAGGCGGGTGGGGAAGTATTGTTGGGGTTTGTGGGAGGGGATGAAGATGAGGCCGATGTCAACGAGGAAGGGCAGCATGTTTCGGCGTTCTTCCGTGAGGGCGTTCGTATCGTATGCGCGACCTAGCTCGAGACTAGCGAGGACGAAGAGGAACGAGAGCATGTCGACGCTCTGGCCGGCCCCCGAGCGATCAGCCGCCTCCAGCCAAAGAAGCAGCATCGTCCACACCTGCGCATTGGCCTCCTGGAGGAGGAACGTAAAGCCGGCCTGCGTAATGCCAACCCCCGCAGCCCCCCCCATATGCCCCCCCGTCCTCCTCTCGACCAACCGCCCCGCTAACAGGAGCTCCTTGACGGACAGCTTAGGCCCGCTGGACGATTCGGCACCCGCGCGGTTCCCGACGCTGTTGACGACGAAGTGGAGTATGTCGTCCCACTTCTTGCGGGCGTAGCGCTCGAGGAAGGGGAGGTCGACTTCGGGGGGGATGGGGAGGGTGGAGAGGACGCCGAAGGAGTTGTGGTCGCCGCCGCCGTCGAGGGCGAGGCGGAAGGAGTTTTTGAAGTTGGCTGTGAGTTGAATTTCTTGCTTTTTGTTGCCTTTGCCGGGGACGGATATCATGATTATGTGGAGGCTGCGGAGGACGGAGAGGGAGTGGCGTTTGGCGCTGCGACGGATAGGAAAGAAACGTTTAGCGGATTCATGTTCAAAGAACTTGTCGAGGGATAGAGGAAAAGGAAGTTTACCGTTCAGACTCGGGCTTGACCCAGATGTCTAGATCAGAGTAGAGCATCGGTTTCGGCATATAAAGGAGGGCCATTACGATAGTTTTGGCTGCGGGAAGAGAATCGCAGCCTGCGTTAGCCCAAAAAATCCCTGTCTACACATTTTCTCTTCCGGCGCGCGAAGCAAGGCAGCGCATACCAAGATGGGGCAGCATCCGCCGGAATATCGCAAAGGCCGTCGACGGCTGCTGATAGAGCTTGCGGAATGTGGTGCCGGGGAGCTTCTCGAGGTAGTCCCCGAGCTGGAGGGAGTTGGTCGCCATTTGTGAAGTCGTTGCAGGGAATGTCGAGGTCGGTGCAGAGGAGATTGAGGTCGACGGCGTGACAATAGGAAGGGCGTCGATCGGGGTTCGGAGGGGCTACCTCATACTAGGGGTAGGTCGGGAGCTCCGCGACATGCTAGGTCGAAGGAGCGGGGTTCGGGTTGAGTTGTGTGTTTCGTAGCTCGGGGAGATTGGACGTGTCGCATCGGAATGAGGTCGTGGAAGATGGCAGGGCTGCACAGGAAATGTGATATTCGAGGTTCCCCAAACTTTTGAGCCGCTCGAATGCTTCGCCTTGAACCTTGCAGCCTGTTGCATTAAATGCTTATCTAAGCAGGTTTCTGGAACTCTGTTCCATTGTTCCTTCCCTCAAAATTAGGCCATCCCCACTATGACATGGCGTTGTGGAGCTCTCAGGAGTCAGCGGGAAAGAAGTCCCCGGTCGCGCCTTCCCTGGCCAATCGAAGCCGCTGATAAATTGAAGTAAGCCGAGCTGCCGGTTCCGAGTGCTCCCTATCTTGCCTCGAACTTCCGTGTTTTCTGCGCCGGATCTTGTTACCGCTTGGATTGATCGGAGTCAATTGGATTGCTTTCGGGAAAGGAAAGAGAAAATGACGACAAAGCTGGCACCCGGGCCCTTTGTACGCGCCGTAGGTTTCTTGAACGGATAATTGAGAGTCGCTCTGAGGATGTTAACAATAAATATCTAGGTTTGGCGGTCGTTTATGGTTGACTCCGGTCTTGAAGGGAGGTGCGTGTTTTCTCGTATCTTGGCCGTGAGGGATTGCCTCAACTGATTGAATGTTGGCGCAGGCTTCTCGGCGAGCACGTACGTGTTTTTTCAATCCCTGCCTGGAGTGCCCTTGTTCCGCCGTTTCTGGGCGCAGCAGCTTACCTAGAATGCATGCGTTTAGTTTAGGATAAAGGAGGCTGCTGCCGGCAAGGTGACCTTCGAACTAGACATCAAGAGGCAGCATACGGTAAGACCCTTTTCAAGCCAAGTCTGCCGAAGTTCGTATGGTCGCTCACTCTGCTGGTAGAACCGACTCGGTACCCTCCATGGAGGATGCATCGCAAGCATGGTTGACCTCGGTGGTTCTCTCGCCGTCGCGTCTATGGGCAGATTCGCGACGGGCGTATCTACAGACATTAATGGTTCGTAGAGCCCTGATCCAGCAGGCTTGTTAGAACGGGGGTATCTAACTTGCTTCTAGTCTCCTATATCAGCGTGGCGGGACGGGTTGGTGATACTGTCACTGGTACAGCTACGTGCGAGAAGAGTAGGTTTCTTCCGCGATTTCTTTCCTTAGTCTCTAGAGTGAACGGAAAACTAACTGGGTGCGCGTTCAGTCGGAAAGACGCTGGCCTATACCATGGTTCACTTCTGGAATTCCAAGGGAGAGCTAGCGGCGAGAGGAAGCCATACAAAGTATATCATTGATGCCCAATCTCAGTCTAAGAAGGAGAAGCTAATGTGATTCAGATACGTCGCGGGCACTCTCACCCCCGAAAAGCCCGAGTACGCAGCCCCCAATCAGTTCGTCGACAAAACGGACAAATAGGCGTGAGGTTCAGGAACGCGGAGCATAGCGTGGTAAGCAGGTATATTCGTATAATCATAAAGTGATTTGATTAGAACATCGCAACTGGGTATTATTACCGCCCGATAAATACAGAAGACATATGAAAATAGACACCTAAAGTCCAGAGCTTTTCCGCCCCCTCCCCAGCGATAATGCTTATTTAACCTGACCAGAGAACTCTCCGCCCCGTCGACCGGGATCTTTCGAAACCGCCGTCCCGTGATTAAAACGATTGGCCCCTTTCCAAGGGCTCGGCCACACCCAACTATCGCAAATCTCACGGCTTCTCCTTACTTTGGCCGAGCTCGGATAGTTGCGGGATCGGCGTCGGTACCGGCGACTGTATCGGCGTAGTAGACATGCTACTGATTGTGTTTGGCGCCGGGGTGCTTCTCAATTCGGCTGACGGAGCTTGAGGGGTAGGCTGTGTCTGGGGCTGGGCCGGTTGCGGGGCATACGTAGCCGCCGGTATTTGCTGTTGCGGAATCGGCTGTTGAGGGTAATAGTACATGCCGGGTTGCCACGCCTGCTGTCCCTGGGGCTGCCCATAGGCGTAATTCTGGGGCACAGGATACTGGCCAGTGGGATACTGCGCGTAAACTTGGCCGGGAACGGCAGGCTGGCCGGCGTACTGCACGGGTTGCACGGCAGCGACGCCGGCGGGAGCGATGATTGTGGGAGGAGAGGCCAGGGCGTTCTTGTTGCGGCCGAGATGGAAAAGGGTGACGAGGGTCAGGAAGAAGGGGATGGTAGAGAAAATGAACTCGAGAATGAGACCATAGTCTGGAGAGATGGCGATTTCCGACTCTAGTGTAAGTCCTCCGTAGAGTCCGATCCAGACGACCCTGAAGAGATTCTCGATAAAGAAAAAGACAGATGCGACGAGAAGGATCGTCGCAGCCTACAGGGGAGGAGGGGTCAGTTCTGGTCCTCTCCAATCACGTCGGATGCCCTAGCCCGCGGGAGGAGAAAAGTCACTCACCTTCTTCAAGTGGGCAAACTGCTTGACCTTGGTCAAGACCAAGGCAGATAACGCCAGCAAGAACACGGAGATTACAAAGATTATAATGTTGATAGCCCCCTCGATTCTCCAGGCATGCCTGCCAGTCGTGCGCTGGTAATAGCCAACGTTGGCGTAGATTGCGACGCCTAAGTAGACGATTGAGAGTATGACGACAAGGACGAAGAAGAGGATGCCGGCAATGCGGGCTGGAGCCGACAACTTCGCCGGGGTGCTATTCCGTGCGAATAAGATGCCGCGAATGAGAGACGAGAATGTCAGGACGACGGCGGCCTTGGCGATCATATAGAAAAACGAGTCGATGTTCCAAGAGACACGGTAGGCACCCGAGTTCCAAATGACATCGTACCATAGCAAGGCTCCGAGGACGCATGCGAGGGTGTGAAAGAACAGGAATCTAAGGATGGAAAGATCGATTGTTAGTGGTGGCTTGGTAATTGGGTTGCGCAGAGAGAAGATAGGATTCCAATAATTTACATACCCGCCGAAGAAGGGGAAAGAGACCTTCAGCCATCTGACGAAGCCACGGGCCTGGTCTCCTAGGCGGCGACAAACACAGAGACTTGCTAGAAAGAGGCCGGTATTGGTGAAAAGGATCGCGCCGGTGAGACCAGCGGCCGCTGCGTAGAATGGCCCGTAATTTCTGTAGTCTGACATGGTGCGCGTGGGATTCGATGCGCTGGGCACACCTATTCTCGATCTGATGATGGATTTTCTTCCTTCGGAGTTAGGTTCGCTTGCGGAGATCGAATGCTACAGCTTCTCGAGAGACTACCGTTTGACTACTAACAGCAGGAGGTGAGTCCGATGGGTGAGGTGCCACTTCAGGAAATCGAAATCCGGAATCCGTGCTGTCTCGGACGGAAACCGACCTTTCGTTTTGATGTTTAGAGAAAACTCTCAAGGGAGCAACAACGCACATGAGAGGGAAGGCATGGCCAATTATTGCGATTGGGGGAGATTGGGCTTATGAGCGATTGTGAGCAAAAGCAGGATCGACAAACAACCCCAGCATAGCGTGTGATTCAAACTTATTTTGGGAACATGGATCGCCCTGACAAGGCTCAGGCACGGCTCCAAGCCAATCATTTTTGCGCTAGGTGATAAGATCGGAGCAATGCCTGTCCGTTGGGTTGCATCGCCATCAGAGAACTGAGGCGGTGCCTGCACATTCAACCCAGGACGAGAACACTTGACTGAGACACGCCACAACCAGCCTTTTGCCAAGGGAATTTCCTTCGTAAACCATTATCTCGTCAAATAATCTAGATTATGAAAGGTAGAGAGCGCCTCCAGGTAGTCATGTCAATTGAGTCCAAATGCCGTGGACGTGAGTTTGAATGCACGGGTAGCGTTGACGATGATAATGCTCATGCCTGAGTCGTGGACAAGCAGCACGACCTTAAATTGCCTTATGAGTGCCGACCCACTTGGAGGTTAGGAGCCTGGCCACAGGTCGCAGGCGTGCATAGAGGGGTCTGCCGACCAGACCCCTGACCTAGAGTGAATCGACCCACGGACCCAGAGACTGACAGACCTGGCCTGGCGATGCGGGTTCTGGTGTTTCAGGGAGCGCCACCGGAAGGCTGGTGCTCGGTACTGGGCACCATTGGCATGAGATCCGGGGTCGGCAGTAGCATTGGCATCGGCATCGGGATGAGACGTCAACGTCGTCATCTGGTCGAATGCGTCGTTTCTCGTCGTACTCCGTACTTCGTAAGACATCTCCATCTGTTGCATCACTTGGAACGGCACCTTTGAATATGCACTGGGAATTACTTCGTCGTTAGCACTAGGGCCAGGTGCGGTGCAGGGTGACGCCTATTTCGAAGACGTGTGAATTGCCAAGGTAAGTCGGGTTGCCAGCTCAGAGCGCCAAGAATCGGGTTCGAAGGCAGGGCCAGGTAAGTAACATACCATACCAGTTGCCGTTCAGTCGATATCGCCATTCCGCCTCGCTCCGCCACTCGAGGGGCAGCACTTACTGCGTGCTTCCCCGGATGAGGAAATCTGTGGATCGCGTCATGTCGGCTCCGAATTGGGCTTCGGCTCTAGGTGGCTCCGCCCGGAGTCACCTCGGAAAGCGTTGATGATACTCTTAATTGAGGACGATGGAATATATCGATTTGTCCATCTGGTAGTTTCATGGCGGCCATGGAAATATTTATCGCCTGTATTTGTGCCGAGGAGCTCTTGCCCATTTCTCCTTACCCATCTGCCAAGACTAGCTTAGTTTGTCTGAGGGTCGATGTGGGGACAAGGTTATAATGTACAATGTACATCCGCTTGTACATCCAAACCTGGGGCAGTTGTGATGGGCTCTTCTAAAACCTGGGGTTTTTGAGTTGCTTCACTCTTGGAGAAGCTGCGATGGGAGGCATGAAGTTGACGCGTCTCAGCGTGTCGCCCACCAGAGCTTCATTGCTCCAGGTGGCTTCCCTAGACTTCCCTAGACTTCCCATAAGCTGAAGATTCTATTTTCTACAATAGAGTTTATTGTGTGAGGATTTCATAGACTTACCACCACCCAATCCTCATCTCAAGACAATATTATCACCTTCACAACCCACCTTTATTGGATCTATCCCTGAAAAGGCACTTTCTCATTCACTTTTGTTATTATTCTGGTGGTTATTGCCACCTTTTCATTGCTGTTGTCATCATTGCTGAACAGACACTGCCACTACAGCAAGATGGCATCGACACCTACCAACGAAAGCGGTCCCCGATACCATACCAAACGCTTCAAGGGAAAGGGTCTCGGGCTCGTCGCCGCCCGGGATCTTCCATCCGGAACTCGGATCATCTCCGAGTCTCCCATCCTTCGTACCGATCGGAACCAATGGGGAAAGAATATCGACAGCCTCAACGAGGCCATTGCCAAGAAGGTCGATGAGTTCAACAAGGCCGAGCAGAAAGCCTTCTTCTCGCTGCACAACAATGTCCCTCACAACGAGAAATTCAAGTATTACAACATCTGCAAGACCAACGCTCTCCCGCTCGAGCCCGGCTCTGGCAATTACGGCGTTTTCATCAAGGCGTCGAGGATGAACCACTCGTGCAGGCCCAATTGTCACAACTCCTGGGACCCTAACCAAGACAAGCTTCATATCCATGTCATGACGGACGTCAAACAGGGCGACGAGCTGACCTTGACATATCTTAAAGGCTTCCAGCCTAGTGCGGAGCGCAAGGAAATTCTCCAGAGTAAGTTCCACTTCAAGTGCACTTGCGGCTTGTGCTCCCTCAAACAGACAGACCTCGAAAAGATGGACGGATCGTTGAGCCAGCTGTCGAAACTTGAGAAGACGGTAGATTCCGAGTTTGATGACTGCAAGACACCCTCCAAGGCCAGCGACAATCTCTGGCGTCTTTGCAAAATGGTCAAACTGTGCATTGCCGAACAAATCTTGGGCTTTCACTTTTACCGACTGACTCTCCGGGCGTCCGAGCTCGTTTACATCCACGGCGATGCCGCCCGGGCGAGGGCGTTTGCCAAGCGGGCCCATGATATTGCTCTTACTTGCGAGGGCTGGAACAGTGTCTCGGCTGCCAAAGCCATGGAAGTCATGCGAGACCCGGCTCGCGTATGGCCACCCAGTCTCACCAGCGAGTGGGAGACTGGCCGCTACCACATCCCGCTCGGCCTCACGAGGACCCAGTACGAAGACTGGCTTTGGCGAGCCGAATCTTTTCTCGTTCCATCCATTGCGGATCGCCATGCTCTCGTTGCCAATCTCCGATCTACTGAGTACTTCCCGTCCTACCAGCAGCTTCCGAAGGAAGGCCATTCCGATCCCGCCTTCTATGGCTCTGACAACGCCGTAAGCCCCTCCAGCAAGCATTGGTGTCTTCTCGCCCAAATCGAGGGTGTCCAAGATACCGCTGAACGGGTCAACATCGAAGTCAAGGATCGCTTCGGCAACCGATGCCTAGTTGCCCTTTTTTATGACCACTCCCTCTACCCTGAGAATTTGACTCCCGGCAAAGTGCTAGTGCCTGGTGAAACCCTTGCCGTCCTTTATGCACAGATCCATGAAACCAAGATCATTTATGTTGATTCTTCCTACCGATTCAAGGTAAGTACTAGTCGTACACATGGTCCCTAACCCAACCCAATTATTCCACGGCTTTCTAACGTTTGTCCCCAACTTCCCACACGCCACAGAGATTCCGAACGTCTCTTACCGGCCTCTACGAGCTTGGAGATGTGCTCTTGCAGTACTACACCCCCAGGGAAGAAACGATGAAGTGTCATGGATGCGACAAGGAATTGAGTCGCGAATTCCCCAAGAAATGCGCCAGGTGCCATGTGTTCTGGTACTGTGACAAGGTATGCCCTCCCTTCAAACGTATTTCTTTGGTGCTCTCGAAGACTTGCACATCCTTATGCAACCTTTTTTTAACCTTTCTCTACACAGGCATGTCAAACCGTAGGCTGGAACAAGGGGCACAAACACCATTGCAAGATTCTGGAGGACCCCGAGGTCATGAAGTTGTTCTTGTTTGAGTGGCACATGTTCAGGACTTGGATCCCATTCCCGCTACAAAAGTCATTGTACGACCCCGGAAGCGGTCTCGGCCTGTGACTGTCTTGCCCGATGGAGGTGCCAGCGGAATATCGGCATACGTTCCATGGTTGGAGTTGAGGTGAGCAATGAAATCTCAGCCCTTCCAGGAGCTCCCACAAACAGGGCCTAACGATGTTGTCAAGCATTCATCCTCCCGTCATTCTCGTATATGCGCCCGCCCATGCCGACCCGAGCTTTTCTGCTTTTCTGGTGTGTATATTGGCCAATTGCCTTGAGTGAGCCGCCAGATATTGAAAGTATATCGAGGATCCATGCAGTTATGAAATGGAAATCAGCTATCATGAATTTTGATTCGCCTTCGTCGTGTGTGTGCAAACGGTCTCAGTCAAGACCGCCCCATTTCTTGTAGACAACGTCATTTGTATTCCCCGATTCGTTGACAAGAAATCCTTCTTCTTCTTCCTCCCGTTCTTCTTGAGCCTTCGTGAATCAAGGTCCCCAAGTCCCCAAGATCGGGTATATGAAGAGGAGGTGTTTCCCCTCCGCCTCGCCCTCTCTTCTTCCCACGTCTCAGGCACCCTTATATATACTCTCGATCCACAATGGCATCTGTGGCTCTCTCCTGTTTACTCACACAATTTTTTTCCCCCTCTCTTCTTCGTGGCCTTGGTAGGCGCATGCTCTCTGGGTCTACGATGCCATCTGGCGGCCTCTGCTCGTTTGGTTTTGCCTCCCTTCTTCCCAGGTAACTCCTCATGATCCGGATCGGCAATGTCATCTATGGGCCTCAACTCCTTTCTGTCCTATCTTGTCTTTGCCCATTTTCCCTTCTCTATATATACATCTGTCGGACAGCGCTGATAGACTGTCTGTTCAACCTTCTTGGTTAATTCCTCCCCATGCGTGGTCTCAGATCCTCAATATTCTCCTCCGCCCCCAGGCTAGGCGAACTGGCTTATCGACACCTACAGCCTCTCAGTGTTCTTCTACTTCACCTTCGGCTCTTGTACATTTCCCTTCGCCACCTGAACACAGATCATCGTACTGGACACGTTTCTGCTTGCACATGGACTTCAGCTTTCGGGAGGGGTTCACATCCTCCCAAGGTTCAATCCTCATTCGAAGTTGACTTCCATTGTTATTCTCTCGGGGTTGACGACCGAGAGGACCTCGGCGCATCAGGAACTTCGGGCTGATCGGCTCTGAAGCGAGCATCTGTGGCATTGCCGATAATGCCAGAACCGAGAGGGCACCTTACTGGGCCCGGGGCTTGTCTTGCGAGTCGAATATCTTCCCGCACATGGAATTCTGCTTGTGGAGAGTTCCCATCACCCAGGATACGATATCGTGCGAGATTCAATTGTCGTTTGGGCACTCCCGGTATCATTCTTCAGGGGTTGATGACCCTGCGGACCCCAGCGCATCTGGAACCTTGGACTGATCACCGTTGAACGCGAGAATCTGTTACATTGCCGTGGATGCAAGAAACGAGAGGCTGCCTTACCGGGCTCCGGAGCGGTGTGAAGTTTCTTCCTACAGATGTGGTTCTCCTTTCGGGAATGGCAGAGGCCGACCTGCGGCCCAGTGCTCATTCAAGAGGCCCCCATTGTTTGTTCCCTCGGGGCCGTCAGCTGGACGCACCCAACACCGTCTGGGGCCTCCATTCAGATTGCCTCTGAGACGCGTATTCAGGGATGGCATATGCGAGACTTGAGCCAATCCACGAGTATCGGAGACGACATACCTGAAAGAGTTCCCAGGGAGTGGTGGCCCATAGGGCGATGGGGAGCGGCAGGAAAACCCAGCCTTCTTCCTGTTTTTCTTCTGCTTTTGTCTTTTCTTGTCAAGAGACTTTCTTCCTAGTGTCTGAGCGTCTAAGCTTGACGATACGCGAAAGTCAAGCCCAATGGACAAGGGAACTCGGCTCCCAGCTTGGATTTCTCGAGATTTATCTGTTCGGCGGCACTCGCTCTATATCGTCAGTATCGTCAGTATCGTCAGTATCGTCAGTATCGTTAGTATCGCCAATATCGTCACGCGTTGTGTATGTTGGCCATATTGGATTAATCTGGTCAACACAACTCGATCATAACGCCACAGATAATACGCATCATTTTGGCTCGGCTGCTCTACGACACAACAAATTGAACAAAGAGTTGGCATCGCCTACAAGAGCTGGTGGTTTGCTACTTCAGCAACAAATCATCCTCATCAAGGCTACAAGGCTTAGCATGGCTCGAGCCCCACGAAAGCATAGAGCCCTAGCCAGATGGCATGATACAACTATCCAATCTTCGCCGAACGGTAGATCATGTCGTAGTCGGGATGACTGCGAACCCTTGATCACGGCGAAGTGAGGTCGAAGTGATTAAGCTGCTTCTCGAGGCGGGTGCCGACAGAAAACTAAAGGACAAGAAGCGCCGAACCCCATTTGACTTGACCCGCTGATGGAGAACGAGGCAGCTTGCCTGTTCGCTGATCTGATCTTACATTGGGGCGATTCAAGCGAGCTTACCGTCTAACACCGAAGTCGAGACATCAAGGATTAAGGGTTTGGAGGACCTCTCGACCAGGAGAGCCTAAAGAAGGGCAACTCGTATTATTTCTGCCCGGCCGCCCTCGAGTATATTGGGAAACATTCCTCCGGGGTGCACTACCGGAAGCTGTGATTCTTCAACATACGTCCCTGCCACCATATTGTCGGCAACAAAAAGCTCCACAACCCCCTCGTGGCTAATCTGAGCAGTCCGACTGAGTGGTGGCGTGGGCTTTTTCGCCGATACGAGCCCCATTCGTTCCGACAAACGCATGACCTTCCGCGAAGAGCATTTTTTCCGTGTCGGCTCTGGTATCCAGTGATTCATCTACGCATTCTGTGTGTGCGTTGTTTTCGTATCTATCTATATATATATATATATATATAGTACTGGAGATAATTCCAGTTCTCACATTTCTCGCTAGTTGCGAGCAAAGACGCAAACCGAACATCGACATTGCCTCCGAGCTGCGCCGCGGGTCGTCGACATTACCACAACTGAGACCTGACGAATTCACGCTGTACGACGGCCGTGGGCGAGTTTGGCATATCCACGAGCCACGTTGGGCGGTTTTGGTATCCGCGGTGCAATCAATCCCCTGCGAAGCCTTGCGCGATAGGGGAGGTGACCGAACACCCCAGACCCGATTGCCCAGATTGTAAGAGACCTGTGTTAAGAGCGCTTGGAGAGTCTCCTCGAAACTGCACGCTAAGAACTGAGGGGCTTGCAAGACACACGGCTTGGCAATCCGGCCAGTTCCTTCGAGGTGATAAGACAGCTCTCACAATATCCCGCCACGCGTGAGAGTCCTGGGCTACAACGATCGAAGCACCGAGTACAAGGCACTGCACATGACGTTTTCGCTTTGCCTGTTGACAACATCCTTCCGATGGATGTATCAATTCTTGGCCAGCAGCCGGATTCGGAGACGGCCAGATCACGATCGCCCTTCCTAGACTCACAGGCATGGAGAGGCAGCCTAGGTTCCTCGATCTCTGCGCTGCCATCAATTGCTTCCTCTCTGGTGGTTGGTTATTTTCGACCGTCGTACACCCGAAGACCGCGTCCTCTTTGCAGGCATCGCTGATGAATTCCGATAGCACGGGACAGCAATTTCATGAAGCTGCCCCTGGCGTCCTCCGGTTCCTCAAGACTCTTACCTTTGAAGGAACAAGCAAATACCGCGATCCTCATTAATTTCACATTCTTTGCACCGTCTTTATTCCCTGGACCCTGTCATTTGTGAAAAGCTCCCTGGATTTCCGGACGGGACTGAACCGAGGTCAAAACCTGCCTACTCTCCCCTTTGCCGGCGATAAAATCCAGAAATTGTCACTCTACCTGCGTAGAGTCTGGAGTCTGAGTTGGCCAATCTATTCTGCGGTAGCGATTGCTGGTCAGCCCTTAGGCGGCACCTAGTATTACGACATGCCTGAACGAGAGGTCGCCACCCAGTCATTCATAAAGGTTGCGTTTGTTGCTTCTCCTGGGGTACGTCCGCCAAACAAAGCCATGTGGCGGACATATCCACCTCACCGTCCTTGGCTTTGTCCTACCACCGCAGATTTGAGCCCCGAAGATCAACTATTTGCGAGCACACAGCTGGTCCAAACATACACATTGGCTGTGTGGCGGTTCGAAGCTTGCTGAGGGAGGGCAGGCAGATGTCGCCTCGAGGATACATGTATATGGCCAGACTTGACTGGGTACTTTAGACTGCAGGAGGAGCTTGCGGCCGTGACTTGTCTCTATATGTTCTGGGTCTCAGGAAACAGGCTGATGGAACGAATGAAGGCTGGCCTGGTCTCTCAGGCCTTGAGGGTGAGACGCGACTCATACCTCTCAAGAAGGGGTGCGCCGTGGGTAGAAAAAAGCATCGAGTCCAGCAATCTTCTTCTTCAGAGGGTACTCGTCGTCCTGGTTTATGGTTGAGAAGCTCCGAATACCAGCCTTCCAAGGCATCACTCACCCTGGGCAAGGAGCAAGAGTAATCCGATTCCCGAGAGACGACACTGGTCTGCCCGTTCTCGTGGTTGAGAGGTGTCCGATTTCCCACTTTACAGCCAAACCCTAACCGAATCCAAAATAATTCCTTTTTTTGTGTTACCACGCGCTGGGTTGCAATGTTCGCTTGGTGCGAGCTGCGATTGAGATCCTCACCAAGAGCTCCTGCTTCGTTAGCAGAAGGCGAACCCCTGAAGAAATGGGAGGTTGGGTGAATCCCCCCCCCAAAAAGATAGAAAATAGAAAACCAAAAGTAACTCCATTTTAGAAATTGACCAAAATGTGCCGGGAGTTGGGATTGAGCCGATGAGCTTCAGGTGGACTGAACTGAACTATAACTTGTCATCTGTCTCTGTCAGAGGGTCTCTCAACTGAGCCGACACTCAATAATCATTAATATCTGCCTCACGAGAATGCAGATCTGATCAGCAATAATACCTGCTGCCTGTGCCATGTCTGCTGCCTGGGGGATTTCGATGGGATTTATCGAGAGGCGATAGTCTTTGATCAAACGTTTAGTTCCGAAATCTAAGTCGCATCAATCGATGCTCACCTCTTGTGAGGCGACCGGGAGGCGGAGCAACGTTGCGCGGAATATTACCCCGGCTTTTGGATAGGCCATTGTGTTTCAAGGACGAACCTGGGGAGTTTGGAACTTGAAACGGCGAATCGGGAAGAGCGGAAACTTGAAGCTAAAGATGACAAGAAACGAGGGGAAATAAAAGGCTACGAGCAAAAGCGGATTCGCTCACCCCCTCAGACTTCCAAACAACATTTCATAAAGCAGCGAAAAAAAGAAAACCACAACCAACCACGTCCATATTCTCAACAACTCGTATTGAACCCTCTCCAAAATGTCCAACCCTCAGCAACCGCCACCAGACCTCAAAGCGCGCATCAAGACGTCCTACGACGCCATAGCGCCTACATACAACAAATGGACAGAACAACACACAGACGTCCGCCAGCGCTACCTCCAAACCTTTCTCGACTCCCTCCCCTCCTCAGCCAACACTCCGCAGCGCATCCTCGAACTAGGGTGCGGCGCAGGCGAACCCGCGACGCGAACCCTCGCCTCACGACCCAACACCCACGTCATCGCCAACGACATCTCAACAGGCCAACTCGCCCTCGCGCGCACCAACGCCGCATCATGGACCCTAGGCACCGGGTCCTCTGTCGAGTTCATCCAGGGCGACATGGCCGACCCAGAGACGCTCGACTTCGAGGCGGGCAGTTTGGACGGAGTGGTGGCGCTGTACAGCTTCATCCACCTGCCGAGGGAGGAGCAGAGCGTCCTGCTTGCGCGGGTGAGGGGATGGTTGCGGGAGGGAGGGGTGTTGATGGGGAATTTCTCGGAGGGCGAGATGGAGGGGGCGGTTCTTGAGCAGTGGTTAGGGGAGAAGGATGGGTGGATGTATTGGAGTGGGTGGGGGGCGGAGCGGACGAAGGGGGTTGTTGGGGAGGTGGGGTTTGAGGTTTTGAGGGAGGGGTTGGAGGAGGAGGGGGTTGATGTGAAGTTTTGGTGGGTTGTTGCGAAGAAGAGGAGTTGAGTTTGTGATGGGGATGGGTAACAGAAGGTGATGATGGCGCTGGGAGATGGATGGGTGGTGGTGGTGGTGGTGGTGAGGGACTCGGGGCGGAGGAGGCCCGGGGGGGGATTGGTTGTAGCGATTTCGCTCTTGGTCTCGAAGGTACTTTTTCTTTTAAAGCATTCTCACAGTCTGAGGGTGGGCATGTAGAATTGAGATCCCAGCTTTCCCCGGATCAACATCAAGTCTTTAAACCAGGGGCAGAAGCGAGGGGAGGACGACAAAAAAAAAACAAGGGCAAGCTGCCGGACTCGAACCAAAGCTACCCTGGTTGATGCTGATCTCTAGAGGCTGATTACATGAGCAATCTCAGGGACAGTAGAGAGGATCTACTTTGCATGTACAGTACCGAGGCACAAGTCCTTGCAATATCAATCTCGATGTGCTGGTGGTGCTGGTGCTGTCTTCACCCTACACGCCTCGAGACTGGGGAGAATTGATACTCAGCTAGAAGGATTTTCACAATGATGCTGTGGGCTTTGATGCTTTCCCAAATCTAGCTTTTCTAATATTGTGATCGGAAACCTCCGAAACTCCATCGATTTTCTGTCTACTGATACTTGGAGAAGATCTAGTGTAGTACCGAGTGCACGTACAAAGCTAGACGATGTCGAATCTTCATTACGGCGTGGGTCCATCGCCGTGGAGCCCGAGGAGCCCCGATATCCTCGGCGTGTCTGTTCGACCAGGTCCGACGATTCTTAGCTGGTTTCCTATTTAGGAAGTTGGCCTAACCCGCCCTCAATTCCTCATCCATTACCTCCCTCCTGGCAATGGGGATGACTGATTATCTCTGGACTCTCCCTCAGCCTGCAACAGCGATGACGAGGCTTGGGTATGATCCCGTGGTGGCGGAGTAGGAATGATGAAATTGAAGTGTCCCTCCCAGTCTGGTTCGCGATCGGCGTTGCAGCGACCGAATTCAGGTCACAGCCAAGACCAGTACGCGAGGAGGTCACAAGTCTTCTCATTCAATCCTGGAGTGTGTGTTCCTACATCCGTTGGGACACGCCAATTGGTAAATAATAAATCCCCTTGGTGTGCTGAGTGCGGCGTTGGCCAGTTTCCGGGGAACAGACGGAGAGACACTTGAAATCATATCGACGGACCAGATCTGCCGGCGAACTTTTTTTGGTGGATGAGACGAAACGAGATGAGTTAAAGTGGGATATGATCACTCTACCAGGTTGTGGATGCTCTAGTTAGCTACCCTTGCGTCGAGATCAACATCGAGAAGCAACACAAACAATATCAGATCTACTATTTTCCCCAATGTTCCCATTTCTAATCATTATGTGGTGCTTACTCAGGCCAGCATCGCAGATTGGTTCGATCCAACTTCAGCTTGCAGGAGGCAACGTCAGCTGCTGGAGACGGATGAGTGAGTGTGAGAGAGAGGAGAGAGTGAGTGGGCGAGGGAATCTTCCTGGTTTCTCGTTGTCTTGTCTTTCCCGTGCCCTCTTGGTCTCATCTCGATCGCCCTGTCCGTGGGGTGGGAGAGGTAGAATGTGATACATTCATCTCCAACTTGGCCACCGCCAACGCGAACTCTTCCCTTACCTCTGCGACCTCCCCATCATCTGCAGACTCCCGCCTCGCTGCTGCAGCGCGCAAAGTTCCCCAGGATTTTAATCAACCATCTCACTGACGGGTCCCCCTTTTCGGCCTGGCATTTGGATGGCACCAACCATCCATACAACTTCCTCTCCGCATACGCAATCTGTTGCCGTCCGGTCATGAGCCTCGCTTGCTATATTGTATATTACCCACCATCCCTCCACCCGCAACGCGCACCAAGAATCCAAACTCGGTTATGCCCGTCCAACGCCTCTTTAATACTGTCTACACTCGGGGAAATTGATTTCCAATTCTCTGTTCCAGTAGAATCGGTTGAAACGTGATCCTTCGCGCCCATCCAACTCCCCATCCAACTTCTCCTCCCTTGGTTACCCCAAATCGAATCTCGCCTTCAAAGGGTCACATTTAAAATCAAGAGGGAAAAAAAGTCCTCCACCTATCCTATTGCTCAAGTGAACGAAACACCTGCGCTTGTCGATCAGAACGTGGGGGCGAGAGGAAGTCTGTTGAAACACTCTGGTTCCATTCAATCTCCTCTCTTTCCCATCACAGTCCGTCGAGCGAACCTCATTGGCGCGAACACTCTATCCTTTCCATTAAACGTGCCTCCCGCCATCATCTATCTCCGATCCTCAGGATTCCATCTTGTGCGTGTGACGTTACGAATCCCCAAGAACGTAGAGACTTGATCTAGCACTCGCCGATCGAGTAGCTTGGGATGGACCGTGGCTTTTTGGTGGCGAGAGACAACATTAAACCCTTCCATTGTTTGTCCCCTTGCATACCCTTTTGATATTTAAATAGCCGGATTCTCCCAGCCACTCCGGGCCAGAAAGAGGATCTCTTCTCAATATGCAGATCCCACTAGTGGCCACTGCTGTTCCCACAGTCATTATGAAACCTTTTCCAACGACTTTGGCCTCTGTTGCCCTTGTTGGTGCTGGTGCTGCCGTTGCTGGAGGGAAGGGGACAGTGGGTTTATGCCAGTCAATGACCTATGCTGATGGTATGTTTATATATCCTCTTACCTTCCCTTGACACCTTAGCTTGTTCTAGGATCGACCGCAGATCCCATAATCGAGCTAACATTGGCCTTTTTTTCCCCCCAAAACTAGGCGGAATCTACTGCCGTGAGACAAACGTCGGCAGCTGTATATCCGACCTCGGCGACTTTCCCGCCAAAAAGACCTGGAACCTAGAGAGTTCGTTTCCCTAACCCACCAACTCCCAATTGTACATTTACTGACCCTAGGTCCCTTCAAAAACAGTCCTCTGGACCGACGACGGCAGCATCCATCTCATAAAAGAAACCAACCAAAGAAGCGTCTACACCAAATTCAAAGACAAGCTTTACATCGACGCCTCCCCCTCAGCCGTCCGCCCCATCTCCTTCACCCCGGACAACACCACACTCACCGGAGGCGAGACCTCGTGGGCCTGGTCGGGAGCCTACGGCCTCATCCTGTGGTCGCCGACGGGGAATCCCAGTGACGGCTTGGCCGAGGGTGGGCTCGTTACGGGCCAAGGAGTCGAGTGGTTAGATGTCGCAGGGTATCCCGGGCTCAAGCAGGCATATTGGAATGTGACCAAATTTGAGGAGTCGAGGAGGACGGGGGTGAATAGGGGGGGCTCGTTTGCGATGTGTTATGGAGATTATCAGTCGGTTATTGTGGAAGGGGATAGGCCATAGGGTTAGGATGGCGGGGAGGGAGGATGAGTATGGGTATGATTTAATGTGATATATGCTTTATGGGAAATATGGATGAGGGCTTGCATTATGGAATCGAATGGAAAGCTCTCGAGGTGTGCTCATCTGGGCAGAATCAATGCTCCCTAGGGTTTGCTGTTGCAAACCTTGGAGACGGGTCTGCTCGAGTCAATCTCTACGACAGGAAACTACGCATGCTAAAGAGAACCAAGGACCGCGGGACACTACCAGGTATGGTGAACCGTTATTATAGTAGTCTAGTAGTCTGAGAAAACTATATACCAGTGCATTCTATTTTTATCCTTTTCTTTTTTTCTGATTTTTGTTGCTCTTTTTCGAGAGGCGGAGGGCAGTCTTCACTCCCACCAAAGAAGGTAATCGTTGTGAATCCAACATAAAACGAACAGCTCCCAACCACTCTCCTCATCTCGGGAAAAGAACTCCCAAACAGGACTATCCCTTCCCAACGAGCGCTGAAGATCCAGGCGAATATCGGCACGGCACAGCTGCCTGATGGCATTGAGGGTGTTTTCCGACGACGTGTAGTACCCCAAAGAATCGGCCTCCCTCCTCAGATAGATGAATCGGTCCACGGCCCTCTGGCAGCGGTACGCGGCTTCACCATGAAGAGATCTGTCCCATCTGGAGTCGCCGCCCAGGTAGTCGACGCGGCCCTTGACGAACAGGTTCAATACGAATATGATGTCCGCTGTTGTGATAAACTTAGCCCATGAGCTATCCCGGTCCCGATGGAGGTTGATAGTGATCCAGTGTCCGAACCAGGGGGTGTGCATGGACCAGGTGGTGTTGAAGACGCCCGTATTTGCGATTTCGAAAATGGTGGCCACGCGGGCGGCAACCACATCGACTGGGCGGACGGTGGCGGGGTCAACGCCAGGGAGGTTGGTCGCATCCAGGAGGGTTATCCATAGACGCCAGTGTTTCTTAGGAATGATAAATCTGAAGTACATGGTATAGCCGTCGTCATCGTTGCAACGCAACTCGCCGTATTCACCACGGAAATAGAAGCCAGGAACCTCGAACGCCTTTTGCAGTAGGTAGTGGTGACGGGGCCTGACGGCCTGGGCCTCGTCTATGTTGTGCACTTGTATGTCGTGGAGCTTGACGGCGTTGAGGGGTTGGTAGTTGATGTTTATGCCCACAGTCAGCGCGAGTCTTCGCCTACGGTCCCAGAGAAGAGAGAAAACCTGCCACATCTCAAGATCTCGAATATCATCTGAAGGTCCAGGGCCTCTGTAAACGACCAGGTCGTTCACGTGGCGGACCATCGGATGCGCTACGATCGGATCCTCCTGGACGAAAAGTTCCAAATCCGCAGTAGTCGGTTGGGGGATGGCAGGGTCGAAATTCCAGGTAATAACGCCTCCGAAGCTGCGGAGATATGCAACGTACATTCTCCGAATAGAAACTGTCACGCTGGCTCCCAAACCGCAGATGTAAGCCTTGACAGGATATTGAATCATGCCCTGTGGCCGTGGCCGCCGCTCCTCTGGATGTCGGATGATGGGGCCGTGGAACTCGGCGCCGGTGGCGTCGCGGATTGCAATGCTAAAGGCTCGGACCTCGATGAGCATGTCCCCTGAGACAATGAAAAGATGCGCCGGGAACTCCACAGCGTCGAGGCTCCGGACGGGATGGAACATGGCGGGGCAGAGGCTCGGCCTGGTGAACTCTTCAAGGCGGACTGCGCTAAAGTTTACGCTGATGGCAGTATCAAGTCGCTGCAGAGGCTCGGGTGCCTCATTCACCCAATCCTCGGGGTTATCATCTTCAAAGAACGGTATCCAGTCCGTGTCGTCATCGACCGGCGGCTGGGGGATAAATTCAGAGAATTCCGTGATATCACTTCCTGAAACGGATGGATGCACGACATCGGATCGGGGGTTGGAGGAAGCCTCCGATGGGGGACTGGATTGTCCGCCCTGGCTATCCATCCCGACGCTCTTGCACTTCTTGCGGTTATAGATTGGACGGTCTGGTGGAGGTGGGTTGTTAGTTACTTACACTGAAATCGGGATTGACCGGGAGGGCTCACATGAATCAAAGCTTAAAGAGGTGTTTAGGTGTTGGAATACAATGAGTGTTGATCCTTCAACTCCGGACTCCTGATTATCCTTTTCTGCTCGAGTTATTGGTGTCAGCAAATCTCCTAGAGAAAGGAAAAACGAGGAACATTACATTGAACTCGAATCGAAATTTGTTTGTTCAACTCGATGATGATACACCCTCTTCGCCGGGCGCTTTCGTCTACCGAGTTGTTAGGATTTCCGGTTTTTGCAGAAGGACGACATAAAGATCCAAAGCGAGAACAGTAAAACGCTCGCCGAAGACGTAAAGGGAAATCTCGAGGAAATAAAGAAGGATAAACTTACCAGTCTTAAGAAAAGGAGGATACCAACGCTCCAAGGGATGCTCTGCTACTAAAGAAGTAGGGGTTGAAACTTGAATCTCTCTAGAATAGACAAGTCCAAGGAATCTGAGGTATGAAGAGGAGAAGAAAAAGTTTGGGTTTTCAAAGGCAGTTAAAAATTAAATAGATCACAACAAAGCCCTGACTGATCAGAGAGGAAGCTGCTATGTGCACTGATGGCCATCATGAATCAGGAACTTTGAATAACATTCGGATGGTGTTATGGTCTTTCGTGGGAGGAATATAGAATGAAGTGGTGATGCTGGAGGACGTGGAAGACAGAGCGGAGGTGAAGTTGTTAAATCCCGGTCACGGCTCCGATGTGGGGCCGGACAAAGCGGAAAGAGGGTCTGGAGATCAAAGAAGGGTTGCCTGCCTATATTTGAACAATGTCTAAAAGAGAATGGGAAATACCCCTTGACTCGATTCTTCTAGCCAAATTTCGCCTATTGTCAGACTGGTGTATTAAATCAAACCTAGCTAAATGTCGGGAGAAAGCATGTTGAGCGCGAGATATACACCAAAATATCCTCCACACTTACTTCCTCCCCTGCCTCTTCTCATCCCCCACCGCCCGCCCCTCAATCATCTCAATCCCCGCGCCACACCTGCCCCCCGTCCTCCCAATAAGCTTATAATACGCCCCAGCCTTCCTCACACTCTCCCTCTGCTCCCCACTCGTCATAACAGACAATCCTCCCCCCGCCGCCGTCGTACTAGCCGAGTTACAAGCCAAAACCATGATCCCGAGCAAGGGAGTCTTCCGCAGCAGCTCCAGAGGGATGAAGAACCTCGGCCGGTACTTCCAGAGGAAGAGGGCGAGAGCTAAGAGGGTGACGGCCATGATGGCGAGGATGGCGGCAGAGAGGATAACGCTGGCTTGGTTAGCCTTCTTGGTGAGGAGGCGGGCGTAGGGGACGTTAGTGAGGAGGAGTGGGAGGAAGTCACTGAGGATGGATACGAAGGAGAGGAAAGCTGTGAAGGGGCGGCGGGCGAGAAGGGAGCGGAGGAATTCGGAGTAGGGGTCGGTGCTGTAGAGGCGGAGGATGGTGTCTTCTGCTTTGCAGTATCCTTTTGCGAGGTTCCAGAGCGGTATGAAGATGAGGGCATCTAAGAATTGAGGAAGAAAATACAAAGATTAGTCCTAGGGATCGATGCGTTAAGAGTCCTCCATCTTCAGATTAACTCACCATCAAACACAACCATCCAGCCAAAGTTCGTTGCTACACCCACCGCCGCTAACAGAAACCTGACGCCGAAGCGCTGACTCCACATAAACTCCCCAAAGGGACTATCCTCCGGCTCCGCGATATGCCAGTACAGAATCATAATCGTCAACCCGATATGAAAGGCGGCAAAAGCGATCAACACGCCGCAGCTCCACCTTACGTCCAGTGGCTTTGGAGTCACGTCCTCGACCCGATCATCATCACTCGATGCGATACCGCCCGGTCGGGCTTGCTCACCTCCTCCTCTCGCGGGGGCTTCTTCTCCGGAAACCCCTCCGCCGACGCTAGGAGACGAGCTGTTCATCGACGTAATTCCATACTCGGACATTCCATTCCGCGGCAGGAAATCATCAAGTCGGAGCTTCTCCCCACCAAACTTCTTTTTAAAGGCCTTGATAGTGACTACGTCTTCCTCAGAAACATTGTGGAGTATACGACGCGTCTCCTCATCCCTCAACAGCGCCGTGACCCCAATAACAGTCCTCGGATCGTTCCTCAGCCCACTCGTCCTCCCAATCATAGTATACCCTAGGGCTAGTGTAGCAGCCAACATAGTCCCAAGCAGCACCTGCGCGATCCTCGTAAGCTGGGGCAGAACCTCCATAACAACCATACACCCGTTCGCATCGCTCTCATCGCACTCCCCGGAAACGCCCATACCGAGGGCCTCGGCGGCGATCGGGGCCAGGATGGCGCAGATGTACTCGAGGATGGCGGCCCAGGCGATCGCCCAGTCTCGGTTCCAGAGCGAGGATGAGGGCGGGACGAAGCCTGAGAGGAGACGGTAGCGGAGTCGGGAGGCGTGGCTGATGGTAATGCCTTGAGACGTGGCCATGTGGAAGAAAGGCTCCATGGAGACGATTTGGTGGTGGATTATTCGCCAGGGGATGGTGAAGATGATGGTTAGGAGGTTGGGGGCGAAGGAGGCGAAGAAGTAATCTGCTTCTGTTAGGACGAAGAGGGTGGGGATTCCATTTGAGTAAGTTCCGCCGCCGCTAGACTGCTCGTCGGTCGTTGGTCCATCAGGTGCAGGTCCATGCGGCGCAGGTCTATCAGATGTAGATCCGTCAGATGCGAGGCCATCGGATGCAGGCTGACCGGATGCAGGTCGACCAAATCCGGGTCGTTCATCAAATATTCTATCAGGACTGACTTCAATCTCCTGATCAGAAGCGGAATCGCCAGGTGGTGGTAATACGCCAAGCGGCACCACGGGAGATTTGGAGCCGGGAACTCGACTCCGAGGATCCGTAGGGGCATCGTCATCTGCGCTTCCTGCGAAACTTTCTCCCCCGAAGGCTTTTACTGACCCAAATTCGGCCCCTGATCCGGGTACTGCAACTCGGCCAGGAATCGTTCCCAGGGTCCCAAGACCTCCAAGACTACCGAGACCAGCGAGAGCAGCAACTCTATCACTCTCGTCTCCAACGCCGACGCCGACGCCGACGCCGATGACCTCCTGCGGAGAGCCTACGTCGGAAGATGCATCACGTACGCCTCCCCCTCCTAGCCCAAACACAGGCGCGAAATATTGGTGGTCTCCGGAATAGATCGGCGGAACGAGGAATGGGCCGGCAGCTTCGCGAAATTCCTTGAGCAATTCCTCGCGAGTCGCTAGCCGTTCTCTATCGAGAATCGTCTGTCCCGGTCCTATAATCTCCTTCTCCTCGCCATCGTTGGCGGCGGCATCTGGCCTCAGATGTTGCGGGTCTTCTTCTAATGGCCCTGCGTCACCATCGGCCGGGTCGCCATCTATTGAGCCCCCGACACTAGCATCTGGCGGCTTTTGATCCGGGTTCGTTTCCACCCCAAGGACTCCCGCAGGGCGGGCGAGGTCCGTCTGTCCTACCCTCGTTCGATCGCGACGTTCCATGTCCACTTCGATTACCTCCCCTCGAGGAGTCAAAACGAACCACTTATTATTATTCCCCAACAAATATCCCCCGTCGTGTACAGGGTTCGGGTTAGTGTAACCAACCTTTGTATAGCTGAGAGGACTCAACAGAGTTCTGCCGTCGCACCCCAGCACCATAAGATTCCCCGGATTATTGTCCCAAAAGAAATCCGGTACATAAGGCACGATCCCTAGCTCGGGGTTCAACTTAATAAATCTATACCCCTCAAACGAGGGATCCGCGGGATTTAGCACCAAAGGTGCGGTGTTGTCGTGACTGGAGTTTGCCGCCTGTCTGGCGCGGATGCGCATCCTGATGCCCGTGACGAGCTCCGGGACGCCCCTGTCGTCTCGGCTCAGAACTTCGGTGGCAATTTGAATGAGTCCGATCGAAGTGATGAGTACACTGGCGAGGAGTAGCAGCGACGGCCATGTTAGTATAAGGGGAACATATGGCGGGTAATGTACATTCCCGCGTCTCTTTGAGCGTTTTCTCGCCGCCTGTTTTCGAACGGCCATGCAGACGAAACCGATCGTGCTAACAACGAGCGCTAGGATCACGGGTATGAAGCAGAGCACGAGGCTGACTACCTGAGAGTCCCGAGGAGGCGGAAGTGCGTACTCAGTCGCCACGGCCGATGGCGCTGGTGTGGTGTAAGAACTCGAGGGTTGCTCTCGCCGCGCTATTTCCATTTCAGGCATAGGCATAGGGAGTGGTGTAGACATGCTTTGGGACGGCCAGGAGTCGGCGAATCTAGGGTCAAAGGTGAACTTGGGCCACGTTGGAGGGTGGTTCGCCAGCGGGTCAGTCTCTAGTTGAGGGAGATCTGACTCGTGCCACCGGACCTGGATGGGAGTTTCGATTATTATGGCGGTTACGACAGGTGGCTCTGTTCCTGTTGTGAGGGCGAGCCGCGTAAATACGCAGTTCATCCTGCCATAACAGTCATCGCCAGCCAAGGTGGCAGGATGATATGATCTTTTGCAGTTGGAGCCCGCTGTTAACTTTCTAATCCTATACGCAAACAGTATGCGGATGAGAAGAAAAAAAAAGAAAAGAGACGGAGAGGAGGTATCTCGTACGATGGGCAACAGAGCGTAGATGTTACGCCGGGCGTCTCAGAGGCTTCTGGAAACGGCGGAAAGGCAGGAAGCCAGCCCATCGGGCAGATGGCCGGCGAGTAGTAGTTAAATCTTTCGTGGCATAGTCCCGTTATCCGTTTGACCTCCGAGCCCTTGCCAGTAGTCCAGGTGGTAGTGCATGCTAAAGATTCATCCCACGTAGTTGTCATGGGGCCGAGATTCTCTGCTGGAATCTCCGCCAGACTCTTCGGTGTTCTCAAGTACGGCGACTGTCCTTCGGTGCCCCCGGTTTCGTCGAGCCATTCATCGTATACGCTACGGTACTGCCGGTTCTCCAATATTGGATTGGCCGGAGTGATGACGGGGGGAGGAAGCGACGATGTCGTAGGTGTCGCCATTGGAGTCGGAAAGAAGAAGCGGCGAGAGAAAAAGCAAATAGAAAATAAAGAGTGACTTTCGTCCAGTTCCCTCCGCTACGCGACAGGCCGGTTTGCTCTGTGAAGGCGTGAGTCTCCTTGAAGAAGATCGATGAAAGAAAATCAGAAATCATCAGACAGCGCAGCTCAAAGAGCGACAAGAATGGTGTGAGGAACCCGGGAAAAGCGGTCGATTAAATCAAAAGCCCGTATATATCTACGTCTAAGTTAAAATCCATCTCCTCCTCGTCCCGTCCCTAATAAGGCGTATGCCTTTCAATACCGGCGAGGCGCACTTGCAACAGAAAGACCCGCGGGGGCGCCCCCGAGACCGTCAACACACATGGCGACAAGGTGAGATTTCTGTGTCACTCGAGGTTAGTTGTACGCCATCTCTGATTTCAGCCTAGAATAGATATTTCCCAATCTAAAAGCCCAAGAGGTCTTACGACTCGACTGGTTCCATCCGCGCCGGAGCATGATTGAGCCATTCCTCGAGAAAGCAGTCAAAATGAATTCCCTTAAAGAAAGAGGGGAGTCGGTGCTTTTTGCCGTCAAGGTCCGCGGGCCGCCTATCAAACTAGGTGACACAGCCCCTCGTGCAAATTATTCCTTCCTCGGCGGACGGAAGCCATATTGCGGCGCAGCTGTTTTTCCTACCGAGGAATCCGAGGATGCTTGAATGATTCGGTGCGCTCTCTCCAGGCACATGGGGTCGGCGAGGTTTTTCAATCGATAAGCACGAGGTGGCATAATTGGGCGTTGGGGCCATGTTGCGGCTAATTTGAGGTAATCTACGAAGGACACGACGCGGGATGAATGGGCAGGACGTTTTGAAGATGGGATGAGGATGATGCGTTTGAGATGTTAGTGGGGACGCTTGCCTTCCCGATTCAATTCGGAGGGCCGTGCTTGACTAAGCATTGATGACAAACAGGGATGTTAACTCCGAGCCTATCTCAAAAGCCCCGAATCGTACCCCCATTTATGGTCACGTGAAACTCCATTCTTCGTACGACCATCGTCAGGTCCGATCGTCAGCCGCCCAATCGATTGCGACACGATACCCTGGAATACTGAAATAGAGAACCGAGGGACCTTAAAAGGGGGGTGTTCACATGAGAAGGGAGGAAGTAAAAAGGTAGACCGACGATATCCTTGTAAAGCATCGATTTATCGTATGAAGAGAAATGCGGTAATTACACTACGGATGCCTGTCATTTTTTCCCAGCGTGACCCAGGGTGCAGACGGCAGTTGCATATCGCGCCAAATGCTAAGATGCAAAGAACAAAGCTCAACAAGTCAAGAGCTCAATTGAGTGCTAGTTTTGCTTCCATTTTTGGGGCGATCGGATGCGAAGCGCCTGCACTATACGGCACACTGTACGGATCCCCTTCGGTAAACTCGGTTGAAGCTCCGGAGGAAAGGAGCAAATTCAGAGAGGGAAAAAAAGTCCGCCAAGGCCGGGACCCCGGACTGTCCGCCAGCTGCCGGAGGACGAATGAAACGCAGGTAACGTTGGTTTTGGACGTGTCCGCCCAATCGAAAAAGGCCGCCGAAGATGTCGAGAGCTTCCCGCCGCCCCGAAAAGAGACAAAAGAGACAAAAAGAGTACCAAAAAAGGCGAAAAGCTACAGCTTATCGCGTGACGTAATTGCCACTGCCGCTGCTCCTTGTTGGATCAAGTTGATGCTGGGGTTTCCCAAGACAGCAAAGACAGGCATTGGACAAGCATTGGACAGACAAGCCCAGACCGCAAAGGACGCCCGCTCGAGCTCCCTCCACCCCCTCGTCCTCCCCCCCGCGTGTACACTACGCAGTACGTCCTGCTGTACGTCCTTTGCCTTTCGATCGGCCCTGGGGCTGAGACAATTGGACGGTTTATAGCGTTCTTCCATGGTCCCCGAATCCGCCAAGAGCAACAATTGAATTCCCGAACCCGCCAATGGGTTCCACATGAGCTTTTTCGGGCCAGGGTCTCTTTTTTTCGGGACCCACGATCAGGACAGGTTTTCCCCACCGTGATAATTAGTCCGATCCCAAAGTCCATTTGTTCCCTCTTCTCCAGACTTTTTGCGAGAGTATATGTTTTGGCCACATCCCCTAATTTTAGCTTTTCATCCTCCTCCTCCTTCTTTAGCTTCTCTCCTTTTTTGGTCGTCTTCCTAATTTCTTTTCTCTTTTTCCTTCCTCACCCCCTCTCGGGCTCTCTTTGTTTCATACTCGTCTTCCTCCGTGTCGCAGTTAAGCTCTCGCTCTCTCTCTCTCTCTACCTCAGTAACAATGTCCACCACCGCGCGAGCTTCGGCGGCCCTCAAGGCGCGCATCCGGAGGCCGACCATGTTGAACAAGGTCTGCCGGGCTGAGGACATGCTGCAGCATTTCCCCAATGGCGCGTACATTGGCTGGTCTGGCTTCACCGGTGTCGGCTACCCCAAGTAAGCTCCATTCTTTATTATTTCTGAAACGGTTCCGTTCTCGCTCGCTCCCCAAGCTCAATTGGTTCAATTGGGACATGATATTTTCAATTGGGGCATGATATTGACGATTGTTTGTCTCTAAGGAAAATCCCCACGTTCCTCGCCGACCACGTCGAGCAGAACAACTTGCAGGGCAAGCTTAGGTACAGTCTCTTCGTCGGTGCCTCGTCCGGCGCCGAGACTGAGAACCGATGGGCCGGCCTCGACATGATTGAGCGGAGGAGTCCCCATCAGGTCGGAAAGGCCATCTCCAAGGGTATCAATGATGGCAGCATCAACTTTTTCGACAAGCATCTTTCCATGTTCCCCGTCGACCTTGTCTACGTAAGTTGGGAAAAAAGAAGAGGAATTGCAAAATAACAAGGGAAGCGACTAATTTTGTGACTAGGGCTTCTACACTAGGAACAGGCCGCACAACAACATTGACGTTGTAGTCGTTGAGGCGACCGATATTCTCGAGGACGGCAGCATCGTTCCCGGTGCTTCCGTTGGTGCGACTCCCGAGCTCGTCCAGATGGCCGAAAAGGTAATAGTCCAATTCCGTAGCCCCCTTAAGCCTTCACGACAACGGTTCCCCACACCCCCGGACCCGCTTCTGCGTCGGGGAACGGGGGGGAACATGCATCTGGGTTCCATTGGCCCATTTGGCACCTTAAGAAGCTAGCTGCTAAATCAAGCAATAGATCATCATCGAGGTCAACACCTCCATCCCCTCCTTCGAGGGTCTCCACGATATCACCATGACCGACCTGCCCCCCCACCGCAAGCCCTACCTCGTCATGGACGTCGAGGACCGCATCGGCCGCACCTCCATCCCCATCGACACCGAAAAGGTCGTCGGTATCGTCGAGTCCGACTACCCCGACGCGACCTCGCCCAACACTCCTCCCGATGCCAAGTCCGAGGCCATCGCCGGCCACCTCATCGAGTTCTTCGAGCACGAAGTCGCCCGCGGCCGCCTCCCCAAGAACCTCCTCCCTCTTCAGTCCGGCATCGGCAACGTCGCCAACGCTATCATCGGCGGTCTCAACAACAGCAACTTCAGCAACCTCAAGGTGTGGACCGAGGTCATTCAGGACACCTTCCTCGACCTCTTCGACTCGGGTAAGCTCGACTTCGCCACCGCCACGTCGATTCGCTTCTCGCCCGACGCCTTCAAGCGCTTCTACGATAACTGGGAGAAGTACCACAACAAGCTCCTCCTCCGTAGCCAGAGCGTGTCCAACTCGCCCGAGATCATCCGCCGTCTCGGTGTCATCGGCATGAACACCCCCGTCGAGGTCGACATCTACGCCCACGCCAACAGCACCTGCGTCATGGGCAGCCGCATGCTCAACGGTATTGGTGGCTCCGCTGATTTCCTCCGCTCCGCCAAGTACTCCATTATGCATACTCCCTCGACTAGGCCCAGCAAGAACGATCCCGATGGTGTGAGCTGCATCGTCCCCATGTGCACGCACATCGACCAGACTGAACATGACCTCGACGTCATCGTTACCGAGGTCGGCCTCGCTGACGTGAGGGGTCTGAGCCCCCGCGAGAGGGCCAAGGTCATCATCGACAAGTGCGCTCATCCCGTCTACCAGCCCATCCTCAAGGCGTACTATGAGAAGGCCGAGTATGAGTGCATTAAGAAGGGTATGGGCCATGAGCCTCACCTTCTGTTCAACTCTTTCGATTTGCATAAGGCGCTCCAGGAGGAGGGAAGCATGAGGAAGGTCAAGAGCTGGTAAAGAACAAAAGTAAAGGAAGAGTTTTCAAGGAAGATGAGTGTTTGAAGGGTGACGGGCGTTTGGGTGGACTTATTCTTTTTCTGACAATGTAAAGTTGTAAAGGAGGAAGGGGATGGAAGCATTTCCTTTTGTATTTCTATACACATGTGCTTGCCCTCGAATAATGGCACCTTCATACTCGAATAGCGTTAGTCTTGGATCAATTGATATAGTATAAAACAGTTGCGGGTTTGTGTGCACACACTCTCTCCCACAGGGCATCTCAGTCCTACTTCCAACATCGCGCTTTGACTTACCAACTCCCATTTTCTCTTCATCCTCCCCTTCAAGGCAGTCTACCGCCCTGCCTCGTCGCCTGCCCAACAAGTGACTGCGTCGTATCATCCGCATACCTCCGATACACCTCGACGTACTGCTCCGCGTCGCTCATAGTATTCTGAACACTCTCCCTCTGCGAAATGGCATCATACCAAACCTTCCATCTCTTCCAGATCCTCCTCTGCTCTTCGCCTTCTACCTTTTCCGGATCAGGAATCCCCGCACCTCCCGTTTTATAATGATCAATCAAGAACAACCTCTTCGCCCACGGCGCCAACGCCACATCCACCAGACTAAACTCCCTCCCCAAAAACCATGGTCCCTCCTCGTCCATCTGCCTCACAAACTCCTCCACATGTCCCAAGAATTCCTTCCGGACCTGTTCGATAGTATACGGCTTGTCGGAAGTATGTTGTATAAACCTGTAAAACGCGGGCACGATCCTCGACGAAACGTGATCAATCCATAATCTGCACCTCGCCCTCTCGAAAGCGTCGCGCGGCAGTAACCTATCCCCTTCGCCACCGTACGCTTCGTCCAGATACTCGCAGACGACGATGCTCTCGTACAATGCCCTCGGCTTTCCTCCATCTTTGCCCTCGGGCGGGGGGACTTGGAGGGTTGGGACGAGGCCGCGCGGATTGAGGGCGAGGAGCTCTGGGGCCTTTTTGTAGGGGTTGATTTCGACGTATTGGTGGGGGATGTTCTTCTCGTGGAGGACGATCCAGGCGCGTTGCACGAAGGGGCAGAACCAGCCGCCGTAAAGACGGAGGGGCTGTGGGGAGGAGTGCTGGGCGGCGAAGGCGGCGGCGCGGCCTGTGGCGGAGTCGTGGATGGTAGTGTCGATGGAGGCCATTTTCTCACAGCTCGGTCTGTTTTCTTGGGGGTAAATGGAACGCTGTCTGAATTGCGAAGAACGGGGGTTATGGGTAGCTGCTCTGGTGAGAAGGGGTATTGAGGGGTTTGCATTCGATGGGGGTCAGATCATCAGATATTTATATATGACGTTGCACTGCCTGCTAGACCAGGGGATTAAAGAGGGGTTGAATGAACCCCGTCGATAATTGGCTGTGGACCAATCTCTTCTTCAACCGCGTCCGGGTCCATCTCCGGTGCATCTCCGGTCCTCAGACCCGCAGTGGGAACGGACTTGCCGGCGCCACTATATTCTGGGCGGACGGTATCACGGAAGAGGCTCCGACGTACTGGGGAGAGCTGGCTAAATTGAATCTTCCACGCTTGAATAAATCATACATGCTGTGAGGATATCCTCTTGTCACTAGCCCCCTTCACAAAAGTGAGAAACTATGTCCAGCCCATGTAAATATATATGATATATCCCATTCAATCACAGTCGCATACACAGACACCTTCTCCCAAAGAACTACGCCAAAGAAGTCAAAATGTCAACACCCTTTCCCTCTTCATATCCCCAAAGACGTGTTCCTCCCATGCCCCCTCACCGGCGCCAAGTCCGAGACAACATTCGTCTCCCTCGTAACCAAAATCCCCTTTCCCTTGCCCTCACCCACCCTTCTCCCAGTTGCCCCACGCCGGTCCTCCAACTCAATCCCCGCTCTATCCTTCACCCCCGAATAGCACATCGTAGCCACAGCCTGCAAATGCTCCTGGCTCTCACTCCTCTCCCCTCCCCCACTCCCCCCCGTCGTGACCGTGCTCCTCCCGCCCCCACTCTCCTCCAATTTATTAAACCCTGACCCGCCACCGTCCGAGCCCACAACCGCCGAAGCGCCCGTCTGCTTGGTTCGACGGGCACGCGCGTAAGGACTGTAGCGTGGATATGACCCCGAGCGGTCGCCCTCGGACGATTGTGCGAAGCTGGGGTAGTATTTGACGACCAGGGGCCGTAGGGTGGGGAGGTTGGAGCAGAGGATCGCGCAGTTGAATTCGACTATGGACCAGCAACCTGTTCCGACGTTGTCCCAGGTTGGGTCGGCGGCATTGACAGAGGCGGCGAGGGTGAAGATGCGGATGATTGAGATGACGCAGGTGCTAAACAAGGAGGAGTTAGTATTTGCATTGGTCTTTTCTTCTTCGTTTCTTTTATCTCTTCTCCCCACCCGAGTTGACAGAAGAGCAAAAACTTACAAGAATCCCAACGAAAACATCAAAACAGTAACAATCTTCTGCTTCCTCCTCATCCTCAGCTTAACAACCCACGGCAGCGGCAGCGCGAAAATCACAAAATCAGTCAACATGGACATGATGGACGAGAACAGCCACAACGGGTACGTGTTGATACACCTGCCCTCCATGCTGGGCGCGATGACAGCGATGGGCATGCAGGTAACGGCGAGGAGGATGAGCTGCGTGACGGTCCAGATGCCGACGTAGACGAGGAACCACTTGCTGATAGTGCGGAGGATGGTGCTTCCGAAGATGCGGAGGTAGAAGAGGAGGAAGCAGATTTTGACGACGTTGAGGCCGAAGTTGTAGCCGAGGATGACGCCGTAGAGGATCTTAGTAAGTGACTTATGGTTAGATATTTCGAAGAGCCGTGGGTTGGTTCGTGATTTCTTAGCTTACTTTTATTTGCATCATGGAGTCTTCGGGCGGGACGGACCAGAGATGCCGTCCCAGAGCATAGTGTGCCTCTGCATTTCAACATTGAGTTAGAGTCCATTTCTTTTGCACTCCTCTTCTCCCTGTCTCCCTCTCTCTTCAAGGAATTGAATGTGATAAGTAAAAAAAGGAGCTAAACGAACCGACGATGGTGAGAGCCGACACCGCGATCGATACGAACTAAGACCGTTAACAACATCAGCACTCGAGCTCATTCAAACCCGCCAACTCGCTCGAACAACGCCAAGTCGACACCGATATTCCCATCAACTGATCCGCATTTCGACCCTACCTGAGCAAAGAAAATAGCATAATCATCTGCACACAGCATGTGTAATATCCTCTTCCTCGTATATAACCTGAGGGCCGTAAAAGTCGTCGATAAGGTACAAAACACCACGGCGATGGCTATGACCGTCCCCTGCTTGGACTCATTGTCTCTAGCCGGATCGAAACCCGGAGGTCTCTCGGTGTGCATAGCGGAGTAGGAGACCTATGCTAAAAGGGATGGACTATCTCGTCGTAGTTGAGTAGTCATCTATTCTTCGGAGTAGGCGTCGTGAGGTGAACCGAGTATTGTGTGTGTTCGGATGGATGTCTTCGAAGACCTTCTCTGGGCAGAAATAACGGTGAAAAGAGAAGGAAGAGCTAAGTCAAAGGACCAAAGGTTCAAATCCCAGGGCTCTTCCCCTAAACCTCGAAGAAAAACAAGCGCTGAGTATATCACAGGAGATGACCCGAATGGACCTGCATGACACGAGGGCGGAGAGGCAGTAGCGTGTTATCAGGCGGGTAGAAAAAAGCAATTCGGAGAAGCAGGAGAGCGAGCGCATCAAAAAGATGTAATTTTCCACGCGGAAGAATGTGTGCTACTTCGTAGCATGGCGAGATCCGACTTCTACTCTCTTCAGATGCTCAAGTACAAATAACACACTCCAACCACCCCCTCATCGCTCATCCTGGAGACCACACGGCCAGCAATAGAGAAAGCAAATCCTCCTTACACGGGGCTTGGCATGCTACGGGATGGACTACATGGCCAAAGGGGGTGTGAATCCAGATAACACCGCAGAGCATAACACCATGATAGCAAAGAGAGAAGAAGGTGGTGAAGTACACAGGACCCATGGCCCGGTCCCTCGCTCCTCGCGCCTCCGAGCTGTGGGGACGTGACTGCCGGGAAGCGGAGACTTGGTCTTTTGATCTGCAGTGATCGCTGGCTATTCCCGGAGCGGACTAGTTTGTACAAGTAGAGGGCCAGGTAACCCAGAGCCGCCGAAGCCAGAACGCAATTCACTACATCGTACACGACACATTAACTGTGGGGGAGCTGAGCCATAGCATTGTCCTGACGAAAGCTGATGTGCTAGTGAGTCTGGGCATTTCTTGGATCGTGGGACGGGCCAAACTTTAAATGAGAATTCTCCGAGTGCTCGTCGGGGAAATCTCACTACTTTTGGTCGGAGAGAATTCGATGACGAGCTTTTAAGCTCGAGCCTTGGATGGGATTTCTAGAAGGTTGATGTCGGATGGTTTAGCTTCGGCCCTTGAGAGCTTCGCTTGTCATGAACCTAAATCATACTTCCAAACGTGAACATTGGATGAACCACGACTTCCAGACCCATCACAAGCAGGCATACGCCGGCCAAGCGCCTCGCTTCTCCTCACTACAAATTTATCCAGCCACCGCCGGTTACTCTACCCATTCGCCCCGGTACTTCGTAGCACTCGTAGAACAAACCTTAGGCCCAAGCCGTTTGCTTTTCTTACTCTACTCCCCACGAATCACCATGGCTGTTAGGAGCGTTGCTCTTGATCGTCACCAGTATATATCCCCATGCTGCACCGCCTTTCATGAGTACCTGCCGCAAGAATATGCGTACTTGATTTTCTTATATGCGGAACTTGCTTTTTGCAGTGTGGCCATTGGATGAAGGTGTGAAAGTGGCTTCATACTCGTCACACCCGCCCCTCCACCGGAATATATTTCGTTCACAGAGGACTTTTTGAAAATTAGACCAACGCCCGGAGTATTCTTGACTGTACCTCTCAACTCTCTCTCTCGTCTTTGCTTTGCCAAGAGTCTGTCCCATAGGCGAAAGGTCTCGGCCGGTCTCCTGACACCGCTTTTCCAGCAGAGAGAGAGCCCTTTCCTCTCGGAATGTGCCACTATTGTTCGTCTGGAAGAACTCTAACTCTAGTAGAGTTGAAGCATCTCGGAAGTGTGGCCAATGCCATCATTCTTGAAAAAGGAGGCGGGCTCATAATCCAGGCGACCCCTGTCGGTACATGACTCGGTTGATAAGGAAGACTAATTAACACTGACACCTTCTGCACGCCCGCTCGGACGAGAGCTCAGCCGGCCGATTTCCAGTTCGGCTGATCCCAGCGCTGCATGGGCCCCCATGCTTCCTTGAGCCAGCGCGAGTCTTTCTCCGATCGTGACTCGCATCCGCGGAGGTCACTCTCTTCCCCTTTCCCTAGCTCCTCGCCGCTTATCGCCGCCAAAGGCTGAAAGACAGTCTATACGCCTTTGGCCTCGACAGACCCTTAAATTATGGTGCAATAACCAAGCTTAATAGTTGTCAAGGTCAGAAAGGTGCCAGTAATCTGACAGGAGCTAGTCAAACCGAGTCCTTGGATTCTGAGGGCTAAGACCCTACCCTCGTGGCACACTCTCCTGGTGACAGCGTCTTTACTTTGGAGCTCGGTGAGTTTCCGCACTCGAAAACCCGGAAGAAGCAATGAAGCTAAAACCTCCATGTCATTGTCATGAACGACGGGCGTCCTTGAGATGAGCACAGTTCCCCCAACGCATCGGCTCGCGTGGCTCTTACATGTGTTCTCAAGGAGAACCGTTTCTGAGACATGAGTTCGCCGAGACGGGCGTAAACAGGAAAGGAGGTGTTGAGTTGAAAGCCTGAACGCGCGTCCGGAACTTGGCTGGAACTTGACTGAGTGTCTTAAACGCACGCTTAGCAGGGAAGGTCCTTGTTTAAAAGTGCCCATGCCTCGCCCTTCATCCTCCAAGCTTCACCGAACTATCAGCATCTCTTTGGAGTGGGTTGGAGATTACTGGACTGTCGCAAGGAAGCCTGGCCAGGCCCTTCAATTCAACCAGACTGGTGGGATTTACGACTCGCTTTCCATAATTGTTACTTGATTCCCATCCTAAATCTAGGCAGAATCCGATCACTGGCTGATGTTGCTATTACTCCAAGTCAGCAGCCATCCCTCCGCTTTCCCCACCATATAACATCGGAGATTCTAAATGCCAAGTCGAGGCAAAAAGCCATTGCTCCTGGCAGAACTGCCAGCCAGTGCTCTGCCAAGCCAGTGGTATGGACGAGCGTGGCGTCTACCTCCATCTAGTCAAGTCGGCAGTTGGGCAATAGCCCCTCCTCTTCCCAGGGGAAGAAAAAGGCTACGGCCGCGAAGGAGCCTTTCGTGCTGATGCTTTCTCGGTCATAGGAGTTTCAGGCATAAAGGGTAAATACATTTTTAACTTCACTCGTAGCCGCATTTCGGTTTAGTCTCCACTCTACTCGGAGCGATAGAGTCAGAACCGAAATGATACCTTGCTGTGGAGAGAGGCGATCTGATCAGACACTATGGTTCCTCAGAAGTTCTTAAGATATACATTACCGATTTAATTTAGCGATCCCCAGAAGATTGAAGAAGTCTAACGGGCCTGAGCATCGTCCCCCCCTGCTGGCGAGCCCCAACATTCCATGAACTGGTCCCGTTGGACGGTTGGCAGCACCAAACCGAAATGGCCCTAGTACCTACATACCAGGAAGCAGGACGTGCTCCATCCGTGTTATTTTGAAGAGCATACCAAAGCGGATGTTTTGTTGACGGTGAGCGATCTGTCCAAGGTTTTCCAGTCCGGAAGCTCCCGGGGCCCAAGTGCTGGGGTCGCCAGCCGTGGGAGTATCGCGGCATCAAAGGAGGAGGAATGTGATCTACCCAAGCTGATTTCGATCTCGGAACATGAGGAAGCTTCAGGCACGGGAGCTACTGGGCCAGGTAAGTCGGGTGGGATTCTCACCCACCGTTTTGTTTCAATTTATGGGAGAGTTGAGAGGGAAGGGTGCGAGAACAGGTGGTTCCTCTGGTAAGTTTCAGGTCCGGTGTCTCAATGCTCTTGGAAAATGTTGTGCCCCATTACGGATTCACCAAGTCTTCTCATGAACACCCACCCCGAAAACTTCATCGGCGTGCCCTAAGGGAGGGACTTCCTACAAAACAAAAAAAAGAGCGGCCTCCATGAGACAAATAAACCCACGCCAACTCAGAGGTCTGGCATATTGTTGTCCCACCAAGAAGTAGTGTCCTTGGTGATTTTCACGACGTTTATATATTTATCTTAATTATAGTCACTAATCGAAGCAACAGGAAACAAGAAGGAATACTTCAACGTTGGGAAGAATCAGTGATAGCTTTTCGCGGCCTCTTTATATACCAGCTTTTCTGTTCAGCCGAGAGAGGACATGGTCGAGGACCTCCTCGGCATCAGATCCATATGATGGATAGAGCAACGGGACAAGTTAACCTTCTTGAATGCATCTATAACACGAAGCACACATCATAGTTGCCCCAGATAAAACGTCCAGCTCTATATTACGCGCCCCCAAACTACCCATCCACTGTCCCTTTGAGAATCTCGATCTCCCTAAGTCGAATTGTACACAATATAGCTCTGATCGGGCTCAACGGGGACCCCATCCACAAGCTGCGCATCCGAAAAAGCCGGCCAAGCAATCTTGGACCCCCTTATAACCGCCAAAGTCGTAAACCCATTTTCCTCGCCAAATTGTCCGCTCCACTTCGAACTAACAGTGAATCCACCTTGGCATTCTCTCCTCGACACCTCCTGGCGGCTGGCCGGGAACCCGTACACCGTGTAGTCGCATGACCCGGGGGGCCCGTCGCCGTGTGTGTCGATGCCGAAGCTGTAGTGGCAGGTCGTGTCGTTGTTGATACAGGTCCGAGTGAAGCGGGTGATGGTCCATATATAGTGGTTGATGGTGTCGTGTTTGGTGCCATTGGAGGGGGGTTGAGGGTTGACGTATTCAGTGCGGCGGTAGATGTTTGCTGCGCTGGCGGCGCCGGCAAGGGCCAGGAAGAGAGCGTGGGGCTTCATTGGGAGAGTGTTCTGGGAATGAATAGCCGGTTATGTGAGTATGATTTCGGTTCGGTTCAAGGTGGTTGGTTGGGAGCTGGAACGGGATGGGGACCGGGCACACTCTCTTCGTCTGTGTCATGGACAGAATCGGTGGACAAAACATCCTAGGAAGGAAAGGATGTGGTATACGGCTTTATAAACCGTAGCATGCAATATAGCCCAATAAGGCGGTCGAAATCATGGTGTATTCAAGCGGAAGCTCCTTCCTTCCCCTTGCCTCCAACGGGAAATACGAGATCATGAACTCGAAGTGAATAGGAATCTATTCTTAGCCACCGCCCCATTGTTAT